CCACGTCCCCGTGCTCTCAACTCCCGTCTCCATTTCCCCACCAAAACCCCCAGCGCAACCACCGCCCCCAGCAACGGCACCCCGACCCCGAGACCGACCCCCAGCGCGAGCCGAACTCGGACCCGTTAACCCCTCGGTCTCGGTCGCGTTTGAGTCTGTTCCCCCGGCACCTGTACCTGTACCTATACCTGTACCTATGCGTGTAGCTGTACCGCTAGCTATAGCTGGTTGATCCACAGGAAGAAAGACGTTGGAGTAGTCGAGGTCGAAGCCCGTAGAGCTGGACGGGCCAGGTGATGTTGGTGACGGCGTCGGTGGGGTGGATTTTTGGCTGCTTTTCTCCCAAACGGGGGTTGCCGGGGTTAGTGATACGGCTGTCCCGATCCGTGCACTGAGACAATCACCCTAATCGCTGTGGCGGGGGATCTCGGAATCGGTCCGTCAGGGAGAGGTGTCGATGCAATGGCCTGTGGGCATGGTTGGGCGCGGTCTGGCGCAGTCAGGTCATGGACTTTGGGGATAGGTGGGGGTTTGAGGGCAAACCCCTGATGGAGGATGTACGGTATTCCATAGGATGCACAATACTAGATCTAATCGCACATTTGGGCGGCTTGGTTGAGCACCTTGACGGTTGGAAGCAGCATGTCTATGGCAAGACCTTACAAAGTCCTAAATCTCAGTCTGTGCTAGACGATTTCGGAGCTCGGGTTTGGGGGTTTTGTAGATTAGTATGCCTTCCAGCAATGGCCCAAGGAGACGATTGGGAGTAGTGCTAGCTTTGGATCACCAGCAAAGAATAGAACCTTGCAGTTTGCGCATCGACCGTAGAGAACGAGGTCTCACCCATCCAACGATTCCTGGTGTAATGTAATTGGAAGGAAAAGAACCTCACGCATTGACGAGGCGGGTAGATTGGCAGTGCAAGAGGCTGCTCTGGGTGGGAGGAATGCCTAAATCGGAGAACCAGGACCGTTTTGCGACGGCGAAAGCCAAGCTGCTCTATATAGCAGGCAGCCTGATTCACATCGCATGTATTACTTCAACATCATATGTATATAGAGAGGTCATGCCCCGCCGAGCCATTATATCGAGATCTGCCGCCAGAACTGCTTAGCACGATCAGCTGTCTGGACAACTGAATGCAGCAACCTATCAACCAGCTGCACTGTTGCCAGAACTAGTCCGCAGAAACATCCAAAATCGTCTGCAGCCCATCCTCCCCTAGCATCGCAACTGACCCTCCAAGCACCGTGAAATTCCTCGGGTCGGCATCCAACGACACTCCTACATCATCCCACGTCGCATGGACCGTCCTCTCGCCGCTCAGGAGCCGGTTGACGTTCAACATGGTACTATACATCACCCCAAAACTATAAGCCTCGTGCATATTATCATCCTGATCATGTATATCCGAGGTCTTGGAAAAGGCCCCAGCAGGCTGATACCCCCCCGTCAGCGACGGATACGCGCCGAAGCACCGTAGATACCCAAGCCCGCACATTCGGCCCAGCGACACATCGAATTGCGCCCCGATGTCAATCTGCTCCGCCAACTGCCCCGGGTTTACAGAGAGCGCCGCCAGGATCTTCTGGGCGCCGAAGTAGCTCACAGCATAGACCAGGGAGCAGACCGCATCGCCCACGCTGCAGACCAGACGCGTATGATCGGGCCGATCGATGGGAGGCGGATCGCGCCAGTAAGGTAGGAAGTGATGGGGCGGTAACACTGTTGGATCCTGATGCGACAGGAAGACCGGCAGCTCGGTCTTGCAACTCAAACCGCAGTGACCGAGCCAGAGGATGTCCCAGTTGTCGCCGTAGGGAGACCCGGTGGAGTTGCCATCCGAGCCTTGCAGCGCTCGGACGGCGAGCGCATAACTCTGGAGCTGGGTTTTGAGGATCACGTCCCAGTCGACGTCATCCTCCATGATGATAGCGCTTCCAAGTCTATCCTGGACGATTCTGCGCGAGGGTCAGTGGGCATTGCAGGACGGCAAGCGGGGCGTTGCATACTGCTGCATGGCATTGACATGCGCACGTCGAGCCGCATATTCCGTCGGCTTGTGATCTGAATTCCAACGCTGGAGGAGCTCATCAGCAACTGCCACAAAGTACATCTTCCAGGCTTACATGAGGTATTGATTTGGGATTGACTTGGTCCGGGGTGACTCCATCGATCCATTCCACACGGAAGCCGCTGACCGATGAACCCAGGATAATATTGTCCCTCTTATCGGGTCTGGAGGGGAGATTCACAACGAAAATCCTCTGAGTCTACGTCCTGTGAGTACAAGTCATTTCCTTCAGCAGAATTTCAGTGCGCACCCCTAAAGTCTCATTGCCGATAGGATGGAGAGGGATCGACTCGTCCTCGGACCGTTGCCGCGCTGTCACTTGCGCATAGTGGATCGGGGGCAGGTTCAGAATGACGACGATCGCCCCAATTAACAGTAGGATTGTCCGGGTGAGTCGATTTTGAAGAATGGATAGAACCATACTCGCTCAATCAAGCAGCAAAGACGAGCAATTGAGTGCGCTTCAGTCAGTAGCGGTTGAGATTGTAGATCCGCTCAATCGCCCCTTGAGGCGCTCAATTCTCGATCGTGGATCTGGATTGAAATGCGGGGAGGGGATGTCCCCAGCTGGCTTATCTGGCTTGGCTCGGGCTTGAGCTTGATAATGTCTGGTACAGCGGAACGAAGAGGAAGACGAGCGGAGAGAAAGAAAGGGGGGGAGAAGGAGAAGGAGAAGAAGGAGAAGAAGTCGACAAGGAAGGGTCCAATGTCGGTAATGCTAGTCTGAGCCATCCCTGGTAAGATTTGCTCCTTGGTTACATTGGAGGGTGAGGGTGTAGTGGGAGAATTGAATGAGCCTGGAGTTAGCCGCTGGGCGGCGGAGCTTGAAAATCTGGCCCAGTGGAAGGAGCGGATCTGCCGCCGGGACCGTCCTTAGTCACGGCGTTGGCCACTCACTAACTATCCTACCTAGTATAGTACCTAGTACCTAGTAGCCTGCCTACACATACTAATTTGACCTAATTACCACTTCAACGTAGAAACAGTCATCAATCTTATTATCTTGACACAGAATACACACTAAGCCTACCAGGAAAGAACAACACAGATCATGGTAAAATATATTGGTATGTAGGGTATCCATGATGCATTCGGGCTGTAAACATCACCCAACCAATGCAGAATGCTGACAAATGTGACCGCAAGGGAAAAGCCTCTTCCTATCGCGGGCTAAGAGATAGATAACATGGTATCACGCGATAAATAAACCTCTATCCCAGACCGGGTCGGACATTATGTGCACAACGCCAAATGTACTCCACACATGCCACCTCTCGGGCATGGGGACTTTCAAATCAAACGAGAAAAAGAAAATTCACATGGGTGGATTCCAGATGCTAAGGGACCGTCGCAAGACGCTGACCCCAAGGGCCTTCACATCGAATCCCGCGTGGACAGTGTGCTGTCAAAAGTGTTTCGTGGAACAGCGGAGCCGTGAGCTGAACCAGACCAGCGGTTCCCAAAATCATGCGAAAAAAAGAACTCAGCCGCCAGGGTTGGTCTTCAGTGGGCGGATCGCCCCTCCCCATGGGAGAGCCTATCCGGGGATGGTTGCACAGCGCCCCCGAAGCTCTGCCGCCGATCCGACTTGTGAAGCTCCGCCTCAAGCGACGTGATGACCGGAGGTGCCGATTTCAACGGCGAGGGACCGGCGACCCGCGGGGAAAGCGACCGATCGTGGTCGCTGAGGTTCGAGGTGTTGATGCTCAGCCCATGCACATTGCTGCTGGCGCCGCTGGCACGGACGCGGAAGGAGCGGCGGCCGGGGTTCAGGTGATCGGCCGGCGTGATGTTGACATTCTCATCGTCGTCCAGGTCGTCCGGCGAGTATCGCAGGCCTGCCTCGGGGTGGCGGATCCGCTGATATTCACCGCGCTCGCCCGTGGGATCCGAGTCGTCGGCCTCGGAGTCAAGGTTCGGGCTGCGCGTCCAAGATCCCTTCCGAGCTTCCGCACGCATCTTGGCGATCTTCATGTAGTTATAGGTACCAATGCTCGCAATGGTCACAAACAAGCCCGTGATGTTGATGAGGGTGAGCTGGTCGTGGAAAATCACCCCCGCTGCGCTGATGGTGACCACTTCCTTGAAGATACCGCAGATGCTCAAGGTTACCACCGAGGAGCGCTTGAGGAGCGCGAATTCGGATGAAATCATACAGAAAGCGAGGAGGCCGGGAAAGATCAGAAGGCCCACTCCAAACAGGCTACCGCGAGCCTCGGCCAACGCATGGAATCCCGCAGCGATCTCGGAGGGTCCCTCCACGGCCAGCGCAATGATGATGAGAGACACAAACATGACGGGGGTCAAGAAAAAGAGGGTGGAAAAGGGATTGGCCGTCGCGGGATGGCGGAGAAGGAGGATCTGGGTCAGACCCCATCGGAAACCCGAGAAGAACGCGGATGCAATGACCAGGACGAACCCGACTACATTGAAAGCGGTCTCGCCAGCGACCATCATGACGACACCTACAGTCATTGTGGCGATAATGATTATCAATCTAACTGAGGGAGTCTCGAGGCGGAAGAGGAAGGCAAACAGAAGAACAAAGGCGAGGGCGGATGATTTGCACATAGTGAGAAAAGTGAGGGAGATGAACTTCAAGGACATATTTCCAAGACCAATGTCGAGGGAGGTTGCTGCACCGCAGGGAACCAGACGAGTAAAGTAGAAGAATTTGGTGAGGATCGGCCCTTTCTCCGAGTTATCATGATCTCGGACGGGCGACCCGGACGGCGTGGAGGTATGAGGGTGCTGCGGGCGCAACGATGGTATCAAGTAAAGCAAAAGAGAAGAGAGTGTGAACTGCACAGCCATATGCAGACTGGTGGTGAAAAGAGGGAAAGGAAACACGACGTTGTTGTCGGAAAACATCCATTTGTTATACTGTAGAAAGGGCACGCGACCCGGTTAGCAGATGTCCAGCACCCGCCTAGCTCCGTCCCTGGGATCAACACTTACAATTGAAATCGAGAGCGAGAAAAAGTACCACATGAGAATCAAGCCGCCATTGACTAGAAGCCTTTGGAGGATGTCCTGATCGCCCATTCCCAGTGGCAGCCACTCCTGCTTCGAGGCCTTGACATCGGCTATGCGGGCATCCAACTGCCTGCGCTGCTGTCTTCTGCGACGTCGCTGACGTCTCTGCCTCGCAGTCAGGCCGGTCTCCTCGTCATCGTGGATATCTTCGTCCGAGCTCGTGTAATCCATTTCGCTGTTTTCCGCAATGGAGGACAGATCCGACTCGTCTGCGTCCTCAGCCGGTGAGGACTTCTTCTCCTCTCTTTTCGAAGCGACTCCGTCTCCGGTCACCCTTGCAATGTCGTCCCGTGGGTCAAAAGCCGCCGAATGGGAACCTGCGGCCAACACTGAGCTCCGCCGTCGATGATGATTGCCGGCCGGGGAAACACCCATACTGGGACGGTGCGGATCGTCGGGGAGGTAGGTAGGAGGGAGGAAGGCGAAGTGATATATGGGTGAATCGCGGACTCAAAGGCGTTCGCTACAATGAGGATGGCCCCATCAGTGAGAATGTGAATTGTGTCTCAGAGGCCCACCGCGCGCGCACACGATCGAGGAAAATTCGAGGAAAAAAAAAAAAAGAATCGGGGGCTGTGGGTGAGAGGGGTTCAAGGACGGGTGGGCGGCCAAAGGAGTGTGTGGTAGGAGGAAGAAGATCGGTGAAGGAGCAAAAATGACTGGTCTCGGAGATTGGAGAGGAAAAGGGAATTGAGGGGATGACACAAAGGAAAGTAAAAAGGGGACTAATCCAAGGAAAGAGTAGAAAAAGGAACTGTCAAAAGTAAGTAAACTGGGGGGAAGGGGAATAGTTCGTATGGATGGATGATGCAAGGGCGACCGCTGCAGGAGGGAAGAAGAAGAACAGCAAAAGAGAGAGAGAGAGAGAGAGAAGTTGAGGAATGACAGCACAGGGAGGAGGAAGTCTTGAGGGTAACCAGGCGCTAGGGGAAAAGTAGATTAGTGAGGAATTATCCCAATAGTTCAAACTGGGAGTCAGATGGAGGAGGGATGGATTTCAAACAGAGTCGGATGAGAAAATAGTAATAACCAAAACAATCCGAGAGTGACTTCGGGACGTGGGTTGGGCGAGAACGTGATGTGATGGTTTGGAAGGAATTCAGGGTCGTGGTGCTACGACTACTCCTACTACCTGACTACAAGTATGGGTACAGTACAGTACAACAAGTTTACTCTGATAAAGAGAGGATAGCTAGATTGATTGCCTGCTTGATTGACGGATCGAAGGGATTGATTGATTGAGGGGAAGTGACTTGATTGTCTTCCTTCTTCCTTCTTCCCTTCTCCCTCCCTTCCCTTCCATCCCCTGAGCTCAATAGGAACTTAGTTAGCCACCGGGACGTCATTTCATCCCCCAGACCATCCAGCAACCCAAACCGAAAAGAATACGAGCACGACTGAAAGTTAATAATCATGATGACAACAATCACCCACCCCCTTCAACTGGTTCCACAACACCTGACTTGTCTCAATTTACAGGCCACTTTCAGGGAATTGGAAATCACACAACCGAGAGGAAGGAGAAGCGAAGCAAGACGAAGAACAAAAAGAAGAAGGGGCATCACGTCTCTCAATTCAAGACGGAGGGCCTGACCCTTGAACTTCCGTGCCGAATGGGAGGATAAAACTAAAGGACGGGCTGCTCAGGGTTCAATCTCTTCACTGCTCACTTCTCAGCAGTAAAATCCCTTTCCCTTCTTCCCTTTTTCCCTACATTAGTGTCTGTGGATCACAAGAATTGTCCCCTCCCTCCACTTTGCTGTGCCACTTGGCCCCCCTTGTCTGCCTTAAACTAGTTGCTGGGCATGAGGGCAAGTCGCCGGTCATTCGATTCTTACCCAAGGCTGGAAGAGCGGGGAACAAACAGACAAGCCACTCACTGGGTACGGGTACAGTATGTACATTAGCGATGGCTCCGACGCTCCGAGATTAAATTTTGCAATCTTTGGGCGTTACCCTTCCGGACGATCCGGGGGAAAGAGGGGAGCGATAGAAAAGCCCAGGGGCGGTTAGTTTAGTGAAGTTAGTTGACTCAAATGCTGGTCAATTGGGTTCAAGGTTCGTGAGGGGTGAGTATTATAGCTTGCAACTCAGTTAACATAAGGTCTGTTCATGACTATGATTGTCGGACAGGATGCATCAAGAGTAAGAGTCAGCTAATCATGACCGTATAATTAACCATCGTACTCTGTACCTAGTAGTATGCATCCAACCAGCAATCAGGCAACAATCACCTATCTATCTATCTATCTATCCCACCCGGCCTCCGTGCCTGGGGCGCAGTTTCCTGTTACTTCTTGATAATTCCCACACATATACACACCGACTTTGACTTGACTGACTGCTTGGCTGAACCAGCAATAATTGAGAAATCGGCCAGCGTCGGCGGGATCAACTTTAACCAAGGCGTCTTTGATGGATGGTCATTGGGTGGTCGGACGGTGGTCGATTGCATGGCTGACTGTATGGAAGGAAAATGAGGAGGAGGGATTCGGACTGACCCGACAAGCAGGATTGCTCTGTTCAGATGTTATGGGAAAGGGTTCAGGCACACATGGACTGAGTCCTGGATCGCCGCATAAACATACTCCATCTACTGCGTCGCTAAGTAGCTATGATGTGATATGAGAATCCATGATCTTCTGGAGCCGAACCACCACACCCAGATATGATGAACAGATGAACGAATGCCATCCTCGGGCTGAGATCATAGTTCCCCTCCATCCCCTCAAACACCACAAACGAACCGAGGCTAGATCGTTCTTCTCGAATCTCTTATCTTTCTTTTCTTCTGTCGTTCCCACTCTCACACTGCTGTATGAGTAGTACATAGTATCTCACTCTCGCCACACTCATAGGGCTAAAAGATGACCACCGACCGATGTCATCATCATTGTGACAAAAAGACCAAGACAAAGCGGGAGAATGATTTCGACTGGCACTAACGAACCATAAACAGTACTCAGTAGCTTATTGCCCCCCCCTCTCGATGAAATAATGGGGAGAGAGAAGACATGGGTGGAATCTCTCGTATCTGGCCATCAAACCCAAACCCAGGTAAAATGGACTGAGTCACCTGCCATGCCTCTACCAACCATGCACATATGCATATATGCATATACTATATCTACTCGAATAGCCTCTCTCTCTCTCTTCTTGTCCATGTGGCCCAGCCCGGGTCGAGGAGGACCCTAGGGCCATGAGTGACTAACTAAACTAACAAACTAACTAGCTCGTCTTACCAATACTCTTATTGACAGGGAGAGGATACCTCAATCAATCACATCACCTTCAGCGCAGGGTCCAATAACTTACAAGTCATCCCCCATCCCCCTCCCTCCCCCGCACGGCACACACAAAAAAAAAAAAAAAAAAAATCAGACAATCTCAACAACCCCTAGAAGCAACTGCCCATAGCAGCCATAAATCTCCTTCCTCAAACTCCCACTTCCATACTCCATCGATGTAGATCCTCAAATATTGCATGAATAGTCCCATGCACAACCCAAACCCCCGAAACCAAAACCCCACTTCTCAACAAAAGTAAACAAAAGCATCTTGCAATATAAGTATTCGATACGTCCGATCCAATTGGAACCCGTAGATCAATACCGAATCAAGCCAAGCGATACCGAATAAATCGTCCGACATACACACACACACACACACACACACACACACACACACACACACACACACACACATACATCCCTAGCAAAATTTCTGGGCACCTCAGGAACGGGGGAGGTAGGACCCACGATGCTTTCCGCGAGGCACAGTCCTACAAGAAGGCGTGATCTGAGGCAGGTGTTCGTCGCCTTCCGCTGTGTTACTGATACTACAACGAGAGCGGAGGGGGTGTAGCGTGCTCTCCTGCAGATCATCGGGGCCGCTCACATGGTCGGTCAGGCTGGAAGGTTTTCGTGACAGGGCGCACAGTGGACGACGATCCGGAGCTTTGTAACCACGCGGCGATGGGCGGAAGTCGCTTGTATTTACTGTACGTGGGACATACAGCGCTTGGGATAGTCCAAATGGGTGAGAGTTGTAAAGCACCCTCAGCTGGGGTCCATTGTCTACAACACAGGCCACTTTCGAGGTAGAAAGGAACAGAGATCTCCGCCGGAATGTTAAGCTACTGGGACATGTAGAAAGACATAGCAATGTTGCCCTCCTATCAGAATATCCGATACTATATCTTCAGATACACATACATTAGCTGGGGGGTAGACCGTCATTCCCACTCGCCCTCCCCAAAGTGTATAGCCGGCAGATCTGCAAGACGTGAATGCAGTCAATCCTACCTACCACACCCCAATGCATCCAGAATTATACCCAGCTCACCAAGATCTTATCAGTCCGTCATCTCCCTCCCACGTGGTTTTTCTTGCGACTCTTCTAAAGCCCGAGACCCACACTCCCCATGTATAGTTCACCTTCAAGGGGTCAATCACTCTCTTCCCCAATGCTCTTCTCATCGCGCTGATCCATGCGGATGGGGCATCTAATCCACTGAAACTCGCTTTGATGACAGTGACATATAAAACAGAACTAGTCGTCGAAGAGGTAATCAACTCCGTCATAGAACAGATTCGGTTCAACCGCCCTTTCTCTGTCCAGCAGTGCCAGGCCCTGCGATCGATGCGTTAGATGAATGCTGAGATCTCTGGCGGCCAAGACGGGGGAGGTGGCCCATACCGATGGCAGCGCTGGCATTGCGCAATTCAATCTTTTTGCGTTCCATTTCGAGCTGTACGTTTCAGGTCAGACCGCCACTACTTGCCCAGGATCCACGAATAACTAAATGACTCACCACCTTGCGTACTCGGGCAAGGGCAGCCGTGTCACCAGCCACCAGAGACCGACAGTCATCCACGCGGTATGGAGCCGCAATTGAAACTGCATCCGCCACAATGATCTTGGCCCCATCCCATCTCGCCGGCATGGTCCGACTGAAGGCGTCGAAGATATCCTGTGCCTCGCGAGTCACGCCCTTGCCACGACGAGCCTCGCTTTCGTGCGCTTTAGCAATAGCATTGGCCTCCCGGTTCTTCAAGGAACGTATGTCGAGAGCGTGGAGGGGTGGTACAGCGTCGGCGAAGGACGGTCCATCGGAGGCGGTTGCAGACGGGGCGAGGGAGAGGATCTGAACGGACTGTATACGCGAAATCGGGATGATGCGGTAGTCACCGGTCTGGGACTGCTTTCCGTCGGCGGTGTCAATGGCGACTAGATTCGTGATGGGGTCAGCAGTGAAGAGGGTGCCCTCAATCGTCGACGCGACCGGGGCTGTGCTGATGCGGACACTAGGAGATGATGATGGTATCAGCATACAGACGAATAGAACTTAGCCAGCAGCAGGCATCAAAAGCCGCTTATAGGCAACCAAATGCACACCATCACCAGGCTATACAGGCCCGGGAAGAACAGGGAGCTTTACCGTGCGCCAATGGCGCCGCTCAATGCCACTTCCAAAGGCACCATGGCGCCTGTCGCTCCCTGACCTGTGGCTCCTCCGGTGGGTCCTTGCGCAGATGCTCTCGCTCCCACACTCTGACGTTTGTTGTCTGCCATAAGCCTGCTTCTGCTGAAGATGGATGGTTCGAACGAGACTGTCCCACCAGCGATAGCACCAAGTCCAGCAAGGGTCCACTATCGGGTACGATTTCGACCGAGGCGAGATTGAGGTAGAACCTAAATCAAGGGGGAGAGGGACGGAGACACCTGCTAGAAGGACGAACTAGGTCAGCCCGGCAATCCAACTATTGTAAGGCAATGCTGGGAAGTGCTGAAACCACGGTCGTTACTAACAATGACGATGGAACTCAGGCGCGGAACAGGCTGAAGTGGGACGGTGCGGGAACCGCAGTTGAAACAAAGTCGGACAAAATGAACGACAAGAAAAGGAGATGCTAAGACAGCAATGCCCATGCAAAATGTGACCCACCCCTACTTCGACCGATGGGAGTGAGAAGAAGAGAGAGATGAGCGCCTACAACGCCGCACATGTAGTGGATTGAAGTAAGATACTGAAGAAGGTTGCAGGAGGATGCAGAAAGAGGTCGGGGAGCGGCGACGTTTGGCCGGCCCAATCGGGATTAGCTCAGGGCGGAGCGAGACTTCCGTTGCAGCACCAATGGTTCCATGACTCCTCACGCCATCATGACCACACTATTTACGAGCATTCGAAAGCACACAACACATGGTTTGCCTACTTGATTCACAAGAATCTTACGATGAATTGATGGTAGCTACTGGTTAACAATCACAGACACCACTTAAAAAGAAAATAAAAGGGTTCATTTCATTCCATACGGTTTTAAACGTAACAGTAAGCATCTAGATACATAGTACTATGAAGCGGAATTAGGTATACTTCCTGTTCCGCTTCTTGTTTTCATCATGTCATTCTTCACTCAGTAAGTGCATATCGCGAACTCCCTGAGCTCAGTCCAACCGTCCCCCGATAGACCCGTGCGAGGCTTCACGTCCAGCGTATTACATCGCGTGTTTGGTTTAAACAATGTAGGTCGACGCAGAGACGTTGCCACCACGGCCGGTCCAGTTGACGTGGATGTCCTTACCCTCGGGGTAGGTCTCGCTGGCGTGCTCGGGCTTGATGCGGAAAGTGTGGGCACCGAAGTAGTCACGCTGAGCCTGCAGCAGGTTGGCGGGGAGGTCCCGGGTGCGGTAGCCGTCGAAGAAGCTGAGGGCAGTGCTGAAAGCAGGGGTGGGGATACCCCACAGAGCACCCTTGCTGACAACGTTTCTCCAGCCCTGCTGGGCGTTGTGGATGGCCTTGTTGAAGAAGTCGTCGAAGAGCAGGTTCTCAAGGTCGGGGTTGTTGCGGTAAGCGTTGGTGATGTCCTTAAGGAAGACGGAACGGATGATGCAGCCACCACGCCACATGAGGGCAATGGAGGGCTTGTTCAACTTCCAGCCGTACTCACGAGCAGCCTGTTGAGATGCACGTCAGCAACTGCATATCGGACTGGATGCGGGAAGTGTCTTACCTCCTGGATGAGCATGAAGCCCTGAGCGTAGGAGATGATCTTGGAGGCATAGAGGGCCTGCTCGAGGTCCTTGATGAAAGCCTGCTTGTCACCATCGAACTCGGGGGTAGGGCCGTTGAGTAGGCCGCTGGCACGGATACGCTCGTCCTTGATAGCAGACAAGCAACGAGAGAAGACGGCCTCGCCGATCAGGGTGACGGGCATGCCAAGGTCAAGTGCGTTGACGGCAGTCCACTTGCCGGTACCCTTCTGACCAGCCTTGTCAAGAATCTTCTCGACGAGAGGAGTTCCATCCTCATCGTTGTAGTAGAGAATGTCACGGGTGATCTCAATCAGGAAGGAGTCCAAGACGCCCTTGTTCCACTCGGCGAAAACATCGGCAATCTCCTTGCCCTTAAGACCAAGGCCGCGCTTGAGGATATCATAAGCCTAGCGATGGATAGTATGGTTAATTTCTGTACGTGACATTCCGAATCTGGATTTTGGCAGGCTTGATGACTTACCTCGCAAATGAGCTGCATGTCACCGTACTCGATACCGTTGTGGACCATCTTGACGAAGTGACCAGCGCCCTCGTCACCGACCCAGTCGCAGCAGGCCTCACCGTCGCTCTTGGCGGCGATGCTCTGGAAGACATCCTTGATGTAGGGCCAGGCCTCCTCGTTACCACCGGGCATCAGGGAGGGACCGTAACGGGCACCCTCCTCACCACCGGAGACACCGCTGCCGACGAAGCGGATGCCCTTCTCGGCCAGGTACTTGGTGCGGCGGTTGCTGTCGGGGAAGTGGGAGTTACCACCATCGATGATGATATCACCCTCCTCAAGGTGGGGCAGAAGAGACTCGATGAACTGGTCAACGGGCTTTCCGGCCATAACCAAGAGCATGATACGACGGGGACGCTTGAGCTTGGCGCAGAACTCCTCGACGGAGTGAGCACCGACAATGGGCTTGCCTGGTGGTACACCATGATGAGTTGATTTTGCATGAAATAAAATAAGAAATGAGACTCACCCTTAGCCTCGTTCTCCAAGAAGCGGTCGACCTTGGAGGTGGTACGGTTGTAGGCGCAGACGGTGAAGCCGTGGTCAGCGGCGTTAAGGATCAGGTTCTGACCCATAACGGCCAGACCGATGAGACCGAAATCAGCACTAGGCAAAGAACGCGCCGGAGCGCCGACATTGATGCCGGCGAGGCGGGCGCTGAAGTCAGTCGCCAGGTTCTATGTCAATAGGTGGGTAGATAGAAAAGAAAATGACGGACAAGGAGGGGATTGATCCCGACGTCTGAGAACGTAGAGATCAATGCGACCCTCTGGACCTGCGGCCTCCTCATCGTGATAATTCACAGACGAAGGGCAATTCGAGTTCATGACAATGATCCGAAGTCATCTTGAGGCTAGTGTGCGCTCCAAGATGGTAGCCGCGTGGTGAAAGAGGATCGACCAATGCATGCCTGAGGGAATGCAATGCATGGATCATGATGAAGCATCAGGAAGGAGGAGTGGTAGAGTTACTTACACAGCTTTGTCGGCCATGATGAAATTGTGGGGTGGGAGGGGAGGAGGAAATTAGGTATGGGTTTTTTGGGGGGAGAGGAGAAGCAAAAAGGATGAGGTAGTTACAAGAAGTGGGAGTGACGAAGGATATATGAGGGGAGAAGGAAGAGGGACCAGGAAGGGGAGGAAGGGGAAGAGAGGGAACGGGGCAAGCGAGGACCGTAAGAAGGAAAGCATTGGAAGATGTCAGAGCAGGATTCACGCAATGTGGACGGGGCTTACGGAGCAGCTCTTCCGTCATGGGTGGTGCATGGGTTGGTGGGACGGGAGGTTGAGGAGTTGGGTTGAGCGGGGCAATCGATAAGTTAGAGAGAGAGGGGAGGGAGAGAACACCAGAGGGAGCAGAGTCCTCCGGTGAGACTATCGGATATATCCATGATGAATTGATGATACAAGGGAACAGACACGAAACTGCAGTACATTGCAATTGTTCTCTTCAATCGGACTCTCTTCATATGGATTTATTTAATCAATCACTCAGCCAATTCGAACTGAATGGATTCATACCTAGTGAATGCTATAGTTTCCATGGTGGCAGCTGTTGTGAAAATAATGATGATGACGATGATGCTGCTGCTCATGCTCTGGCGGGGCAATGGAGGGGCACAGCAACCGGCAGCGGCACTGCAGAAAATCCGCTAGAATCCGGCCTACATCGGCCCTGAAAAAGGAATTTGTCCCAGAGTAGCGCTTTCGGTGAAGCTCATTCGGGAACGGATAAATTGGGACCGTCTTCCAAGCCCTTCTTTCCCCCCACCCTCATCTCTCACCCAGATGCTCAAGTAAGAAGTATGTGTACTCATACGAAACCCGACAACCACTGAATCTCCCTTCAACATCACCATTCACCCAGGAGGGGGGACTAGGATGATTGGTCATCGTCGTCAAGTGCAGCTGGCCGCCAAATAGATCGGATTAGAGCGGAAACCCATCCCTCCCTCCTTCTAGGCTTAAAGCCGATCAGAACAATTCCCGCCGGAGAAATCTACTCCATTTCCGGGGCCTCTGATCATCCCGCATCTGCTAATTACTTAGTCTAAAGCTCAACGAAGCCGATGGGGGTTCTTTTCTCCGTACTGGTCAATTCAGTCACTATGGACTGCACTTGCCTTGGGATCTTACTCACAAATAGTAGCCTGTGGTCGGCAACTGCATTGCCCAGTCAGGTTTAGGGTGGGGGTCAAGTTGCATCACATGGGCATGGGTTCAATCATGTCCACCTTCCGGAGTACTCAGTAATCAATCGGTTGGGGGTGCGCTGAGTAAGAAGATCGGGGCCAGCCAAATCATTGACTCGCCCGCGGGGGTTCCTGGACTCCGATATCATGCAGTCCGCAGTACGAGGCATGTAGCCTTCATCTCACTACCTGACAATAAGCAGATTGTACTATACGAGTGACTTAACAGCACTAATGGTAGGCAGGGTGATCCTCGTATAGTTGGTCCTCGTATAGACCGGACTGACTTTCTTTCCAAAGAAACTCCCCGCTGATACGTAGCTACGTATTGGGACGTCTATTCGCTGTCAAGCTTACATTTTAGCATTGATGAGCGCCTTCTCTTCCAATGACAGAAGCTAGGCTAGCCTCCACAAGAACAATCAGATTCGATGGTTCAGTAACGGTGCGGTCTTGCTACCATCTGCATGCATCAGTAGTCACGTGTAGCCGCAGCAACGGGATTTTGCAATGGCATGTTTGCACTTTACGGCAGGCCTTTACAGCCGCTAGTGCACTTTTTCTTTTGTCGGCCGTGTCTGTTGCTTCAGGCATCTAGAACCATCTGCCAGCCCATCAACTCACACTATCCTCACTGACAACCAGAGTTCCATACCATCCTCCTCCTCCTGATCAACACCTCACGATCTCAACCAATTCCGCAACTCCCACGCAAGTGCTACCAGCGTCTACCAACGACTATATACTTGATCCTCCAGGCTGGTCTTACTTGAGATACGGCCTTTTACCTTCAAGCCACACATCTTCCGCACCAGGATTCGGGACCTTTTTCAGGCGTGACGTCTGGCGTATTGACTGCGACGTCAGTCAGGCCCTGAAGGTACGTGTCTGTTGCTAGTTGCTGAACAGCGCATCACACTATCCACCGTTTCTCCCTTGTACCGAACTCTCCGTTCATCATGTCCTTTCCGCCACCTCCAGGTCTTAGGCAAGCACCTTCGTCGCTCCCTGCGCGTCCACCACCACCAGCGAGCACTGCTTCGCCTGCCACCTACCAACAACCCGCATACTCAGCTGCGCCCTCGTATGCGCCGCCCAGTGCAAGCAGCGGATATGGCAGTCACGGGCCGTCGCGACCGGGCTACGGCGCCGCCACTGCTTTCGCACCGCGCTCAGTAGCCTCCACTCAACCCTACCGTACCAGCAGCCCCGTGGTGTCGGCTCCCCCCACCTCCGCCAGTGGCTATGCGACACCAACTACAACCGGCTACGGTAACTACTACCCACAACAACCACAAGCATCGTACCAGAGCGGCCCGACCTACTACGGAGCCCCGGCGCAGTACAATGACGGCACCTCGTACGGCCCGTCCGTGCCACGGATCCAGAACCCCTTCCAGCCCGCCGCCGGAAGGGGCTACGGCGGCCGCAATGACTCCGGCATGGACCCGGAGACGGAAGCGCAGATTGCTCAGTGGCAGAGCGCCTACGCGGACAAGGAGGAAGTCCCGGTCCCCGGCAAGGTCCCGGGACGCCGAGATGTCAACCAGGGAGTCGGGGCTGGTCCTGCATCCGGCGTGAACACACCATCTGGTGCCGCCACGGGTGCCAACACACCCGCGCCGATCGTGGGGGTGCCCGAGCCCGCGCCGAAGACAGTTGTCCGCTCCGGCGGTGGACAGAACTGGACCGACTCGACACTACTGGAGTGGGATCCGGCGCACTTCCGTCTGTTCGTGGGAAATTTGGCGGGCGAGGTTACGGACGACTCGCTGCTGAAGGCGTTCGCCAAGTACACGTCGGTGCAGAAGGCGCGGGTGATCCGCGACAAGCGCACGCAGAAGAGCAAGGGCTACGGGTTTGTCAGCTTCAGCGACGGCGACGACTACTTCAAAGCGGCGCGAGAAATGCAAGGCAAGTACATTGGCTCGCATCCGGTTCTGCTCCGGCGGGCCACCACCGAGGTCCGGCCCGTGTCCAACAACAAGAATGGGAAGAAGCACGGGGGTGGAGGCGGCTCGGGTGGAGGCAGCGCTGGTGGGGGCAAGGTCAAGCATGATGGAGTCAAGAAGCATGGCAAGACCAAGGGTGGACTGAAGATTCTCGGATGATTGATTGGGTTGAGTGTACTTTGTACTCAGCTCCTGGATCACATTGCCAATCCGATGACGAGTTATGCTACGACTGGGTTACATGATAGAAACCTGAAGCATTCTGTAGCTTTCAGAATCGGGGGTAGTTCAATTTGTACGCAATATACCCTTATTCTCACAACTGACACGGTAGCAATGATGCTTTAAATATAGTCGGTAATATATAAACAATCCCCAAAGAACAATGAACACCGAGGGTCAGAACCAGTCCACCCTTCTCAAGCCCTCGAAGAATCCAAGCAAAATACAAGACAACCCCTAGCAACCATTCCCAATCCCTTATAGACAACCCCAGTGACTGACCCCCCTCAAGGACATTCAGCCATCCATCCTTCAACGTCGTCGAATCTAAACATAATCCCATCATCCATTGCATCATAAGTCATAACCACATTCAACACAAAACAAACAACCAACCCCCAATCCAGTACGGCATTGCCATCGCATATAATTCATGAACGACTCCAAGAACACCTTTCCCAGCGAGGCGCGATGATTACAACCGAAAAAAACAAAAAAACAAAAACAAAACAAAATCAGGAGGAGAGAGGGATGTCAGGCACGGCCGAAATGGCATTCAACCACCCCCGCCCTCCTCCCCGCTCTCCTCGTCGATGGCGCGTTTCCGGTACGCCACACGGTTCTTCATGGTGTGGATGCCGTAGCCCGCGATGGCGAGGATGATGAACAGGACGATGATGATCACCGCGATGGCGATGTTTTCTTGCATCGCGGCGCGGGGGTTTTCGGTGGAGTGTGTATGTAGTTGGGTTCCGGTGGTTGGATGGTGAGGTAGGTGGATTGGCGACGTGTTTTGTGGTTTAATTGGGGGTGCAATGCCTCATGGGATAGACGGGAATCCGATGTGTAGTGGTAGGTGGGTGTGTGGTTGTTATCGATCTGGGCACACAATCTGTGGGGGGGAGGGGGTGGGATCTGGATTCAATTTGGGTTCCTGAGGAATGTGCCGGTGGATGTCAGATACCCGGGATATAGATTGATGGTATGAATTCCCAAGGCCAAAGGAGGAGAGGAAGATGGATGGAGAAGGGGAGATGGGAGATGGCGGGCATGTTTGTGGGACAACTTATAAGGTTGTCCACCCACGGTCTTGAGTGACTATTGGGAGTAATGGAGGAGTCAATCAGTGCCTGGCCGAGTAAGTGTTCCCCAGCCATGTTGTTTTTACTGCCCTGGCCTTGTTTATTGCGGGTGGCTGGGGAAATGCGGTGATGCGCTGATGCTGCCTTGCCGGCGCTAAGGCTCGAGTTGGTCAAGGTCGGGGATGCTATTTCGGGCAAGCAGCTTTAGCTTGAAGTTCAGTTACCTCCAGGTTGGTTGTTTACACTCTGCAGTCGATAGGCTGTAGATCTTCGTCGGGTTGTGATCAGGGATGTTTGGTTGCCATGTACGGAGTACTGTACGTTCATCTACATATTGGATGGAATGACCATGTTTGTCTACAGTGGAAACGCAATGAGGTGATGAGCCCGCACAGTTTTTAGGGCTGTTGTCCACTCGGACTGGTTGGTACTTCCACAATACCTCATTTGAGGTCGAACAACTCGTACAAGAACTAGTCCTCAGAATGAGACTGGCATCCTTCTTCTTCATCATCACTCTCCTCATCCTTCTTCTTCTTCTTCTTCTTCGTCACGGTCTTCCCCTTCTTCGTTCCCGCCCCGTTCATCATCTCCATCAGCGTCTTCTGTCCCTTCTTCGCACCCGATCCCTTGGCTGCCTTCTTCTCATCCGCCTCCAGCTTCCGCATATACTGCTCCATCTGCTTCTCCCGCATCTCCTTCCCCTCGTCGGCCAGTCTCGTTTCCAGAGCTCGGAACTCCGCTCCCTCCGGATCCATGCCGATTAGAGACTCGAGAAGCTCAATCTCCTTCGCCCAGACACTGGGATCAGCGACTAACTTCCCCGCAGCACCAGCTGGTTTCTTCGGGGCCTTCTTCTTGCCCTTCGCCTGCCCAGCCTCCCCATCATCCCCGCCCTCATCCTTCGTTCCGGCTTTTGCTTCTGGCCGGTCGATCGGCGTCTCGAGAATCATTGGCACCCCCTCGAACCGCTTCTCATTCATAACATTGTGAAACGCCCGTAGACCCAAGAATCCCGTCCCAATGTTCGCGTGCAGATCCCGTTTACTACCACGGGGCGCTTTCGAGTCGTTAAGGTGGAGGGCCCGGAGATGTTGAATGCCGATCAAGTCCTCGAATTCCTGCATAAAGGCCGCGAAGCCCGTGGGGGTGACAAGGTCGTAGCCCGCCGCGAAGCTGTGGCAGGTGTCGATGCAGATGCCGATTCGCGGGTGCAGGTCAGCAGGGATCTGGGCGAGCAGATCCCTGAATTCCGAGAGGGAGCCACCGATCGTGCTGCCGTGGCCGCACATGGTTTCGAGGACCGGAATCACGGTCGTGGTGGCGCGGAGGGCCGAGGTGAGAGCGGAGGCTAGTCGCGTGATAGCACTGGCGTGTGGGGTGGAGTTGGCAGAGCCGGGACTATCCGCGCACAATCAGTATTCGTGATGAAGAGGAAATACATGCATTGAGGTTTCGCGGAGCTGGCTGGCTTACTGGAAGTTGTACAGTTGGATGCCCAGAGCTTCGCACCGACGGAGATCGTCGAGAAAGGAATCGTAGGCTTGTTTGGCTTTGGCTTTGTCTTCTTGAGCCAGGTTCACAAGATAAGACCCGTGTGGGAGGATGTGTCTTGGTTGAAGGTAAGTTGGGGGCAGAGAGAGATTGGCGTTGGGACGCTCACTTTGCTGCATCGTACTTGTGCTCTTTACACATGGCGCGGAATTGATCTCGATGGTCATCTTGAAGGGGTGGGTTGTCCCATTTCCTTTGCGACTTGAGGAAGAGAGCAAATGCGTTTCCACTGACGTCTGATTAGTCGATGGCCGACCAGAAGGAGGCTGTATGGAACTCACCCTATGTGCAAGCTGTTGTTTACGGAATTGAAGACGCCTGTATCAATTATTAGTACCAGGATCATGATTTAGAAGATGAACTGAAAACCAAGTCGACGCACCTTTAGCTGCGCTGACATGCGCGCCGACAAACATGCGCAATCCTTGGGTCCGAGCTCTCAAAGGCAGCATTTCAGCTTCTTTGGTTTTCTGCTGCCGGGAAACCTTGACTGTCTTTGATACCTTCTCTTCAGCCACTTCCTCCTTCACCGAGCTAACGTTGTCTTCTGTCGATGCTTTGACGGCGACCGTTGTCTCAACCTCTTCCTCCACTTCCTGCTTAACTGCGACGGCGGCGGCCTTGCCTTGACGAGCCTTGTTGTTTCTCGAAGTCGCCGGACTCGCAGTTTTGGCCTCACTGCCAGTTTCCACTTTACTCGGAGTCGCAGACAGTGAAGCAGAGGAAGCTCCAGCTGATTTAACGCGCTTCGATCGACGAAGTGGGGAGGTTGGTTCGCGATCTTCGTCGACGAGCTTGCGTTTTTGGTCTTCCGGGGAGTGCGGTGGCGAGACGGCGACAGCGCTGGGTGCTGCTTTGCGAGCACCGCGAGGAGGCATTGCACCTTTGTTCTTCTCCTGTTAGTATGATTCAACTCTTCTCGGGTGATGTTCCAAAATCAAGTAATCCGATGATTGGACGGTGGGTCGACCAAAAATGTCAGAATTGGCGGGTTGGCGATATGGAGACGCGGAGCGGAGCGGACTCTGCAGGGTCGAGGCCGTACTTTACTCCTGGTTCTGTCAACGTCACGCACCCATGATGTCAAGAGAAAAGACCTGCGTTCATGAACATAGCTACAAGTGATTGACACTTTTACATTATCTCAAAACATTGCAAGACGGCTACCTCACAAAACAGTAACTTGAAGGGCAGCCAGCTGGGGGCAGCTTCAATTTTGCCTTTCTGGGACTAGCGTGCATGTGACCGGTTGTCAGGGCAACCGCATCCAGACTAGCGGCTGTTTATCGATAAACTCGATTTGCTTCAACTTCTGATTTGGCTCCCTTGCAGCCTGAACCGTGTCGACCATCGCCCTTCATCGCCCTCCTACCACCACCAAAACGCCGACAACAATTATAATAACGACTCAAACACCGCGGACACGACTCTTGCACTACACATCCGAAGTGGGCGTTCCTTATTTCGCTCTCCATCGCCGCCATGGCGGCCTCAAACGACTTGATCGACTTCGATATCATCGAAAACCAGAAGGAGAACATTCAATCGCTACCGGGGGGCCGGTCAGCTCGAGAGCTAGCCCGGATCTTCAGTCCTCGAGAAACGACGGACAAGCTCGCCGTGCCGTCGCCAAATGAGACCAAAAGCGTCAACGATGCGATCAGGCAAGAATATGAGGCGGAGCTGCAAGCCATTGACGAATCTGATGACCCCCTCGATGTTTACGACCGATATGTGAAATGGACGCTCAACGCCTACCCCTCCGCCCAGGCTACCTCCGAATCCGGGCTTCTTCCTCTTCTCGAACGCGCCGTGAAACACTTTCTCTCCTCGGCTCACTACAAAAACGACCCCCGCTACCTGCGGCTATGGCTGCAATACATCAGACTTTTCTCCGACTCGCCACGGGAGACCTTCGCGTTCTTGGCCCGTCATCATATTGGCGAGGGCCTAGCATTATTCTACGAGGAGTTTGCGGCCTGGCTGGAGGGTGCTGGGAGATGGACACAGGCAGACGAGGTCTACCATCTCGGGATCGAGCGCGAGGCGCGGCCAGCAGAACGCCTGGCTCGCAAATACCGCGAGTTCCAGCATCGATACGAACAACAGACGCAGGATAATGGCCCCTCGTCGCCGGCCTTGCCCGCCGTCCGCCCAGCCTTGGCGGCCAAGGTTGATCCTTTCGCGTCGGCTGCACCCGCCTCGCCCGACCCCCAGGCCGCTGAGCGCCCGGCAACCGCCCGCAGCGCCGCCCCGAAGACGAAATCCGGCAAACCGAAGATGGCGATCTTCTCCGACGCCGACGCAGCGAGCCAGCCGGCGGTCAGTGGACCGGCGCAAGGTTGGGACAGCATCGGATCCCTGCAGGATCGACGCAAGGAGAATAAGGTGGAAGCGAAGCCTTGGGCGGGAGAAACCTTGAAGGCCGGAAAGAAGCCCGTGCCGAAGGAGAAGATGACGATCTTCCGGGATGAGGTATGTGCATTTCCCGGTTCTCTCTGACTTCCAGATATTTACGATCGCAGGACTAATTGGTGGCATGAACCCGGGTTGGTTTACGATTAATGTATTTCAGTCAAAATCCAAAATCCAAGTCAAACAAGATATTCCAGATGTCGTGCCAGAGCACCGCGTAAGGGAAGCGATCAATCCACGTACCGGACGCCGCGAACGCGTTTTCGTCAACCTCGATGCTGTATACCCTGACTATAAGAATCCGAACTATGAAGTTAGCTTCGAGGAGCTCAGAGCCATGAGGCGGGGGTGGCTGAAGAAGGACTGGCGGGTGCCTAAGGTGCCTCTCAGGGAGATTCCCGGCAATGCTAATGCCGAAATGCCCTCCGAGAATCCGCTTGAACATGGCATAGAGAACGAACTACCGGATCAGTTCAGGCAGAAACTGACCGTGAAGGACAGAGAGGCTCATGCGCAGGGACACAGTGAGGCAAATGCTGCCCAGGAAAACAAGACCAAGGCACGAAAAATGAAAATGCGCGAGGTCAAGCAAGAAACCCAGACAAGTAAGCGTGTTCCCTATGATATGTCGTTTTGGGATGCTAACAACCCATAGTCAAAATGAAATTCGATTCTCCCACTGGAGGCAGCAAGATTCGTCGGAAAAGCACTGCTGAACCCACGATGACTATACACACACGAGCTGCAACAGACGAGATTTATAGTATATTCAACCAACCACTGAAGGCGGAGACAGATCAAGCGGCCGAGAGTGATTTCGATGATGATGACTACACAAGCGCTGGGGAGAGCACTGTGACGGGACATATTTCAGCTGCATCCAGCGATTTCGGCGATGATGAGACGACGACCTTTCACAAATCATTCGACGACGACGGGTTCGAGGATAACACACGGGCGGAAAGTGTTATTGATGGCGAATGGACACAGTTTTCTGCTTGCGACGTCCCCGACACACACACATCTCATTCACTCCTTGACGAACACCCCGCCTATGACAATCGAGAGAACGAGATTTTTGACGACAATTCCGGTATCGAGCAACCTGAGAGACAGCGATTTGTCCCGGAGATGCCCGAAGATTATGTCGCTCCCTACGGCACCTACCGGGATCCTGCGATGGTAGCTCAGAACCGCTTGCCATTCATGACGCCGATCGTTGAGCAGACGGAGTACTCGATTTCAATGACAGCAGCGAGGGCCCAGATGTATAACGCAAAGACACCCTCCAAACCGCAAATGGGAAACCTCTTGTCAAGTCCGCTACTTGCGACTACTACCCCTCACCACGAGGACCACTTCGCCGATATCCCCGAGGATGTGACCATCTGTCCAAATGTGGATGAAGTGCGATCTAGCATGCGACTCACGCCTCTGAGTGAGAGCAGTCGACAGGAGCCGGTTATCAAGCAACTGCAATGCAGTCCCACGAATAAAGACATCCGTAACACCATTCTTTATTCCTTGCAGCCGCCTTTGGCCTCCTACGCCGGCTATCACAACCACCCGCAAATGATGACCCATTACGGCGCCGAAGTCCAAAGATTCTTCAAAGCGACTAGCAAGCGTGGGAAGAGCGGGGACGAGGCGGCTTTTGACCTGCCCATCCTTGAATTACCAGGTGCTGACAGAAGCTATATCATCCGACGAGAACTTGGTGCCGGAGCTTATGCCCCCGTCTACTTCGCCGAGAGCATTGAAGGCCTACCGTCTGACTCGGAGATCGAATCGACAGGTACCTCCAGCCGAGATTCCCACAGCAGAACCGTCTCAAGCTACAACGCCCCGCGCCATGGATTCGAAGCCATCAAATTGGAGGTTGGCCCACCGAGTGAGTGGGAGTTCTATATGATCCGCATGGCGCACGACCGCTTGACCCGGAACCCTGAGCTCTCTCGCGCCACCGACAGTATAATTCGAGCTCATGAGCTTCATGTCTACCGCAACGAGAGTATCTTGGTGGAAGATTACCGCGGTCAGGGCACGATTTTGGACCTGGTCAACCTCATTCGCAGCGAACCAATCTCGCCCACTACCAACAGCGAGGGTGGAATGGACGAGGTGCTTGCCATGTTCTTCACGGTCGAGCTATTCCGCACCGTCGAAGCCCTGCACGCCAGCGGGATCATCCACGGCGACATCAAAGCCGACAACTGTCTCGTGCGTCTCGACGACAAGGCCGCCCTGCCTCCTTCGCTGATCGACCTGGACACCGACTACGCCGACCCGCGCGAAGTGCACTATTCCCCGCGGGGCCACCACGGCTGGTGCAACAAGGGCCTCTCCCTGATCGACTTCGGCCGCGGCATCGACATGCACGCCTTCCCCGCGTCCGTCCAATTCCTCGCCGACTGGGAGATCAAAAGCCACGAGTGCAACGAGATCCGCGAATCGCGGCCCTGGACCCACCAGATCGACCTCTACGGCCTGGCCGGCACCATCCACGTCATGCTGTTCGGCAAGTACATCGAGTCGATGCCCGTCCGCCGCAGCGAGGGTTTTTCGTCCGGTGGAGACTCGGACCGGCCCGATCCTTCCTCGGCCACCACCACCCGCACCTACCGCATCCGCGAATCCCTGAAGCGATACTGGGAACGCGACATCTGGTCCGACGTCTTTGACCTCCTGCTCAACCCCGGCGCCGAACACTGGGCCCAGGTCGAACGCGAGAACCGGAATCCTGCTGCCGCGTGCGTCTCGGACGACGGTGCTGCACCTATTCTCCCCGTGACCAAGTCGATGGAACTCGTGCGTGCGCGCATGGAGGCCTGGCTTCTGGCGAACGCGGAGAAAAAGGGCCTCGGCTTGCAGCTCCGCAAATTGGAGGCGATATTCGCCGAGAGAAAGAAGAGATTGGAGAAGGTCTAGTGTCCACCTTGCCGCGGCTTCGCTCGATTCTTTCGTTGGTCGTGATGTTGCATGATCTCAACACATACACCCCACTTTAGTTTATACCCCCCTTTTCATGCTTTTGGGATTGGCAGCGTTGGCGTTCTGAGGTGGGATTGCGTTTCTCAATTCAATCAGTCGGCTTTTTTTTTTTTTTTAATTGTTGTCCCATGTTTCTCTTCTCTCGTGGAAGATCGCTACGTAGCACCATGATGTCTTATGCAGGACTTATCATGAGTAAAGGCTTCTTTTTGGTTCTCCTGTTCATCCGTGTAATCCACGCCGCCCACGCAGCGCCCCTTGCAACCGAACTCCTGGTCCGTGTAGAATCCGAGGTAGAGTTACCCGACGGTAGATGCGTTATCGATAGTCGCAAAGCTTTCTCACCAAACACACTCTAGAACCGACTCACCACACTAAGCAGGTGGCTAATATTAAAAAAATTCTAGAACCCAGCAGTGTTTATCTGGGCATGTTTTAAAAAGATTAAAACAGAATAACAATTTTTTTTTCTTTATTAGACTAGAACTTCCAGTTAAAATAAAAAAAAACATTCTTTATTTTTAGTCTATTATAAGGTTTAAATCAAAAGTAGAATAGATTTTAGAAGATAGAAAAGCAGCCTAGGCTTTTAAATAAAAAGAGTAATAATTATTTAAAATAGTATCATATAATATAAAAAATAAACTAGTAAAACCAGAATATAGAAATTATAAATTAGCTATATATAACTTATATATATTACAGATATAAGGCTGTTTGTTTTTGTTTATAAAACTGTAGGACTATACTAAACTGCAGTAGTAGAGTCTTTAATAATCTAGAACCGCCCGGCGGTCCCAGAACTCAGAACCAAAGACCAGTGCGGTCCGGTCTGGTGCGGTCCGGTCCTTGGTCTTTGCAGTCTTTTCCCAGGCCTATCAGAAGCTATTATACGATTCGAAGATTATAAGATCTCAAATAGATCTAGGACTATATACAAGGCAGTTAGAGATAGTAGTTCATTGAGAAAGAATCAAGAAAATAGAGGGAGTTGAGAGAGTTGGTAGAAGAGCAGATAAGTAGGCTTATGTGACGGTCTAACCGATCAATTTAGTGGGTGACGAAAATGTTGATATTCCCAAGTTCTAGCTAGGCTACGTGGGCTACACACACAGGACAGTGATAAGGAAGCGGTGTCCCGAGCGGTGGGTTACTGCCGTCCCGCTGGGGTTGACAGCTTACCAGCTTACACTATAACCGGTCTGTGATATATATAAGTCTGCCTCATGGCAGCCGATTCTGCTAAACATCTTTTGCTTAGGTGATTCCGCTGTGTAGAACAATCCCTGTCTCACTTGATGTATAAAACACGGATTATAAATATCATCGTAATGCATTAATCATGACATCCACTCATCTGCTGTGACTGTCACACAGGTTTAGCTACTCTACCCTGGCCTTGACATAGCTGTTAGCCACCCTACCCATAGTCTGTGAGTTTCCTCAACCTCGCACCATCATTGATCAGCTTTGGTCCAATCAGGTGAACACATACATGGGTCACATAGATCGTGACTGAATGGTATACGTCAGACATAGAACCATGGGGGGGGCTGATAGCGGGTGTGTGGAAGCATCACAACCGGACTATCTCGTCAGGGTCTAGACCCCCGGTGGTCGCTACGGTAGCATTCGAAGGTCTGGTGCTCCTCACTCGGTACAGAGGCAGAGTAGTGCTGCCAACCATGTTTACCACCAAGGGTCACCTCTTCACCAGGTCCGCTCACCTGGAAATAGTTCTTATTCCACCCCCCTCGCATCAACCGCTAACCATCCTATCTATAACCCACTCCCTCCCGACCTCTCCCGATCTCACGCCAGTACCTGTCGACACCATGGCTTCCTCGCGAATCGTCGAGCTGGCGACCCGGATCAGCGAAAACACCGCGATAGTGGACGCCTACCTCCGCGAGAACCAGCTTCCATCCCCCTCGTTCGACGAAGACGGCCCGGTGGACTTCGCCATCCAGGGCGAGGAGGTGAAGAAGGCACACGAGGAAGCAATTGCCCTCTCGTGGGAGCTCCACCGGCTCCTGCTGGGCCCCTCCCACTTTCTCCGTCCGGTGGTAAGTGCTCTGGCGCGACGGCGATCAGAACTGCCTGCCTGACTAACTGACCGACCGGAACCTCCAGCCAAATGGCCTGAGCCTGCAAGCGATCTCCAAGCATGACATCGCGACCAAAGTCCCGGTGCATGGCAAGATCTCCTATGCGGCGCTGGCCCAGCAATGCGGGCTGAGCGAGATCAACACCCGACGGTTTGTGCGGTACGCCATCGTCCACCATCGGGTCTTCTGTGAGCCTCAACCGGGGTACGTCGCCCATTCCGCCGCCTCGCGGCTGCTGGCGGAGGACCCCGTCATGCGCGATGTCCTGTCGCATTATCTGGAGGAGTGCTTTCCCTCCTTCGCGATGGTACGTCTGCCCTCTGCCATCCGCCATCATTCTTCCTTCGGCAACATGATTTGACTGAGGATCCGGGACAGACCTTGCGGGCGATTGACCAGTTCCAAGATAACGGTGAGCCCAACCAAACGGTAGGCGACTTCGCAGTCCCAATCCGATGCCCGATCCCGATGCCCTAACCGTGCCACAGGGCTGGAACCTCTACCACGAAACCCCCGACGCCCCATGGGACTACTATGAAACCCACCCCGCGATGGCCCGCCGCTTTGCCAGCACCATGGCCTACGAGACGGAACGCGAAGGGCGATCCAGTAACGTCCTGGTGGAGGGGTATGCCTGGACCTCCCTCCTGGCCGAGACGACGGCGACCACGACGAGCCCACTGGTCGTGGACGTAGGGGGGTCCCGGGGCAAGACCGCGCTGGAGATTGCGCACGCCCACCCGGAGCTCACGCTGCTGGTGCAGGACCTGCCCTCCATGATCGAGGGCGCCCGCGACCAGCTGCCGGCCATCCCCGCGCGCGAGCGGGTGCAGTTCATGGCCCACGATTTCTTCGCCCCGCAGCTGGTCCCGGCCGACGCCTACATTCTGCGCCATGTCTTCCACAATTGGTCGGATCGCAACGCCGTCCGCATTCTCCGCGCCTTGGTGCCGAGTCTGCGGCCGGGGGCCCGACTGATCGTCAATGATTACATCGCGCCCGTGCCCGGAGTCTTGAGTCTCGCCAAGGAGCAACGGCTGAGGTAGGGTTCTCCGTTCCTCGGGTGGGACGTTTTTTACCGCTCTGCGATCCCCCTGTCCATGCTGACGACCCTCGTTAGGGAAATGGACCTCATCATGTTGACCCTCTGCAATGCATACGAACGCGAGGAACAAGACTGGAAACGGCTGTTCCAGGAGGCGGATCCCCGATTCCACGTTCGAACCATGTCGGTGCCCAAGGGGGCGACGGAGGGGATTCTCGAGGTGATCTGGGAGGGTTGAGATTCTCGGTCTGCAGACGGCGACTGCCTCGCATACCATTCCCATTGTGTGAATTACTCGCGATTTCTTCGTTACATGGACTGTCGACGATGCTTTTTTTTTTACCTTTGGGCCCACCCACGGAGCACACACGTAACACTCCCCAAACCCCACCCTTGCGTATTCGAACCTGTAAGAGGCAATCCCACCGGAACCGGTGGGTTGCATTCAACCAGCCGATTCCTGCTCAGCCCATAGATAACCCTAACCGTGGCAGTAGTGGCGCAGATGCGACCTTGGCGTGATCCAGGAGGGATTCCGGGGGAGGCTGGGGCAGGACGAAGGATCGTTAGATCTCGCACCTAGAATGGATTTGCCACTATCTTCTACTGGTGCTCCAGAGACGGGTCTGCACGCAAGCGAAAGTAGCCGCTCTGGGAGAGGATGAGAGTGTACACTCTGATAGTTGGATTTTTCTTTTCTGTCCCACTGTTCCCTTTGCCCTCGCGTTTAGCCGCGGACGACAAGGCCTACGTCGGGATGTGCATAAGGAAAAGGGCACGCCTGTGCTGCGTTTGTTCATCGAACCCGTCAATCACCCTGCGCTCCGCTCTGCGCCCAGAGACCTACGACCCATGCTCTTCCGCCACCCATGTCCACCACTACTCTGAACCCTCGATACTCCCCGAGGGCCTGGAGCCCGAGAAAGAAGATTCTCAATCGGAAGCAAAGCGACTGCGCTTCCGCAACGCCGGCCCCCACCAGTACAAGGTGAACATGCCGCCGACACAGCCGACGGTCAGCCCGGCCAACAGGGTGGTGCCGCGGGCGACGCCCAGCCGGTCATACAGGGGGTCCGACCACATGATGGCGGCGAAGGCGAGGTAGGCCCGGGCCAGATCGTTGATGGCAAAGAGGCTGGCGCTGTAGCGCAGATAGGCGACGGCGACGTAGCTGAAGACGCACTGGATGACGAGGCTCATCCCGGCGACCTCGAGCACGAGCCCCACGGTGGGCACGACCCAGTGGAGGTCGGGCCGCGCGGTCCAGGCGAACAGGAACAGGCCGACGGGCACCAGCACGCTGCCGCACAGGGCGGGCACGAGACGCTTCTCCGGCCGCGGCCACACCCCCCGCCGGAAGTCCGCGTTCAGCGACCAGTGCGTGAAGGCGAAGTAGCCCGGCAGCACCAGGAGCGTGCCGACGATCGCCCCCAGGAAGATCAGCCCCAGTTGGCCCAGCGTCATGGCGTGCATGGTGATGTACACGCGCGGCAGCACCTCGAAGTAGCTGTAGAAGATGGCGTAGACCAGTCCGATGTAGACGGTGGTGAAGAGGATCGCCGGGTCGAGCGCGTTGATCTTCCACGGAATCACGAGGGCGTCGTAGACGATCTGCGTGGGCCTCGCGTCGCGCACGGCGATTTCGGACTGCGACTGGAAGGCGGGATTGCCGGTGAGGGCCCGGAGGCGTTGGGCGCGCAGGTGCAGGATGGCCGGCCCGGAGGTTTCCGGGAGGAACAGCTAGAAAGGGCCATGATTAGTGTGACCGAGGTCACGGTGTCTCGGATGTTCACCCCCACTCACCAGGAAGACAAAGCACCCCCCGGCGGCCCAGAGGACCTCCCACATCGACCAATGCCACCCCTTGACGGGGACGCTGAAGCCCGCAATGACCGGCGCCACCGCGGGGCCCGCAATCGAGCAGACAGCCCAGACGTAGAGTCCGTAGGGCAGGTGCGTGAGCCCCGTCACGTCCGCGATGGAGGCCCCCCCCGTGGCCAGCCCGGGCGACCCGAAGAACCCCTGGAGAAAGCGGAGGATCAGAAACCCGGGGACGTTGTTCACCACCGCGGTGGGGATGCTGAGCAGCAAGAAGATGGTCACCGAGACCACGTAGGGTGGATTGCGGCCCACCGAGGGGATTTCCGATAGAGGGCTCCAGATCATCGGCCCTGTGCCGTAGCCCAGCACGTACAGCGACATCCCCAACTCGGTCACCGAGCGCGAGACCCCGAAGACGGTGCGGAACTCCCCCTCCGCGGCGGAGAAGATGGCCACCGACATGTAGACCATGAAGGTGATGAGATTCACCTCCAGGTACACGAGCAGCTTGGCCCCAAAGGACCAGTTTTGCGGGTTGTCGGGGTCGGTGCTCGAGTACCAACCGACTTGGATCGCTCCTTCGGCGGTGATCTGGGGTTCATTCCATGGGGGTCGGGTCGCGGGCTTTGCCTGCTCCTGCTCCTGCTCCTGCTCCTGCTGCTGTTGCGGCTGCTGATCGGGGGTGAGATGCGCTTCGGAGCCTGGGGTGGGTGGTCGGTTAGGTTCTGACACTTATCGGACGGGGTTGGTCCCACCTACTGCCACCGGACCTCGACTCATTCCGAGCGTGATGCTTCTTCTCCCGCGCGTCCAACCCGCCCTCCTCATCCCTCTCCGATCCCGTCAGTGAGCTCGACCCGAGCGGCCGAACCGTGCGAGTGGCGGCGAGCCGATAGGGAGGAGGCAGCTGGAAGCCGGGCTGCTGTTCGGTGGGTGGCAACAGACGCCCTCCTGACAGCCAGCGGCCAAGCAGTCCAATGGGGGAATTGGTGAGTAGATGCGCCATCTGAGACCGACGGTCCGGAACGACAGCGCAGGGTGAGTCTCGAAAAGGCGAGGGAAAGAAAAGAGACAAGGAACCAGGGCAATCCGTTCTGGCGGTGTCTCTACACTCCTGGCCCTCCTGGCCCCATGCAAGGGGTTCCGGTCCTGCCTTCCTGCCACCAGGCCCGTGTCGCCGATGCCACCCCATCGCCGGGAATGCGGCCTTTGACAGGGTTACATTGTGGTGAGTATGGAGTATGCTGTCATGACGCAAGGTGGACGAAGTAACCCGAAGAGAATCCCACTGGGCCCCGCTGTCCAAGGATTGTCAAGTGTCAAGGTAGGATCAGCAAGGTTAGGGGTAGACCCGACTGCCTTTTCAGACCCACCGCGATCACTGCTTGAGTTGACCCGATGACACTGGCAGGCGGGCTTGAGGGATGGAATGCTATCCATCCCGGATTCGTCCAAGGGTTGGGGATGCTCTCATCCGGACGGTGAGATACAGTGACCAGAGACGAAACGCCATGGGGCTCTACTATCAGAGACCGACCTCGACGGATGATAAGCGGTCAAGACCGGCCTTTCGTGTTGGCAGAATTTTGTGCATTCTTCAAGCCCTAACTGCCTCGACACTCCCTACAGTGACACGGACGCACACTTCTCGACCAAAGCGTTCACATTCTTCCGGACATCTCATAATCTCGAGGCCAGTCCCTATAGCCCAAACTAAAGAGTAAACGTACGCAACAAGCATAGCCAGTCTCCCATTCCCGCTGCCCCCAGCCTTCCTAAGAAAATTCCTTGGAACCCGAATCGATTTGCTCGAGCTAAAACTCCGTCCGTAGACCCTCCTCCCCGGCGCCGTGCTTCTGGTCATGTTTGATATCATCGGCGATCTTTTCGGCCACCATATCTAAATCAGACGGGGAAAAGAAAGAAGCACCCCCCCCCAGAGTTAGTCTTGCATCATTGCCTCACGGAGGTAGTGAAGGAGTCGGAACCACACTTACAAACCACGCCGAGAGGCAGTCCCGGAGGGAGGAATCGGAAGACGGAAGCGTCTGCAATGCGCACTGTTGGTTGTCCCCCGCGACGTGAGCGCTTTGTCCCAGAGGTTGCATCCTACAAGATTCACAGAGCAGATGGGGGAGGAAGGAGGCTTACGATTCTTGACCCCAAAGACACGACCCTTGGGGTCCACCACTGCGTCCGGGTCTCCCTTCTTGCCCATGCGACACGTACACGCGGGGTGGGACATGGAATTGAAGTTCTTCTTCAGGTAGTCGTGGATCTCGGCGAAGGTTTGCACCTCGGGGCCCGGGGCGACCTCCCCGCCGACCAGGACATTGCGCTCGAGGACGGGCATCTGAAGGTACTGGCGGATCCGACGCACGGCGGCGACGGCGATCTCCACGTCGCTGGTCGACGTCAGCCAGCGCGGATCAATCACGGGGCGGTCGTGCATGCTGGGAGAGCGGATGCTGATGTGGCCGCGGGACATGGGAGTCATCAGCGTGCACACGATCATCGCGTAGTTGTAGCCATCCTGGGGGAATCCGACGTCGACGGGGAAGGAAATGAAGAAGCCCTCCGGCCAGTCCTTGGGCAGGCCGGCGAGATCTGTGCGGAGTCAGTCGATCGCGCTTGGTATCAACTTATCTAGTCACACGGGGGAGAGGGCGTCCTGACCTGCGTGCGTGCTCGCCGAAAAGTTGCGGAGCTCGCTGGGAATGTCGGCGAACCCGCCGAAATCGGGCCCCGGGCTCGACAGAATGCCCGCCTGCGCCTCGTTGAACTCCTCGACGGCGTGCTGGCGAGGCCCCGCGTACTTCAGGGCGGAGTTGGTCTCGACATCCACGCGGTGGGCGACGCCGAAGCTGATGTGATCCTCCATCTGCTGGCCCACCTGGGGGGCGTCCAACACCACGGGGATGCGAAGCTCCTGGAGCAGGGCGGCATTCCCCACCCCCGAGACCTGCAGCAGCTGGGGGGTCATCAGTCCGCCGGCGGTGAGCACGACCTCCTTGGTGGCCGTGAGATTGAACACGGTCTTCCCGCGGCTGGCCTGCACGCCCGTGGCGGTGCGATCCGCGTCGAAGAGCACTCGCTCGGCCAGCGTGCGGTTGTACAGGAACAGGTTCTCCCGGCGGTGGAGGATGGGCTCCAGGAAGGTCTTGGCCGACGAGGCGCGCTGCCCGTCGGTGTGGTTGATCGTGTCCAGCACCCAGCTGCTGCCGAAGAGCTCGCCGGACATGAACCCCCCCACCGGCCGCATGCCGACCTGGTCGAAGGCCTTCTTCACCCAGCTGCTGAACGGCTGCGCGTAGTTGGGATAGGTCACGTCCAACGGACCGCCGTACCCCACGTCGGCCGGGTTCAGCTCCGGGGTCGAATTCGCCCGCCGCTTGTGGGGGTCGATGCCGGTGAAGTTCAGGCTTTTCTGGAAGTACCGCGTCACATTCGCGTACGTCCAGGAGTCATCGTCCACCTCCTCGGCCCACTTCTGCATCGCTCCCACGCTGGTCGTCATATACGCCATCAAGTTGAAGGCCGAATTTCCGCCGAGCTGGCGGGACATCCCCCCCCCAACGGAGACGAGTCAGTACAAACGGGCCTCTAAAGGGACGGGAACCACAGGTGGTTGCAGGGGTGGAGAAGGCACGGTACCGTCTTTGCATTGGTATAATGTTTCACCCTGCCATCGGCTCCCTAACGCGAGTGGGGTCAGTTCTGTCAGTGCACGCACGACGACGAGGATGATGGGGAAGGCCACAGCACAGACCGCTTGCGGCTCGGTATTGAATCCCCAGTCCAACTCCGGCGGGATGTGTCCCGTCAGATAGTCGGCGGCGTAGCCCGGGACCACACTGGCATTCGAGACCTCCTGGTAGAAGGAACCCGCTTCGACAATGGCCACGGTCACCGAGGGATCCTCGGAGAGCCGAGCGGCGACAGTGAGACCCGAGGCTCCGCCCCCGACGACCACGTAGTCCACGGTCTTCTCGATGGCACCGGGATACCGGGTGGGATCGCGCACCACGTCCGGGCCCAAAGGGGTCTGATACCACGGACCATTGGGGTAGCCGACGGCCACAGTGGAAAGGGTCCAAGCGGACAGAAGCGCCGTCGTGAATGGAGAGCCAGCCATGTTTCCTACTGGCGCATACGGTTGGATTTCGTGAGGACACTGGACGATGCATGGCGAAGCGATCGACGCACGCCGCGCAGCAGCAGTTTATAGGCAGCCGGCGAAGGGGTCTAGCCAGTCCGGAGGCATGATGGTGGTAACATCGGTTACAACTACAATGAATGGAGGGACCGAGTGATGACTGTGTTCCGGGGCTCGTCGGAGGTACCTGAGCGCTTCGTCTGCATGAAAAGGCAATGACGGACGATGATGTCAGTCAGTGTGCTCGAGTCGATGATGTCTATAGGTGAACAACCGTTCAATCGCGTCAACTGCAGTGATGATCGTGAGAAGACGCTTGAGAAACCGGGGAGGTGCACCGGTCTGCATCCCATCATGGATGGTGTCTCTCATTGTAAGATCTGTATCCACAACCATGGGTCAGGATCATATCGAACAGTCCAGAGCAGTGCGCTACAAATGGCCTCATAGACGTGACTCCAACGGCCTGGACACGACGTATCCAGCGAGGAGGAAATCCCGACCAAAAGACCCCACCCAACCCGGCCCAGCCCTAAGTCGGTCCCCGAAGCTTAATTCAACGGGGTGCATTTGGTACGGCTACGCCCGGTGACAATTTCGCCCGGGGGAATTCCATTCTCTTTCGTTTTTGGCGGTCACTTTTGGTTTACAGAGAAAGGCTAAAATGGTCTGGAGGGTTCAAGAGGTGGAAAAACGAAAACTGGATTGCACCAAACGAGGAGCGACTGGGTAAGTCCCATTGCTTTCCGCGCCACCCCGACAGACGTCCCCGACTAGCTACCTGGTAACCTAGGAACGAGACGGCTAATTGGGCAGCAAATTCAACCACTTCTTGAACACATTGTTCGGATCATACTTGCCTTTCAATTGCTGCAACCGGGGCAGGTTCTCGCCGAAAACGTCCTTGACCCGGCCGTCGTGGTGAGAATAATTGGCATAGGCGCGGGCATGCGCCCCGGCCCCGGCGCGGTCACCGACCTTGCGCATCATCGCCTGCTGCATCGCCCGCATGGTCTGGTCCAGACCGGGGTTCTCCCACCGGAACACGCAGCCGACATTATAGTACGGCCCGCGCGTGGCGTAGGCCATGGCCGCCTGGGGGACGCGCAGCACCGCGGTGTGGGAGACCAGCTCGAAGAGCACGGCGGTGCGCGAGGCCTCGGGATAGGTCTGGATCATCGCCTGGTAGTCGTCCAGCAGTTCCTGAAAGAACCCTACCTCCAGCGGGAGGCGGACGAAGGCGCCGCTGAAGGACTTGCGGCCGCCGTAGGTGGCGAAGGGGTTCTGGATCGTGTTCAGCTGCTCGTAGGGGATCATGGTGACCGTGTTGACCGTGGGCTGCAGCGCCAGCAGGGGCGCAAAGTGCCGCTCCGCGGCGGCGCGCGGCCCGTTGTAGAAGATGGCCGCCAGGATGATGTCCCCGCTGAAGCCGAAGAAGATCCCCTGGTCCTGCTGGGCCGGGCCCTCGTCCTCGAAGGTGTTGACGAAGGCCAGGATCTCCGGCAGTCGATGGGTCGGGTAGCTCAGCAAGCCCGCGTAGACCTCGTGGGGCTGGTCGTACGCCCGGAAGACGAACTCGGTGACGACGCCGAAGTTGTGGCCGGCGCCGCGCAGCGCCCAGAAGAGATCGGCGTTCGCCGTCTCCGATGCGCGTAGGATGCGTCCGTCGGCGAGCACCACCGTCGCCGCCAGGAGATTGTCAATCGTCAGCCCGTGGCGCCCCGTCAGCCACCCGTATCCGCCCCCGAGCGTCAGGCCTCCGACCCCGGTGTGATTCACCGTGCCCCCGACCGTCGCGAGGCCATGGACCGCCGCTGCCCGGTCCACATCTTCCCAGATGGTGCCCCCTTGCGCGGTAATGGTTTTGGCGGCGGGATCTACGACCACCCCTCGCATGCGCGCCAGACTGATCACCAGCCCTCCCTCGCTCGCCGAGGCGCCACTGGTCGAATGGCCGCCGTTGTGCACCACCAGAGGAATGTGATGCGCGGTCGCAAAACCCACCGCCAGCGACACCTCTTCTGCCGTCGTGGGTAAGACAACCGCGGCCTGGACGTATCGATTAGCAATGGGGGGCGGGGGGCGGGGAATTCCGACGCGGCTTAGGGTTTGTGCTTACCGCTCTCTTTTCGCAGGTGTCACTCCATCGTTTGATACTCTCCGCGTAGCCGGGCGAGTCCGGTGTCAAGACGAGGGCAGTCGTGCCGCGTAGGTGCTGGCGCAAGTCGTCCATATTCGGGGACTAGAATGGGCGCACAGAGTGGTGGGACGATGGTCGTAGCTGTGGCAGGAATGTAGGGGGCAGCGGTGCGGGAGAAAAATGTCTCGCAAAGGCCCGCGACCCTAAATACGTGAAATTTGGGGCCGAGCGGGGATCAACATACCGGAGCAGAAGCCAGTCATCCCCGAATCCTACCTGGCCTTGCGGTGTCTCCCTCTGTCATTTGGGGTCCAGTCTACTGCAAGCAGTTCGCTGGGAGCTCCCCACCACGGGAGGACCGGGGCCTACAAGCTTCCATTCGCAGCCGCCCATCCGTTCATGACAAGTGTCAGGTCTGCTGCGCTCCCGTCGGGCACGTTACATGTGGGCCTTGGAATTACTACCGACCTAGAATGGATCGGCCGAGCGGTTTTTCTACGAACGGAGGTTGGGACTGGGAAGTAGAATGATCTCATTGGCCTGTGGAGAATCAAGACACCCGGAGGCAGGTTCTGACTCTCGGGGTTACATGCGCTATTTCTTGAGATATTGATTGAACCAGGTGACCCCCTGACTGAAAGACTGTTCTTTGGCGAATCGGTGACGGGTCTTGTTCAGGTCACAGCGAACCGCAAAGCCATGCTCCACATCGGAGAAGATATTGATCTGGTAGGGGACATCCAGCTGGGCCAGGATCGTTTCGCTCTCGTGCCGCTTCTCAGGCGGAAAGAGATTGTCCTGGGCTGTAGAGAGAAATGTGGACATTTTTGCGATTTAGAACCCGGCGGAAAGAACCAAAACCAAAGAAGACGGTGGAAGGGAAATAGCTCACCACTAGCGGAAATGCTCAACGGTCCCTCAATGGCCTTCAACTCATCGGGCTCGATAAAGGTGGGATGGGCGACGAAGCCGACATCGAGCTGGCCCGGGTGCAGATACCGTACGACATACTTGCCTCCGTAACAGTAGCCCACGCCGCCGATGCGCTGACATCCCAGTCGCTCCCGCATTTCCCGGAGAGTGGCCGTGACGATGGGATCGGTCTGCGGGGGGAGATGACCCTGCAGCCAGTCCATGATTTGGAAACTTGGCGAGTGATCCACGGGAACCGGATCCCCCTGAAACAGGTCGGGCATCACCACCAAATACCCGTTGGCCGCGAACAGGTCGGCAATCAGCTTGGAGTTGACCAGTGCCAGGCCGAAGATGTCGGACAAGAATAGGATCGCATTGTGGGTGGACTTGTCCGGGGGGTAGGAGACGTACACCGGAACTGGACGAGGCCGAAAGGGGCCAGGGCCGGGGTTGCTTAGCATGTCTTCAAGGGTGCAGTGGGCGTCTTCTGGAAGGGACAGGGACAGGGACGGAGTGCGACATACTGTCACCAAACTTCGTGAGCTCGCCTTGGGTCTCGCCTTCGTGCAGTGAGCCACCAATGCAACACTGGGAAGGTGGGAGGGAGGTCATGGTGGGCTCGAGTCACAAAAGATCTAGTAGCGTCGCCAGGAAAAATCGGCCTTTACGATGAACGGAAGAGAAATGAAGAGAGCCCAGGGGGGATCCTTTATCAGGGCTATTACATAGTGGGTGGTTACAGCGAGCCGAAGGCATGTATCTAGATGGGAATGGAGTTCCAGGATTTCCATCGAGCGCGGCGTGTCCTTGCCGGTGACTTCAATGTTACACGGCCATCCAGCATCAAACCCGTTCCCAGGTCGCAGAAAACCCTAATTGGCATGAGGAGCATCGACCAGAGCATGCACCACTGGCTGATAGCCGTACAGAGGGGTTAAGGCTCGATGCCAACACCACATTGGCGCACAGACAAAGGCAACCCAGCGCAGCAGAGGCCCCATCGGCGACCAGAGTCGTCCCGTGTGCAGCTGCGCAAAGAGACTGGAGAACGAGAACACGTAACGGGCTCTGGCCTCCCGGCGGTGACGATACTCCTCCAGCCGCTCGCGCAGCATCTGTGGACTGGGAGATTGGCTGGCAAAGTATGCATGCAGCGCGTTGGCCAATTCGCCTGCATCCTCGATGGCTTGGCAGGCGCCCTGTGCAAGTGATCGGGATGGTCGGTTAGCCCGGAATGCCCCGAGGAGAGATGGAGTCCAAGGAATACCTCCAATCGGGAGGGGAGGAACGTACCTGACCGATGAAAGATGTCATGGAATGAGCCGCTTCCGAAATCTTAGGTTAGTACCAGATGTTGGGTCAAGATAAGGGAGTCCCATGGAACCATACAGTCACCCACTAGAGCTACCCGTCCACAGGCCATCGCCGGAAATGTCGTCTCCTCGAAAACATCACTGGCTGTCACCCGCTCGGCCAGATTCACCACTGTGGTTGGGGGCGATGGGTTAGAATCTTCGCCCGCACCAGAAATCCACACCACCGTAGAGCAGCACACGCACGTACCATCACGAACCCGATGATGCTCCCCAAACGGGTGAAAGCGGTCTCCATAAACGTCATTGATGATGGCCTGAGTAGCATTTTTCCAACTGGATCGCGTTGGATTCTTCAGCTCAGAAGACTAATATCGGATGGATCCATGAATCAGTGGTGCGGTTGGTAGGGTTTCCCCCGGGGGGGGGGGGAGGGGGGGGAACGGATGTACTGTACCTTCACCCCGACAAACCATTGTCGGTTGTCTATGCATGGCCAGGAGGTCAAGATCGAGTCATCGTAGAAGACCCAAGTAGCCACCCCCAAATCAGCCGGTCCCAGATGCTGCAGGGGATGGGTGTAGCCGGTCATGTGGGTACGCCCGGTGAAGCGGATGGTGTTGGCCCCCTCCAGCCCTTGCGTCGCAGCCAGAATGCGACGGGTGGCTGATCGAATACCATCCGCACCCACGACGAGTTGTCCTGCCAGCTGGCGGCCATCCGCGAGTCGCACCTGAACGCTGGGTGCGGTGGGCACATCCTCGATATCCACCACCTCGGCATCGAGGAGGACATGCTCCGGCCCCGCCCCCTGGTACAGCACCTGGTGCATGGAATGCCGTTCGATCGAGTAGACGCTGTAGCCGAACTTCTCCTGCACCCAGTCGTAATCCACCAGGCTCCACGGCGTGCTGTTGCGGAAGATTTGGATCTTGCGCAGCGGCTGCCCTTTGCGGCGGATGAAGTCCAAGTGGCCCAACTGCTCCAGGATGCGCAGGCAGTTGGGCGCCAGCGAGATTCCGGCGCCCACGGGCGTAATCTCAGCACTGCGCTCCAGGACCTTGTAGGTGATTCCGAGCTTTTTACAGATGCCAGCCAGAGTCAGGCCGCCGATTCCTCCGCCGACAATGAGGACATCGACCGTCGTTGTTGCAGAAGCCTGTTCCATGATAGGGAGGGGGAGGGGAAGGTCAGTCGAGACAAGAAAATGCTCCTGGATGTTGGCTGCTTGAGAGAAAGTGAGCGAGAGGTGAATGACAACTCTATGTATGGATCTATACCCCTACGGATGCGTGCTCTGGACACATTCATGATCGTCATGCCCAGTTTGTCCCTGCCCGATACATTCAGCGATGTGGATTAACATCCCCGTGAGGTTGTATGAAGGAGAGTCTATGCAGATGGCAGCCATGGGTCGGAGGGGGTTACTCTCCCCCGTCTTTATCGAGCCCTCGGGACGCAATCTAGACCTCGCGTTGCATCTTCCTCCCTTTCTAGGGCTCCAAATCTGTCCCCGTCCGTCTCCGGCGATACGAAACGTAGTTGGGAAGAAGGGACGGTCTGGACAACACTTCGATGCCTACTACACATAGCATCCATCCGTGGATGTCGATCTTCCGGATGACGTCGGAACTATTCGCAGTGCACTGTGGCATCTGGCCGGATGGAGCTTTTGGAAGGGAGAGCGAAGCCGAAAAATCAAAGAACTCTCGCATTGCCCCCAATTGCGGGGCCGCCAAAGAAGAAGGGTAAAGATTAACAATCACACAAATTCCACACAATCAAAGACAAAAAACCACAACTTCAGAGAGCATGTGTACCCGCTGGGACTTTACTCCGCCACCTTCGGCCTAATAGCAATAGACGCATCGCCCTCAAGCCAGGGACTTCCTACTTTGCTAAAGTCCAGAGCAGTCAGGTCCGTCGGGGGGCCCTCCTTGCCCCAAACCATATCATACCGGCGCACCAGCGTTGCAAGGAGACCCTGGGCGATGATCCCGGCCAGCGCCTCCCCGGGGCAGCGATGGCAGCCGGCGCCGAACTGCAGAAATGCCGCCTCGCGGGGGTTGTTCAGGTTCTGCATCCGATCGTCCGGCTGCAGCCACCGCTCGGGGATCCAGTGCTGTGGGGTGTGGAAGATCTCCGGGTCATGATGGGTCAGGTAGGGCGAGATGGAGACAATCCAATTCGGGGGAACGAGGTACTTGCCTCCCTCCAGCTCGACCGCACGGTGGGTCGTGCGAAACATATGCACGCCTGAATAATGCCGGCCCGTTTCTTTGATCCCGGCCAGTAGCTCGGGGCATTTTCGCGCGTCCGGATGCGCGGCCAGGGACTGCCGTAGCTGGGCCAAGTAGTCAGGGTTGCGTAGTAACTGCATGGAAATCATCCACCTCAAACCGTTTAGCGACGATGCCGTGTGTAGGGCTGGACGGCTGGCATGGGGATCATGAACGGCAACTGACCTCAAGAATGGTCCACGAGATGCTGGCCACCGTGCTGGTGTGGGCTGCAAACATCAACACCGTATGATGGGAAGGGAGATATCCCTCCAGATGCGCGGTGCGGGGATCCTCCAGGGTGAAGGAGATGTAGTCGAGGGAATCCCTCCAGATCTCCGGATTCCGGCGCCGATCGGCCACCTGCTGCTCGAAGATCTGAGCAAAGCGATCTCGATTCTGCTCCAGCCGGCGCGCCGCGGGGTGGGGAATCCAGTCGGGCAGCAACAGATTGAAGGGGTGCCCGATGTCAGCCTCCATGTGGTGTAGGATCTCGTAGAGCTCGTCCAGACGATGGTCGTAGAAGTCCTGACCCATCAAGCACCGGACAATCACCCGGTGCACAAACCGGGAGGTTTCCTCGAATACTGGGACGGCACCGCGCTGGCTCCAGCCCTGAAGAGCCTTCCCGGCCTCCTCTTCGATCAGCTGGAAGTAATGCTCCAACGCTGCCTTGCGGTTCACCCCGCGGTTGAGAGAGTTCACGAGCGTTCGGAGGTGGTCAAAGTACCCCGGCTTGGCGATCTTACGGAGAAACAGACCCTGACATACCGAGACACGCCAAATCAGCTGCATGCATGTGGTGGGGGGGCGGGGGGGGGGAGGGGGTAGTGCTGGAACGAGGCCTACAATTCCACCCCCAAATGACCAGGTGTCCTCCTTGACATCGGTATACATGCGATTGAGCTTGACCCCGCGCAGGTAGACCAGATTCGCGACCAGGAGCTTGATTTGGAAGATCGATCCACATTTCTGCGTGGCCTTCTGTACGAAGCCCACAGGATCGGCAAGGAAGGCAGCGGCGTCCCCGATGCGAGGCACGCCGAAATTCGGGGCAGGCGGCGCTCTCTTTGCGCTCTCTGTCGGCCAGACCAGGCATACGAGGCACACCACCAGGGCCCCGATCACAACCGAGGAGTAGGCGGGCTGCTGCTCCAGAAAGATCAGGGGGGGTAGCAGGTGAGAGGCGATCATGCTGGCTTCCAGGGGAGTCAGACGAGGGCGATTCTAGGTGAGTAGAGCCACATGAGAGAGTAGCCGGTGCGTGATCCTTTATCAACCACGCAGCTGCTTTGATCGAATCATCTACTCAATGGAGGGGGGGGGGAAACATGGGCCTGTACACCGATATGCCACACCAAAGACACCCAGAGTTTGGATTCCTGGGTTTGAGGAACTGGAGGCAGTGGTCCGAAACTGGAAATGGGAGGTGTTCAGGGTCTTGTCCCAGAGGTCGTTGTCGTTGAGGTCACATCCTCTCCTCCGTTCCCGGCATTGACTTATCTTTCCTGGACGTCAGTAGGAGAGGCACCCCGAAGTCGTAAGCGGCCCGTCATGGATCTAGAACCTCTTGCCCCCAGTGAGACATTATCTGCCGATTTGATGTCATTGATATTCGATCTTTGGAATCACGGATGACTGCGCCATATTCCAAACATGGACTTCGGCAGAGCCACTGCAGGCAGACCAGCCCCTTCCAGACGGCCAGACACAGGAATGCAATTGCTACGTTGAGTCAATTAGGTCACCCCGTCAACTGTCTTGGTCACAGTTTGGATGAGGTTTCGTGGCACCTTGGTGTCGTGCCTGTCCACCGCAATCAGGTCAGAATAGACCGAGCAACAACCTTCGAGAACCTCGAGAGCTGGGATGCATAGTGGAGCCTGACGTAGCATAGAAACCCAGACCAAACAGAGAGAGTGCAGCATGGGTGCACTCAGAAGTGGGATCACATCTGTTGAAACCTCGCTGGAGAAAGATATAAATTGGACGACAGTTGATGACCCTCTGATTGACGACACTGCTTGGAAGTCGAATTTGCATCATCCACCCTTGCTAGCTGCCATCCACCATGGCGACGCTTACCACGAGGCAATTGCGAGGCTCGGAAGACTCGCGGACAGCGAGTGAATATGTTTCGCCGGTGTTTTCCACTCCGCAGTCCCCCTCTCCAGCTTCTTCACTAGATGGACCCAATCTCCCCGCGGTCATCGGCTACGCGTGTCGCGTAGCTGGGGCGGATCGCCCGAGCAAACTCTGGGAAAACATCGTCGAACAGAAGGATGTGAGACGCAAACTTCCCAGGGATCGATTTAACGTAGACACCTTTTACCACCCGGATGGAACACACAAGGGAACAGTACGCCTCCTACCGTCTCCCCCTCCCTTGAGCTGACCATAGCGGTGCTAACTCACGGGCCCTCCAGACCAATGCAAAACATGGCTACTTTCTGGATCAGGATCTGGGGGCATTTGACCGCACTTTCTTCCGGATTTCGGGCAAGGAAGCGGAAGCAATGGATCCCCAGCAGCGCCTGCTTCTGGAGGTAGTGTTTGAGGCATTCGAAGACGCCGGAATCTCCTTGGAGGAGATGAACGGCTCACGCACCTCCGTCTTGTGTGGTGCCTTTACCAACGATTACAATGCCATGCTGACCAAGGATCTGGAATACTATCCCAAATACACCGTGACGGGAACGGGGAACGCCATTCTCGCGAACCGGATATCTTATGCCTTCAACCTGAAGGGGATGAGTCTGACAATTGATACCGCATGCTCGTCGTCGCTCGTGGGGTTTCACCTGGGCGCACAAGCCATCCTCAACGGAGAATGCGAAATGGCGATCATTGTCGGCTCCGCGCTGCACTTTGACCCGAACATCTTCATCACCATGACCGACCTGGGAATGCTGTCCCAGGAAGGACGCTGCCGGGCGTTCGACGCCGGGGGCAAAGGATACGCTCGGGGAGAAGGGATCTGCGCCGTCATCCTGCGGGGCCAGATGCAAGCCGAGATGCACGGCGACCACATCCGCGCGCTGGTCCGAGCCACCGGATCCAACCATGATGGCATGACGCAGGGAATCACCCTACCGTCCTCGGAGGCTCAGGAAGCCCTAATTCGGAGAACCTATCAGTCTTGTGGTCTCGATCCCGCCGACACCCAGTATGTCGAGGCCCACGGAACGGGCACGGCGCGCGGGGATCCGTTGGAGATGCGCGCCATCGGCGCCTGTTTCTCGTCTCCACGACGGTCTGATCCTTTATACGTAGGCTCGGTGAAGAGCAATATCGGCCACGCGGAGGGGGCGTCCGGGCTGGCGGGATTGATCAAGGCCAGCATGGCCCTAGAGAAAGGACAGATCCCCCCTAACATGCATTTCAAGCACCCAAACCCGGAGATCGCCTTTGCCGATTGGCAGATTGAAGTGCCCACCCGGTTAATCGACTTTCCCAGCAATGCCCAGGGCACCCGACGAGTCAGCATCAACTCCTTCGGCTACGGGGGCTCTAACGCCCATGTCATCCTCGAGTCCTACGACCAACTGCCCCATGTCCAGCCCACCGACCCGGGGGCGCATCGGCCATACTTGGTGCCTTTGACCTCGCATACGGAGAAGGCAGGCAAGCTGATGGTAGAGAAACTCGGAGCCTATCTCGACGACAGGCCGAGCACCCTCGTCGTGGATCTGGCGCACAGTCTGGCCACTCGCCGCACGCTGCATGACGAGCGGTCCTTTGCTGTGGGCGCGAGCGCGGCCGACATTCGGACCCAGCTATCGGAGGGTCTTCCGGCCTGGACCAAAGTCCGCCGGGAGCCAGTGCGATTGGGGTTTGTCTTCACAGGTCAAGGGGCCCAGTGGCATGCCATGGGCCGTCAACTTCTGGAACAGTGCCCCTTCTTCCGCCACACTCTGGAGAGGGCCGATCGCGTCCTCGCCACCCTCCCTGATAAGCCGGAGTGGTCGATCGTGACGGAACTCACCCAGCCCAAGGAGACGTCGCGACTGGGTGAAACCCGACTATCACAGCCCATCTGCACCGCGCTGCAGCTCGCCATTCTGGACCTCTTGAAGAGCTGGGGAATCGTTCCCCAGGCCACCGTGGGCCATTCGTCCGGTGAGGTTGCCGGTGCGTACGCGGCGGGGATCTTGACCTTCGAGAATGCAATGTATGCGGCGTACTATCGAGGCCTGCATATGTCGAGCCCACGGTCGTCCACATCACCCGGAAGGGATGCCATTCCAGGGGCAATGTTGGCGGTGGGACTAGGCGAGGCTGAGGCCATGGCGGAGACTGAGTCGTATCGTGGTCGAGCGGTCGTTGCCGCCGTCAACAGTCCCTCGAGTGTGACGCTATCCGGGGACGGGGATGCGATTGCCGAAATCAAGGAGAGATTGGATGCCCAGAAAGTGTTTGCTCGGCGTCTCCAGGTGCAACAAGCGTTCCATTCCCACCATATGGACCCGCTAGCCCCGGCCTATGAAGAGGCACTTCGCAACTGTCCGGGCTTCGCGACCACGGCCCCGGCATGTCGATTCTTCTCCAGTGTGACGGCCCGCGTGGCAAACCCCGACACGATGGGTCCCCAATACTGGTCGGCGAACATGACAGGCACCGTCCGGTTCTCCGATGCCTTGATCGGCATCCTGCTGGATGATCTGGAAAATCCAAACGTCGATGCGCTCGTCGAGATTGGACCCCATCCGGCGCTCAAGGGCCCGGCTCGTCAGGTCATGAAGAGCGTGAATATGGACCTACCTTACTTCGCCTCCCTGTCGCGTGGAGTCCCCGACTACGAGGGGATCCTGGCTCTGGCGGGTCAGCTATTCCAACTGGGTTATCCTGTCGACCTCACCGCGGTCAATAGTGACACCTATCTGGCCGACTCCGATCCCCCCCGGCAGACCCACCGGGCCCAGAGGATTCCAGATCTGCCCCTATACGCATGGGACCATTCAGACCGGTATTGGGCGGAGACGCGACTGATCAAAGAACACCGTCTACGTCCGCACCACCATCCCATCTTGGGGGCCAAGATGCCCGGATCAATCGAGGGCCATGTGCGGTGGCGGAACTACCTGAGAACGCGCGAGCTTCCCTGGCTGGTGGACCATATGGTCGATAACAAGGTGACTTTTCCCGCGGCTGGCTATGTGACCCTAGCGATCGAAGCAGCCCTTCGGATGAAAGACACGGTGATGGCAGCCCAAGGGGTCTCGCTACGCAACCTCTCCATCAAGTCCGCGTTGGTACTCGATGAGTCCGAGATGGGGAGCGAGGTGGTCGTGGACATCCGCCCCCAGACCACGTCGGCCAAGTCGAGATCGGATACCTGGCTGGAGTTCACCATATTCTCCTACAACGGCAGCCTGACCTGCGCCGAGCACTGCACGGGGCTGATATCGATCTCGACTGCCACCACCGCGGACGGTGCCCCGTCACGGAAGCCCTACAGGCAACACCCGCAGCGGCAACCGGGCAGGATGAGTACCGCGTCTTTTCCCGCGCAAAGCTTCTACACCCATCTTCGTCAGCTCGGACTCCAATACGGGGAGCATTTCCAGCTCCTGACCGGAACCATCGAGTCTGGGGCCGGCTTCTCCTCCTCCATGCTGACCTTTGAGCCGGCGCAATATGCCTCTCAACCCGCCGACCGGACCGTGGTGCACCCGACCATGTTAGATGCTGCATTTCATACCATCTTCGCCGCCCTGGAAGGTCTTTCCGGCCGAACCCTGCAGACAGCCTTCGTCCCCACGTTTGTCCACTCGCTCGACATCTTCCCGGCCATGCTGTCCGGGATGGATGCCCCTCGGCCGCTCGAGGCGCGCGTGGCTTCGTCCGCTCATTTCTCGGGCCCGCGTGCGGCCGTCAGTGATGTGGATATGTACCGACAGGGCGACGGCGAGGCGCTGCTCTCCCTGGCTGGCCTCCGTCTGACCTCGTTGAGCAACGGCCGGGCTGCCCACAATCGCTCACTGTTTTTCCGCACGCGCTGGCAGCCGGCCTTTGACCAGCTGGCCGAGGATTCCCCGGCTCTCCAGGACCAAACACTGGCGGGAGTCTTGGATCTGTTTCTTCACCAACATCCGGACACCAAGATCCTGCATTTCACCCCTGATATCAACCAGACCCGGCAGCTGGTCGGCTGCCTGGTCGACCAAGGCAGCGAACGTCGACGGTTCCGATCCATCACGCCCGTGGCAACTGGGGGCGCGTTCGCCGAAGAGCTCGAGCGGGTGCAGAGGGAGCAGCCGGGGTGCCTCGTGACGGGGGAGCCCGAGCCGGAGGCCTATGACTTGGTGATCGTCAGCGAGGCGCAGGAAGCACACCCTCTCCCGTTTCTCCGGGACGGGGGCTACGTGATCAGCCACGGCTCGGCCATCGATGAGACAAATTTAACGAAGAGGTTTCAGTGTGCGGATGTCGAAGTGTGGCAAAGGACGCGCGAAACCAGGCGTGACGTCCGGCCTCTGCTGTTGGCAATGGCTCCCACCCCTTCGCGCCGGACCCTAGATCTGGCGTCGCACATCAGAGCGGCAAACCCCGACCGGCCGGTGTCTTGCCTCGGGCTCCAGGAGCTTCTGGCCCGCATGACCGGCGTCGAAGATGTGGTCGTCCTCGCCAGCTTGGATCGGGATCTCTTGTCGGGTCTAGACCCGCAGGGGGAACTGTTCTTCGAAGCCACCCGAGCCCTCCTCATCCGCCCGGATGTCAATGTTCTCTGGCTACTGCAGGACACCACCGCCCCTCGGCATGTCGACAGTCTGGGGAGCTCAATGATCGTCGGGCTGGCTCGGACGGCGCGGTCGGAGAATCCCAGCTCGCGCATTGTGACGCTCGATCTCCCCGTAGACTGGTCGCCTGCCGCGGTGGTGCCCTGGCTCCCACAGCTGTTGGACCCGGAGGTGCACGAGGACGAATTTCACCTGCGGGATCAGGTGCTCTCCATTCCGCGCATCGAAAATGATGATGGCCTGAATTCCAAGGTCCCCGGTGGGGTCAGCTCCGGTCCAAGACCCGAATCCTTCAGTGCGCAGCGTCCCATGCGGCTAGCCATTGGGCAAGCCGGCCTCCTGGAGACGCTCGTGTGGGAAGACGACGTGGAGATCCTGAACGAGCCACTCCCGGACGATGAGATTGAGATCGAGGTCAAAGCGTCCGCGCTCAACTTCCGCGACGTGGCGGCCGCGATGGGGATCATCGATGACCATCGCCTGGGCGACGAGTGCGCCGGTCTCGTCCGGCGCGTGGGCCAGCAGGTTGACCCCGCTGCCTTCCAACCTGGGGACCGAGTGGTCGCCCTCCGGCCAGGCCGGGGCGCCCATCGATCGGTGGTCAGGAACCCAGCCTGTCACTGCTTCCGACTCGGGCCCATGCCGTTTGAGCAGGCGACGGCGCTCCCCCTGATTCTGACCACGGCGTACTACTCCCTGGTGGAGACGGCACGACTGCAGCCGGGCGAAACGGTGCTGATTCATTGTGCCGCCGGGGGAGTGGGCCAGATGGCCATCCAGATTGCGCAGCAGATCGGGGCCAGGATCATCGCCACGGTGGGATCCCCCGCGAAGCGCGATCTGCTCCAGTCCCGGTACGGGCTGACGGAGGCGCACATTCTCTCCTCGCGGGATGCCAGCTTCGTCGACGGGGTGATGCAACTCACGGACGGACGCGGCGTGGACGTCGTCCTCAACAGTCTCTCGGGCAAGCTCCTGCATGCCTCGTGGAACAGCCTGGCCACCTTCGGCCGCTTCATCGAGATTGGGAAGCGCGACATCCATGAGAACACCCTGATCGAGATGGACCCCTTCCGCCGGAATGTGCTCTTTGCCTCGGTGGACATGGTGACGATCTATGCCCAGAACCGCGCGCTCGGGGCCCGGATCTTCGACCACTGCTGCAACATGGTCCACGAAGGCCGCATCCAACTGCCGGCGACCATCCTGGCTCTGCCGTACTCGGAGGCCGTCCAGGGCTTCCGACTGCTCCAGATGGGCCGCCATACTGGCAAGGTGGTGTTGGTCGCCGAGGACCAGGCCGACCAAGTGCCCGTGAGTCCGCCCACCTGGAACGCGGTGGCCAACCGGCTCAGCCCCGACAAGACCTATCTGCTGGTGGGGGGCCTGGGGGGCTTGGGGCGCACCTTGACGGAATGGCTGGTGCAGCGACAGGCCAAGCGCATTGCCTTCTTGTCGCGATCGGGCGCGGATCGCCCGGAAGCCCAGGCCACCGTCGCATGGCTGCGGGCGCGTGGCATTGCGGTCTCCGTGCATGCCGGGGATGTCGCCGATCCGGGGCATGTGCAGGCCTGCATCAAGGCGATCCCGGACCTGGGGGGCGTGTTTCATGCCGCCATGGTGTTGGCGGATGCCCCCCTCGAGAGGATGAGTTATGCGCAATGGCATCGCTGCGTCCAGCCCAAGGTCCGCGGCGCCTACAACCTGCATTGCGCGACGGTGCACTGCCCACTGGACTTCTTCGTGTGCTTCTCCTCCATCTCCGCGTTCTTCGGCAGCAAGGCGCAGGCGAACTATGCGGCGGCCAATGTGTACCTGGACAGCCTCGTCCGGTACCGCCGCCAGCTCGGCCTCCCGGCCTCCAGCATGAACTGCGGGCGCATCACCGGGGTCGGCGTGGCTGCGGCCGATGCCAGTCTCGAACGGTTCATGGTCGAAGAGGGCTTTGACGGGGTCAACCGGCAGGAGCTGCTCTATCAAATCGAGGAAGCTATCTTCTCTGCCGATCAGCCCGCTCCTCTCTCAGGGCGAGGGACCGACATGTCCCAGACCCTCACCGGCGTGACTCTAGAACGAGACGACGTGTACTGGGCACAGCGATCCATCTTTCGGAATCTGTACCGCAACCACGACGTTGAGGGTCAATCCCGGCCTGGGGCGGACGAGGTCAATCTCTCCGTTCAGCTGGCTCGCACGATAGATCTCTCGGACCGCGTGGCCCTGCTCATGGAGCGCTTTGTCGACAAGGTCTCTGTGGTGCTCGGTCTCTCGCCCGAGTCTCTCAAGCCCGCCGATCCGGTGTATGGTTTGGATTCGTTGGTCGCCGTCGAGCTGCGCAATTGGTTCACCAAGTCCGTCGGCGTCGACATTGCCCTGTTTGACGTTCTGGGAAGCCCATCCATCCAAGCCCTAGTGGAAAAGGCCATCGGCCTGTTCGATGCGCAGGTCCAGCAGCAGCAGCAGCAGCAGAGTGTCCAGTCGTCGTCTGCCCCGTCCAACGACGACCAGTCCCCGACATTTAACAAGAATCTCGACTCACAGGATCACTCCACCTCCCTGCAAATCCCCAAAGCGGACTGCTCGCGTCCACTGCCAATGTCCACCTTCCAGAATCGGCTGTGGGTCTCGCATCGCTTTGCCGCGGACAAGTCTCGCATCAATCTCGCAATCACGATGCATCTGCGGGGACAGGCCGATCATGGCATCTTGGAACAAGCTCTGTCCGAGTTGATTGCCCGCAACCCCATCCTGCGCACCGCCTATGGGGAAGGCGAGGCGCAGGACGAGCAGAGAGTGATGGCTCCCCGGCCCTTCCACCTCGGGTTCCATGATCTCTCCAAATCCGGTCCCAGCGAAGGTCCCACCGCATCCTTGGAGACGCTGGTCGGGTCCCTGAAGCGCAAGGAGATGAGGATTGAGGAGGGCGAAGTGCTGGAGGCGACGTTGGTCCAAAGGTCCAGCACCGAGTGCGCCTTGGTCCTCATCATGCACCACATCTGCACGGATCGCAGCAATTCCCAGTCCTTTGTGCGGCAGCTGGCTGCCCTCTACGACGCCCTCCGCCAAGGGCGCAGCCTGAGCACGATTCCCGCGCCCAAGGTGACCTACGCCGACTTCACCTTGTGGCACAATCATCTGCTCACCTCGCCCTCCATGGGAAAGGGGGTCGAGTACTGGAAGCAAACGCTGGCGGGCATGCCGGCCAGCTGCCAACTGCTGCCCTTCGCCAAGGGCGAGCGGCCGTCGTGGGATGAGTACGGCCGGGAGACGGTGGTCGCAGCACTGTCTGCGCGCCAGCTCCAACGCATGAAGCGCATCTGCTCGCAAGCGCGCACGAGCCCCTTCCACTTCCTCTTGGCCGCCTTCCGGGCGTTTCTGCACCGATACACGGCGGACGAGGACCTGACGATTCTCATGGTGGACGGAAACCGCCCGCATGCGGACCTGGGCGAGGTGCTGGGCTTCTTTGTGAATATGGCGCCCATCCGATGCCGGGATGCTTGTGCCGGCAGCTTCGAGGCGCTGTTGAAAACCATCGGGGGCCGGGTGCTCGAGGCGATGGCGCACAGCCACGTGCCGTTTGATGTGATTGTCGCCCAGACGCAGGGGGCGCGCACGCCGGCGCATTTCCCCGTGAGCCAGGTCCTGGTCAACTACCAGCAGCCCGACGAGCAGGCCCGCTATCAGACCACGGACTTCACCTTCCAGGGCACCGAGGTCCAGAATATGCCCACGGGCTGCGAGTTGAGCCTCCAGGCCCGTGAGGATGCCGAGCACGGCCTGCAGCTCGAGCTCGAGTACGCGACCGCCCTGTACGAGGACGGGGATATGCGGTGCTTCTTCGACAACTTCCAGACCTTCGTCACCAGCCTGATCCAGGACCACCGGCAGTCCATCCCGGAGGTCCGCCTTGCGGGGACTCTGGAGTTGGAGCGGTTGGCCCTCCACTGCTGGAACAGCCACCCCCCCGACCATGGCTGGCAACCGTTGAACCTCCCCCGACGGATCGTCGAGGTGGCCGAGACCCAGCCGCGCGCCATCGCGATCACGACGTCGGCCGGGGAGGCTGTCACCTATCAGGACCTCGTGGCCTCGGCCCGTCGGGTGGCCTTCTCGCTGCAGAATCGGGGCATTGGCCCGGGACAAGTCGTGGGCATCCTGGCCAGCCCGGGGATTGAGCTGGTCACCGCGATGCTGGGGGCCTTGTTCAACCGGTGTGGATACGTGCCCTTGGATCCCACCATGGCCGTTGGCCGTCTCGCATATATTGTGGGCGACTCGGGGATGCAGTTGCTGCTGATCGACGAGGAATCTGACCCCCTGGCCTCGTCGTTGGGGCGGGAGTCGCCCAGTCTGCCGAATGTGATGAGTATCAAAAACGCCACTCGCGCCGCCTGGCCAGCCGATCTTCTGCGGTCGTTACCGACGGACCCCTTCTACATGATGTATACTTCGGTATGTTGCTTGGTCCCCCCCCCCCCCCCTGCCCGACAGCCCTAGCCCCGGGACGCGGCCTGCAGAGAGGCTGGCTAACACATGCCTAGGGAAGTACTGGGACCCCCAAGGGAGTGCCGCTCACCCAGGAGAATGTCGGGGAGATGCTGGCCGCCATGCAGGCCCGGTTCAACTTCACGCGCGAGGATCGCTTCCTCCACCAGATCTCCCCGTCCTTTGATCTGTCCGTGGTGGAACTCTTCTCCCCGTTATGCGTCGGGGCGAAGCTCTGCATTGCCACCAAGACCACCCGCAGCGACCCGCGCCTGTTGGGCGACTATCTGCGACAGGCGTCGGTCACGGTGACCTACTTCACCCCGACGCAATTCGCCTTGGTGCTCGAGCACAGTGGGGCGTCGCTGGTCGCCTGCCCGGACTATCGGATTGCGCTCCTGTGCGGGGAGCGACTGCCCACCCGGCTCGCCGAGGCATTCCATCAGCTGGCCTGCGCGGCAACGCTGTACAATGCCTGGGGTCCCACGGAGGCGGCGGTGCAGACCACGATCCACCGCGTGCAGTGGCCGGCAGACCAGACGCTCAACATCCCCATCGGCCACGCCGTGGGCAGCTGCCGCCATTACATTGTGGACGCGGCCATGAACCCCCTGCCCGTGGGCTTTGTCGGCGAAATCTGCATCGGCGGCCCGCAGGTGGCCCGGGGGTATTGGAACCGCGCCGAGAGCAACCGCCAGCAGTTCCTCCGGAATCCCTTTGCCTCGCCGGACGACCATCGCCGCGGCTGGACCCGGCTCTTCCGCACGGGCGATCTGGGCCGGTTCCTGCCGGACGGACAGTTGGAATTCCTGGGCCGCATCGCCGGCGACAAGCAGATCAAGTTGCGCGGCTTTCGCATCGACCTGGGCGAGATTGAACATGTCCTGCACCGGCACTCCGGGACCCCCGACGGGCAAGGCATCGTGGATCTGGCGGTCATCGCGCAGTCCGCGCCGGAAGATGCGGACGCTTTGACCGATGATCGGTGGCTGGTGGCCTTCATCGTGCCGAAACAGGCGATCCCGACGGAGGCCGCGAAGCGAGCATACGCCACGCTGCTGCACACCCGGGCCAAACCCTACCTGAACCGCTACATGCTCCCGGCCGCCTATCAGTTCGTCGACCAGCTGCCCACCACGGCCAGTGGGAAAACGGATCGCCGAGCCCTGGGCGCCTCCCAGGCCCCGGGCACGCCCCCGCAGCACGGCGCCGGCCCCGCGGCGGCGTCGACGCTGGACCCGGCGCAGGCGCAGGCGCAGGATCGGGCCGACGAGGAGGTCGGTGACCGCACCATGGCAACCGTGACGCGCGTGTGGCAGGAAGTGCTGAGGCTGGACCATGACATCCCCGTGGAACCGACCAGCAATTTCTTCGACATGGGGGGCTCCAGCACGCTCCTGCTTCGGCTGCAGGGCAAGCTGCAAACCACGCTGTCCATCCCGATCAGCCTGCAAGAGATGGTCCGCCGGCCGACGCTCGTGCAGCTGGTCGAACTGGTCCACAGCAAGGTGCCCCGCGAGGGTCAGCCACCGCCGACGCCGGGGAGCCGCCCCGAGGAGGATGTGGTCGATTGGGCGCAAGAGACCACTTTGCCCGCCGAGACTCGCTACCATCCCCCCAGCGCCCCGATGAGTCCGGGCGGACGGGATATCTTGATGACGGGGGCCGAGAGCTTCACCGGGATCCATTTGCTGGCGCAACTCCTGACCTCGCACCCCAGCGGCACCATCCATCTCCTGGGCACGCACCACCCCTGGGACCATGCGCAGGTCTTCCACCGACTGCAGGAGTACAACCTCCTCAACGCCACGCTCACCCCGGAGCAGATCCTGACCCGCCTGCGCATGATTCCCGGCAGCTTGGCCGAGGGCTCTCATTTCGGGCTGTCCCCCCGCGCCTTCGAGGCGCTGGGTCGATCCATCGCGACCATCTACCACCTCGCCTCCGAGGTTTCCCTCCTCAAGACCTACCACGACCTCAAGCCCATCAATACCGCCGCCATCCTGCCGCTGATCGAACTCGCGCGCTGGGGGGCGCCCAGCCCCATCCACTATCTCTCCACCTGGAGTGTGCCTCACCTCCAGCTCTGGACGGCGCCGCCCACGACGCCCGCGGTGGTGCACGAGGCCAGCGCCGGCCACTTCACGCCGCCGCCGACCGCGGACCAGGGCTACTTCAAGTCGCGGTGGGCGGCTGAGATGCTGCTCACGCACGCCGCCGCCCGCGGCTTCCCGGTGACCATCTATCGCGCCTCCGCCGTGACCGGCAACCCGACCACGGGCCTCCCGGCGCCGGCCGGCGACTTCGTGCGCAGCCTGATCCTCGACATGCTGCGCCACCGGCTCGTGCCGCGGTTCGCGCGCGAGTCCCCCGCGCCCGTCGTCGTGGACTTGGTTCCGGTCAACTATCTCACGGCGCTCCTGGCCCACCTCGCCCAGCGCCCACGAGCGGCCGCCGCCGAGGGCCCCCGCCCCGCCGGCGTCGAGATCTTCCATCTCACGAACCCCACCCCGCTGCCGCTCGACCAGCTGCCGGGCTTGACCGGGTCGATCCGCGGCGACGCCACCGCGGGCCGCGTGGTGAGCGTGGACGACTGGCTGGCCGCGGCCGCGGCCGCGGATGAGGACGAGCAGCTGCGCGTGCAGGTGGCGGGCGGATACTTCCGGCGGGGCCATCAGATGTTTGCCCTGGATCGCAGGCGGACCGATGCCGCGCTCGGCGGGGTGACGGAAGGGTGGGTGGACTGTCCTCCTGTCGATGCGAATTACCTCCGCGCGTTGTGGCTGCAGAAGGTGTGAGCGAGCCGGGAGGTCGGGGTGGTTGGGTTCTCGGTATGCATCTATCTCGATTGGGCGTGGGACCGGAGTCTCTGGGTTACTTGTCTATCCGTTCATTGATATCGTGTTCTGTGTATCTGTTGATCTCTTATCTATTTAATCCATCTTTCTATATCTCCGGTCAAATAATGTAAACCTCTTCTGGAAGACTACCTACCGTTGGGAGTTCTTCTTCATGTATAGGGGCAGCCGAGTGCCACTGGCTAGCTAGCCAGTCGAGGGCATATGGTACTATGGTACGATGGTACTATGGTACAGTACAGTCGTGATGGTGGACTGCACTGCACCGGTACCTTTAAAAACCCTGACCTCACCTGTCAGCAATAACTGATCAGTGACCCTGTCCTACCAGCAAGACAATCCGTACGCATGCTCAGCCAGCTGCCCGATACCTATCACCTGGCACCGCCGTCCAGCTTGACGGCTTCGATGTCGACTACGGGTTCGAACCCCAAGTTTTTCCGGATCAATGAATTGAGAAAAGTAGAATAGTTAGGCGTATCCTTCGCAGGAACCCAGCCATAACTCAAATCTGAAATGCAGAGAGAAATCTCGAGAGATAGATAGAGAAACACACAAAGAGGTGGACATTCAAAAGAACCAGACAGACAGTCTTCCGCTCAACACTTGAAAGAAAGCAAGACGAAGAAGAAGAAGAAGCATACTGAGGCTTTCACTGTCGCGCACACACGAGATAGAAAAGCAATATTCAGAAAAAAGAAAAGAAAACGCTAGAACATGAGATACTGGTGTCATCATCGCTTGCTTGGCTTTCCATGGACTGTACTGTTGAAGACACACAAGTTCATCCCAAAGCAGGAAGAGTCAACCCTTGATGCAGCATGGGTCGTTTCATCTATCGCAACACAAAACAATCATTTCAGTCAATAGCGCGTCTCTCCGTTCCAATCGTCGTCGTGCATTTTCCTATGAATACACGCGGTTTCGTGGTCGTGGCAAAAGAAGAAGTAGATAGATCAGATCGCACAGGAAGTCGATGGTTGATGAGTTAGTTGGTGGGGTTGGTGGTGATGAGATAAAATTTGGAAAATCATATTGAAAAATAAAAAAAAAAATATAGGAAATGGTCAATGAGTGAACCGCGAGGGAGCTGTTAGCTGATCGTAGCTGGTAAGCTGCCCTACTTGGCAGTTGGAAATGGTAATGAGTAGATCTTTCAGAGAATGATTGTGGTTCGGTAGGTTGGAATTGCGGGGACAAAAAGGAAAAGAGCGAGTGCGTTTGACCGTCCACAGCGTTGAAGAGAGACCTGCGTGGTGGCATGAAGCTGGATGCCAATGAAGCTGGTTGGAGCTCTCCGCAGATGTGCAATGCTGCAATGGTCAAAGAGGTTAGTCGAAGGAGGAAAACAACGATCGATCTCTGTCGGTTTGATTTGGTTTAGCCAGTCGGGCTGGTACACCATGGTCCGCGGTCCTGAGCATAATAGATTGGTGGATGCTGCTGGAACGCGCATGGATGCACTTTAATGGATATCGTTTTTCTGGGGTTCAAATTTTGCCAATGTTGAACTTTCAACATGCAGAACTCTAGGATTTCAAGGTAAGGTCATAAGATTCGTCAATGCCGTTTCTGTCATTATTCTTTGATCGAAAGCGATCAAGTTCGCAACAAGTCGTCCAGGTCGTTAGTGAGGCAACGGGTGCCAGCATCACCGCCTCGAATAGGGCATATTGAGGATTTGTCTGCGAATTCGTTCCGCATCCGATATACCTTCTTCCGTCGGGTCAAACGGGAGTGGGCTGGTGATTTCTGGTTCCTTAAGTGGGGTGCCAGAAACGCTCGGTCTGAACTGCGGGATCAATCCACTTGCAAACGGGTCGGAGAGGGACGGTGCATGTCGGACGAACCGAGGCGAGGGTTCGGGCCGTTGAGCGGCCTCAACTTTGAAAGGTGAGCCCAAGCGCTTAATACTGTCTCCAACCAGATTAAGAAGTGGGTTGACAGGCTTCTCCACGAGACTATCCTCATTGCGAGATGTTGATGATGGGGGAGAAAATAATTGATCAATGCCCTTAGGGTTCACCGCACTCATTGTCGCTCCACGGTTACGGATTCGAATCCGACGTTGGTCCATGTCGTTCAGCTTTCCCTGGCGGACAAGCTCCTCTAACTGATTCCGTGTATCTTTTTCTACAGGAGTTTCGGTGGCAGGCGCATAGCCGGCGACAGTGGCGTCATGCTCAGCAGCGGGGAACACAGGTGGGGAGCGTAGCCGGGAACCCGTGACGTGGATCGTGTCCCGTCGACTCCTGGGCGTATGGCGCTGGACTCGTTTTCTTGAGCTATGAGGACCCCAGGTATTGTATGTAAATGGGGATCCGAGGCGAGGTATGCTATCCTGTTCCTTTACGTTCGCATGGCTTCGCGCAAGTGGTTCTATCGGTGCCAGCTGCGCAACCCCTGATATGGGGGTGTTGAACCACTCATCATTCTTCCCCGGCAAAGAAGAATCTTCCGCCGTGAGTTGAGCGAGTGGTCCGTGGACTGAGCTGGCCACAAGTGACACGCCCAGGTCGCGTGTTGCATACGCGGTTGAACTGTTGCTGTAGCCGTCAGCCTGGGAGGCTTCCCGTGAGGCCCGCGTGAACAAATCGTAGAACGGTGTCGGGCTCTTGGATTGCATCATCCGTTGATAATGTGGCGCGATACAGAACTTCTTCCGACAGAGGAGCTTGAGCCTTCGCCGGGTTGACGCCTCCGACTTGGGCCAGAGTGGTCTTGCGGCATCAGTTTTGGGGGTCGGGGTTTTGTCTCCACCCGAGCGTGACTGAAGTATGGCGAAGGGGAATTGCTTGTCCAGTCTGAAGCGTCGTTTCTCCCAGGTCCGCTTTGCATCGCGTGCAACTCGATGAGTGACACCCAGGGGCGGAATACTGCCCGGGGTCATTTTGAAGGGAGTGATTGTAGGATCCTGAAGATACAACTGGTAAGTATTCCAAAGATGATTGTCCATATCGATTGTCCAGCGCTCCTTTGCTGGGAAAGCCCGCGGTTTGTTCCTGAGAGCAGCACGCATCGATGGCGTCTCGGTAACATGCTTTGGCGGTACTTCGAGATGGAAAAAAGGATCGTACGAATCGCTTTCCATGCTCGTACAGCTCCCACCCGCCGAGCGCCGCGACCCGAACGTTTCAATAGACGAGACGGAAGAATCCGATGCCTGCGAACAGGCTGATCCAGGTCGCTGAATGCTTTCCCCAAGGGTACGAGCATCTTCGGAAGACCAGCGCTCGGCGGATTGCTCGTCAAGATCCGGGCGGATTTGCGCTGGAGGGGTCTTCAGGGCTACTCTGTCCCGAGGGGGCGCCAGAAAGCGGTCATCCCGCGACGGATTTGTCGGGCCTCCATTACCCACAAAAGCGTCCTGGGGCGTGGGAAATTCGATAGAGGGGAGGGGGATATCGGAGAGATTTGGATAAGCGGTGCTGAGGTCATACTCGGCTTGCGCAAAGACGTTGGTTCCGGAGCGAACACGAGATCGGCGAAGACGACAGCTGGAATGACGAGGCGGCGGCGGCGGCGGGACATCTAGGTGCGCTGACATGCGCTCGGGTGTCCTCGGCTCCCCTATGCTGGTGGACGGGAAAGTGAAATTCTTGGGCAGCGTGCGCGAAAGGCCCAGCTGTCGTGACTCCATGGTAGACAAGTGACAGTCTCGTAGAGTGGTAATTGGTGACAGGCTGGATCGCGACGACTTAATCCAAAGAATTAATACGTACTTCTAACAATAACACTTTCTGACACTATAACATGACGCTCGTCTGCGGAAATGTTATGCGCAGGAAAAGGATATCCTCAGCAGGAGTCAGAGCGCTAACGGGGAGATTATAGATGGCGCGCAGTGTATGCGATCCCAATTGATCGCGCTGAAAATCAATCGTGGTCGGTGTCCAGCGTGAGCCCGACAGCCAGGTTCTGACGGTATCCAAAGGGAAGGATAGAGCAAAGAAAATCGTTCTAGCTAGTAGTTGGACGTCTTGAGTCAAGCTTCAGGGGAGATCGACTAAGCGCGCTGGGGAAGGTTCGGGGGCGGCGGAGGGTCGTAAGTCGTAACAGTAGGTGAGTAAAGAAAAGGAAAACAAAGTGCGTCAAGGTGTGAATGGTCGGTACGATTTGTGAGGAACAGTGATGTTAGGCGCGAAGGTGTGGAATGTAACGATGCGCTGGAATTGAGACAGATTCACATTGAACTGTCGGCGCGCTCCATTGCCCGATCGTCGATTGACTTGAAGTATGGGGAAGAGGCGGGCATTGACCACACGAACCCGAAACCAACAAAACACGAAGGAAAAAAGAGAAAAGAGAAAAGAAAAGGGGGGGGGGGAAGGGATAGTCAAGGACGAGCGACAGGCTCTATCGGAGAATAAAGGAATAAAGGAAAAAGGAAGAGGCACAACGTGGCTGTATAGAGGAAAAAGGGCGGGAGAGAAGGAAGTGAGAGGGAAGAAGAGGGAGGGAGAGTCGGAGAAGGTGAGAGGGGAGGGAAGGAAACTAACTGGTAAGATCGGTGGTAAGTTCAGGAATAAGGGAGAGACAGCCGAGGACAGAAGCGGTAGGCGCCCGTACAGTCCACGGAACAACTGTAAGTTAACAACTGTAAGTTAAGTTAACAGTGGACCCTCTTTTGGGCTCCCGAAGAGAAGCTCGATCCTCTCTATGCCCCGTTCCATCGTTCCATGGATGCCACACAGACTGACATGCAATGCTATGACCATCGCATCTCATCTCTTGTTATATCATCAATCTATTGATTTTTCTGCCTGTTTCCCCCCCCCCCCCCCCCTCCCCCCCCTCCTTCCATGATATAAACCCGGACCAGAAAAAAAGAAGGAAAACAAGACGAAAATTCAAATTACAAAACAATCAAACCCAAAGAAGGACCTGGGCAGGAAAAGTCGCTCGTCACATTGGCTCTGGAATGCGGAGAATTGATATGCTGGACATGCTCGTGAGCCACTCAGCGCCAGGCATCCTATACTATGCTGACCCCCTTTTTCCCCTTCCTCCCTCTTGTGTCATGATTGTTAGTGATTCGGTCGTCTTTTCTCGTTTTTCGAGTCTGCATTACTTTGCTTGATCTCCTTTCTTCACAGTTGCGGGTCTCGCTCATTCTGACTTCTGACTTGGTGACTTAGTTGTCAGTGGACTCGAGAATGAGGCCGTCATCGCCTGCGTCAGAGAAGACAATGATGCTGAGTATAGATTGATAGTGAGCGAGGACGATCCGCCTCACCGCGTTGCCCAACCATCCCTCGCCCTCATCCTTCCCCCCTCCCCCTTCGGAACGGGCAGAGAAAAACAAAAAGAGATGTGCGCTTGCAGTGCCTGGACAACAAATGACAATTCCGCTGGGATGGGGCAAATCGTTGTTGGCCGCCCCCACTAGAAGTGGACAGTAACTTACTGTACCTTAACGGACTAGTAGTCTAGTGGTGACTCTAGTCGATTTGCACCCACGGGCTGGGCTGATATCGATCGGGCCATGCCCAAAAATTAATTTCCCCTCCCCCATTACTCTATTTGCAACATTGCTCGTCCTTGACCCTGCAAGGGTGTCTGTCCGGGGTGATGCCGTGAGCAGGCTTGAATTTTCCACGGTCGGGTGCAGTGTGCAATGTGCAGTGTGGCCCGTACGTGGCTGCTACTGGTGAGTAGGGGCAGCAGTGGTCATCTCGCTGTACTACCAGCAGCTGCTCCTCTATGTTTCTACTCCTTCTGGGTGATGTGATGACTGTGATGACAAGCTTCACGGTCCAGAAGACAGACAGACTCACGAGGTATCAGCGGGTCCTCCCTCCTCCATTGGATCTACAACCCGTGCATGGATCCCGCCGAAGTCCGCAATAGCAGTCTCGACTTCCCTAATCTACACCCTGGTGTGGAAGAAAAGTCGGGTGGCTGGGAAGGTATTTTCTCAACCCTGGGGGAAGGCAATGGCTGCTGCTCGAGGGATTATTTCTCCTAAGCCTTGAGGACTCGAGTCTCGAGGGCTGTGTTTGTGTGTGTGACGGTGAGAGAGAGCGAGGGAGAGCGAGACAGCGAAGGAGAGTGGGCGAACACTTTCCCCTAAGGCGATAAACTCCAGTCTCCTGCAGAAGCACTCTCCACCGTCAGGCCAAACGAACCCCCGATGCACTGGGCGTGCATTAGCGACCCCAACCAAGAGCCAGTAGCGGGACGGCGGTCGAAATTGCGAACAAGCGCTAATTTGGATGGTATGGTTCAAACAGATGAGTCGGTGGCAGTGATCGAGGAGAGACACCCGTCGAAGATTCTTCTGGTCTTCTCTTCATTATATATGTACCAAATACCCCTCTCCTGCTTGGCTGACCGTCCATCCGTAGGCACTCTCTCTCTCTCCATCCAGACTCGCAGAAAACCACATCAGAGTCACATCGAATGCAATGACCGAGGCATAGCCCCTTAACCCGATTGAGCTTATCTGCATATTCCGACGCGTGCCGAGGTGGGGTAGACGCGACCTTACCGCGTGATCGACGCGTATCCGCGCGTCTGTGTAACAGGACGTATATGACTCGCTTTCCACCACTCGCAACGTGCCGGTCTCAGTACAGAGGATACCGTCTTACCCGGTTCCTGACTAACCCTCCCAAGTCATGGCATCCACACCACTTCGACCTCGTTGGATTCTTGATTCCCAAGCTCCGAATTGCTGGACATTAAAATAGAAACTGGAAAAAAAAAAAAGCAGGTGGCTGGGGATGGGGCACTTGTGACTTCGGTCCAGGAACAAGGAAGCGAGTCCACCAGAGAGTCGACGGAATACTATTCTTAGACACCGCTACCAAGATATCCACGCTAAGTGGCATAGAAATCGACATGAACTTATGAACGGACTACACACTGAAAAAGGTGGAAGCCCTGAGTGGGGACATCCCCAACCCGATCTAATCAAAGCAGACCAGACTTTCAGGAACCAAGAGCAGTGCGAACCTGGGTCGGTCAGGTCCCGATCTAACCAGACACTGCTCCCCATGGATCAAACAACAGTTACCAGAAGTCGTTGGGATTTGATTGAGTGTTGGTTCCTCTATAGATCTCTTGACTGACACTCTTTTCTCGAATAATATCATTGTACTCCGCAGAACACGTAGAACGAACTCTGGATAAAAACACTAGGTCTATGTAGATAGAAGTGAGTATATCAACACCAGCACGAAACCTCATCCAATCCCTGTCGATAATCCGATAATCCTTCCTGTCGACCCTCGTCTCTTCTGCAAGTACTGAGTAGTATGTGGCATGTCTTTCGGGGGCCAGTACTGTACACAACGCTTTATACCCACGTATACTACTTAGTAGTTACTTGGTACCCCATCCATCCCTAAGCGAGCCGACAGCAGCAGCAGCAGCAGCAGTCAACCCTTGACAGGCGATCCCAAGGAGTGTGTACTGTATGTGCATATCACGCACTCGTCAACAGCTCATATACTAGATGTCGATTCTTGAGATTCACCAGCCCCTCCGCCCCGATCGACCATTATATCATATCTCCATGACTACGACAGCCTTCACCATACCTGAGCGTAATCAACCCACCTCCTATGCACGGTACTTAGCATATCACTCCGATCCAGCATAATACGACATCCTCCTCGACCACCAAGAATATCTCCATAATCGAAAGTAGATACCCATACCGATATCTATAGACCCAGCACCCTAAGTCCAATCCAAGCCAGGTACAATCCAGTCCATATACATGCGGAGAGCATACATCGAACCAACAACCACAACCCCAACCCCAACCCCAACCATCACCACCCAACATCAAGAGAAAACAACCCAATGATTCAGCTACGTTGATTCTGCATGCATCCCACAGAGGTATCAAGTATCAGGAACGAGACCTCTCTCGCGAACCCCCACTTTCCCTCATCTATGTTTCAAAGAATCGAACCGCCTATTCTGGAGATGATCCGTACTCCGTAGTGGACCCGCATTCTCAGGTCTGCCGGAGTCGAAGTATGTAGCGTCTGCACGGCAGTCCCGGGGAGAGAGAGTGAGTGCTGTACTGTACTGTACGCTGAGCTCATCCAACCTACCCTGGGAGGACGGCCAATATGAGTGATTTTTTTTTCTTTCTCTCTTTTTTTCCCACGTCATAAGTAAACCCGTCCGCCGAGGTTTCGTATCCGGATTCTTGTTGCGTCGGAGGGGGAGAGGGGGGGGAGAAGGAGAAGGGGAAGGTCGCCCCATTGCCCAGGGCTCTACTGGATCCTGCTTGATGGTCTGCTATCCCTTGCTTTGGGTGGGGTTTCACTTCTCATCGTGAGCATGTATGAACTTGCGTCATAAGGGTGTGTGTATATATGGAACGGTCTGTGTCGGCCGCTACTGCCTGCCAGTCCTGCAGGGCAACCGAAACAGGAGGAATATGTTTTGTTTACTTGGATGTACAGTACGTGTCTTGATTTTTTTTTTTGGCAGCGGATAGCGTTTCTGTCCTAGCCCAATCTTTCCTAAATTAATAGACTCTACCTCTTACTCCAACCTTGACAAATCCACCTCCGGCTCCCGGGACCGAAACAACAACCGGACGCTCGGGTCGCAGATCGACTCCGTCCCGTGCATGAAGTTCGGCGGGCGCCCGGTGCGGTCTTCGAACGCCCAGTCGTAGCGCAGCAGCAGATGCACGAGCAGGATCTTGATCTCGTTCGCCGCGAAGAACCGCCCGGGACACGCGTGCATGCCGTGGCCGAAGGCGTAGTGCTCCGCGCTCGTCGTCACGAATTGGAACCGGTGCTCGTTGCCGGGCGACTGGCGCCACTTGTAGAAGCGCAGACCGTCGTAGACCGCGGGGGAGGTGTAGACGGACTCGTCCTCGAAGATGTGGGCCGAGACGAGCATGGTTGCGCCCTTGGGGATGCGGGTGCCGTCGGACAGGAAGACTTCTTTCGTGGCGAGGCGGTTGAGAAAGGCTGGATGCGATTAGTTGGAGTTGGGTACCATGGGGTAGCAGCTGTGTGTCAATTTACCGATTCCGGCCGGGTTCATCCGCTGGCTTTCCTTCAGCACGCTGTCCATTTTCTTCATCTTCGTGAGGCTGGTCTTCTTCAGAGAGCCGCCGTCTTCGGTGATGACCGTCTTGATCTCGTCGCGGAGTATCTGGATGTATTCGGGGTATGCTGTCAGGTCGTACATCACGTTGGTCAGGAGATTCGACGTCGTGTGGATGGCGGCCATAGTGAGGCCCATTTGCGCCTGCGCCACGTTCAGCGGACGTCCGTCTGCGAGTTCATGAAACCAATCCAGGGTATCCTCGTGGCTCCGTGGCGGGTTCTCTGCGGGGAGCCGCCCCTCTCGAATGAGCTTTCGCCTTTCGATCTCTTTGTTGACGATTGCGGACCCGATCTTCACATGTTTGCGGACCCCTTGGACGGTAGGTATGAACCAGTGCACTAACGGTTGAAGAATCGATGGCCAAGCTCGAAGATCGCGCGCACCAACGAAGGCGTCGATGGTGAAGTTGACGGAAACGTTGAGCCACTGTGGGTCGCGACAGATTTTCTCTCCCAGAAACACGAGGGTAGATAACCGTGCAACGATGTATGGTATCTCCATGGCGAAGCTGACCGGGGTCCATGCTGTGGGCCGCTATGGTCACTGTTGAGCAGTCCATCCGAGAGGGAGAGCACATACCGTCACTTTTGGGAAGCTTTTCTCGTAACACGGCGCTGGTTTCCTTCGATAGAGGACTCACGAGTTGACCTGGTTTTGTTGTAGCGGTGCCACATGCCGACATGGAGCGTCACTCACCGAGAGAATGGGTCAGTCGCTTGTTGATCACATCCATCTGGATCGGCTCTACCTTCTCGAAGACCTCGAAGCCCGGAATTTTAGATCCAAAGAAAAACTGCTCAAATATAGCTTAGATCGGCTCAGCCAGCATTATACCATAACGACAGGGCCTACCTTCTTGTTCGCTTCGTCGAAGCTGAGATGCGGGTGGTTCTTGACCTCATCCACAAGGCTGGGGTGGAGCACCACGGTTGGATCGGAGGCTGCGACCAGTTGGAAGGCCTTCCTGCCCTATATCGAGTCCCTATTAGCGCGTGGTACAAACCGGCTGTGAGAGCGCTGGATGAACCCTGTTTGTCTTCGGCTGAACAATGCACGAACCTGGCTGAACCCCTCCGCGAAGAGCTCCTTAGCGGATGCCACGAATCGCTGCTTAGCCTTGCTGTTCGAGAGCGCCCATCTACTTTTTCCGATCAAGGGAATGTTTTGGTAAGGAAAGCTTTCAGTGGACTCATGATAGAACTTCGACACAAAGACCAAGAATAGGGCCACGACTGCGCCTTGCAGTAGATGGTAGCTTTCCAGCTGCTCGATGATGAAAGCCATTGTTGACTGACTGGCTGGCTGACTGACATTTGACAAAACGAGGGGTGGTGACGAGGTTTAAATAAGAGGACGCCTCGAGTTGACATCTCTTCCCCGAGCACCGATCTTACCCCTTCTTGGTAGCTTGGGCAGGCTGCTTGCCAGGGATGAAATTGTCAATCATGCGTAGTCCACTGATTCCACCACAAAAGCCCGTCGATAGGGTGTCAGACCCGGGTGCGAAAGCTTCACAGTCACCGTAGACTCTGTCTAGGACTGGATCCACTTGATACGCCCAAATACGTTGAAGGCATCGAGCCAGATTGGATCCTATGCCGTTGCAATGACGAGTCAGCGATTGGTCGCTGATTGGAGCACGACAGATGAGCTATGGTCAAATCGGATGAAAGACTGACAAGCGCTGGGGAATTCGAGGCCTAGAAAGCTAAAAATTGTTCCAAAGATTCGATAAAACTCAATGATAGGCGCGGGGACTACCTAGCAGGGCAAGTTAGATATGCGGCGGTTGGAGATCCTCGACCCAGACTTTGGTCACTTTGGTGTCGGAGTTGGACTTTGAGTTTTGGATTGGAATTGGAACAGGAGTATCATGAAATGGAGCTCGGTGATTGGGCACCAAAAGTAAGACATAGAGTGAGATTAGACGAGCTGTCATTGATAGGTACGTTGCTGTATGTAGGTAGGTTATTAGGTAGGTAGGTACAGTACCTGATCATTTACGATGAGTACGGAGTATGCCAGGCGTGTGGGAGAAAAGCGGGTCTGGCCGTAGTGGCATTATCGAAAGAGTCCCAGGTAATTTGACCGTTCGTGTGGAGAGACAGTCCGATGTGGATCCGTCCAGCCTGGAGGATGAAAGGAACGTGCGATGCGGTCGATCGCGTACTCGAATACGGCGTACGTCTGCCTTAGACCAGTAGCTTTCTTTCGTCCCGCTATTCTTGCTCTTCCCAACCCAACTAACCACAGACTCGGCACGACGACCCCCTGAAATTGGAGGCCCCAATCTGAATCAAACCTAGACTCTGATCAATTGTTCTAAGGACCTGACATGAATTGCTCGATGTCAGCAACAACGCCAGGCTTGGAACCTGTCACGAACTGACCAGTGGACGGGCTTGCAGGGAGCAACAGTGGATGCTGTCGTTTCTGACCTACTTCAAGCACTTCAAGCATCAAGAGACATGCCCATGGTTTATTTCTAGTCTGGTCAGACCAACACACCACACATTATTCGAACGGACTGAACTCGGCGTGTGGGGATTTTCTTGGTTGTTGACCGGGATGATCATCTACTGCCCCCAGCTGTTGCTACCGGCAGGTGGAGAGGCTATCCATGGAGCCGACGTACGAGACCACAAACCGATGCAAACCCCGCGTTGTCCACGCAATCGATATGCATGCGGTAGAATAGGAGTACCTTGGCAGCTGACTATAAGGCTAATACAAGATCAACTCTCACCAGCAACGTGAGGGTAGGATAACTCTTGACGCAGATCTACTTTGCCATTGATACTCTCCCGGGTCACACTTTCAGACTGAATCATGGCATCTCTATCGCTAAGACAGTTCCTCGAGTATATCCGAGCCTTCAATGCTAAAGTCTACCAGAAACAGCACTCCTTCTACCATCCAGATGTCCGTCTTGTCATTCCCGACCCGGAGGTGGGAACCCTCGTGGGGTCCGCAGGCATCATGAATCACTATGCTGTACTTCATGCCACTGCGGAGGAGACTGTCGTTCCCATGCTGGTTATGATTGACCAAGGGCACATTTTCTTCGTGATGGAGACATATTTCCGCTACGTCCAGGCCACAGACCATGCTGTCCACGGCCACAAGGCACAAGCCGGAGACGTGATCAAAGTCACCGTGTGGGCACTGTACGACATGGACGGTGGAAAGATGAAGCATATAACTTGCAACGGGTTCAATCATGAGTTTCTTGGCAAGGTGGATGTGAATCAGCGGATCCACGAGAGCTGGAGTCGAGCAGACAGTACGGTCAAGCGTTGCTGGGGTTCTGCTTCGCTGCTCTAGAAAGTATCCGTACCCGGACTAACTGATGGGACATGATAATTTCATATATCATCCATCCTCATATTGATACACTTCCCACCATAGTATACACACCATCAACCCACCAACTATAACCGCAATAAACACACCGACATTACGACCCACAAACCAACCCTTCCCTCTGATAATCTCGAAACACATCCTCCGGCGATCCCTCCGCCGTGTCCAACCTCTGGAACCCTTTACGCATCGACTCTTTCCGATCTTTTTTCTTCTTCTTCGGCGACATCCACCCCTTTGGACTACTCATCGCCGACGCAGCCGTCGCAAACTGCAGCCGCCGCCTCACCCGCGACGCCAGCCCGAGCTTTTTGGCCGTAGCCTTGCGGGAGACGATCTCCACGCACGGCGACGGCTCCTCCTCTGTTTGTTCTTCGTCGTCGTCGTTATCATTCTCGTCCTCAGCGCACAGCGTGTGCCGCTGCTGGTGAGTGAATGAGATACTCTCCGGTAGGTAGATCCTATGGTGGTGGGTTGTGGAATTGGACGCTGTTCGCGACTGTTGGTGGCTCAGGAGCGGCTTTCTATACGAGCTGCTGCTCTTCCGGGATCGGGGTTGTGTGACTGCTGCTGCCGCTGGGGTGGGACACAGGGAGTGCTGTTGCTGGGCGAGCTGTTTCTTGGAGGTTTTGGTCTTGATGGGGCTGAATCGTTTGCGGCCTGGGGGCTGAATTATCTTGTGGTTAGTGTCTTCTTGCGAGCAAATGCTGAGATGTCTTGTCTAAGAAGAGTAGATGGTTGTTGAATAGCGAAGTTGCGCCGTAAGCTGCAACCTGTGTAGTTTCCGTACCGGGTTCGGTGGTGTCTCCGGGAGACCACGCATAAAGCAGCCGTCCTCATCATGAAGGCGGGACTGTTTCGCCTTGCTGGGCGAGGATCTGAAGGGCGAGCTGACCCTCATGGCTGTCGGGCGGCCGGGGATCTCTGGTCTGGTTGCCTGCGGTGGTGGGTGAGATGTCTTGGAATGTGTAGGAGTCGGTGGGGGCACATGGTGGTGCTATTGCATAAGACCTCGATGATGACAGAATACAAATCCAAAAACGACGAACGGGCAGAGGAACAGAGCATGTTTTGGGCTGCGTCGAACGGGCCTCCTTGCTAAATACTTGCTCCGGGGGTGTCTGGGCCATTCTTTGGATGTTGTTGTGGCATAAGATTGCATTTCGGGAGGAATGTAAATAATGCAAGTCGGCTGCATGTCGGTCTCTAGTCGTGTAGCGGGTTAGGGATCTCTGTATACTGGAGGAAGAATGGACTTAGAGATAGTATTGAGTACGTGATATTTGCTTTTCAATCTCTCTGAAACTAATAGCTGATGGTTCACTTGACTGAAGTCTGCCACGCATTGGAACGGATACTTGTCAAATCAGTTGTTGGCATTCCTCGCAGATCCAGAGCATGGTGTTCAAGTCAATAGACCCCACATTCTCCGGACGAAAGAACCGGCCATATGGTTTGGGTTCCATTAGTCAATACTTACTGGACGAGTTAGGTGAGGCTATGCTTCTCCTGTACTAGCTGTCGCGTTGTGCTACTGTTCCCCTCACAGATGGTCCACGTTTGCAGTGGATAGATACATTATTGAATCAAGTGATGATAGGAACTATGTCAGTGATTATATAGTAACTAAGGTATAAATCAGTCAACCAGTACTTGTGGTATATGAGTCTTCAGTCGGAAACTACAGTCTTGGCTCGGACAGGCTCAGCCGCAGACTGACAAGCTCAATGCTATCCAACTACGAGATATACAAATAAGCATTCAAGCTCTTGGTCTCTAACATTATATGCATTATAAACCCCCCTTCTCTCGAATTATTCTGTGGTAGCAGATATCTCGTGGAGCAAGAGCCAATCGATAAGTTCCGAGAACGATTACATCAAGATGAACCGATGGTGGCAACATGACGTGAAAGCTGCTTTGCTTGTCAGACCCAGGTACAACTCCTCGTACAAATACCATGATACATTGAACTCTGAAAGTGTGAACTCAAGAATATCCCCTATTGAATGAATCAGTGAATCATACAGCAATCAATAATTTCTCACAGTAGCCCCCCCTCCACGATCCTACACCATACCGACTATATATCACTACCCGCTACCTCACCACTGCAACCAACCACACCCCCAATCCCCACATAACCTACCAATCCCAGATCCCAGAAGATAAGACCACTACAACCAACATGACCGAAACAAGCCCCATCTACAACCTCATAGCCGCCATGGATGCCGAAGACGAAGCCACCGCCCACAACACCACCGCCGCCCCGGACGACGCAACAACCGACTACGGCGCCCGCGCCGTCCGCAGCGCCGCCATGCCCGCAGACGAGGACGACGAAAGCCGCCTCGCGGACCATGTCTCCGTCCAGGACTCTGCCCCAGCAGGTGGCCGGTACCAGCCTTCTGCGTACTATGACGACGCCCCACGGGAGCAAGCGATGCCGTCGCATCGTCATCGGCAGGAGACGGCGACGGCTGGGGGCGGGTATCAGTTGCGAGAGGTGGAGGAGCGGGCGGATGGGTCGAGGCGCGTGCATCGCGAATATGAGGATCCGGCGACCGGGGTGACTTATGTACGGGATTTGAATGGCTGATTCTTTTCTTTTGGGGATTGAGGGCGGATATGGGAGTGAGAGTGGTTTTTTGGGGAAGGTGTGCAGTACAGTATAGCTTATGTCGGGTTGGAAATCATGTCGAGTACAGCATCATCAAACGTGGATGAAGGGACGTTTGAACTTTCAGTACAAGCTCACTAGAATGAGGATTCGGGGGCTGTGGCGCTTCCTCCGTATGGGACAGGCCCAAACCTTCGAGATTATCAAGTCAAACCACCATAATCAATCCATTCAATTCAAGCTTTTGATATCCCTTCCCTCCTGGCTCACGAAAGATAGAAGGGAGTCAAGAAACATATAATTAACTCCAGCCCATGCTATGCCTAAGCGCCATATTACGAAAGTCCACACACTGACAAGAAGAAGAAGAAAAGAACCACCGAGCAAAACCCCCCACGAGACGACGAGGCCAGATTAAGCCTCTCCATCCGACGTCTCCTCCTTCGACTTGCTCTTCTTCTTCTTTTTCTTCTCCTTCCGGTCCGCGGCATCGGCGTCCGCTTCCAGCTCCGCAGCCTCCGACTCGCGCTTCCGCTTCTTCTTCTCCTTCTTCTCCTTCTTCTCCTTCTTGGCCTTCTCGGCTTCCTCGAGCTCCTCGGGCGCCACGAACGCCTTCTCGCGCTCCTTCATCTTCTCCTCCCGCTTCACTCGCTGTCTCTCCATGATCTCCTCCTTCTGCGCCCGGTCCTTGGCCTCCTTGGAGAGGAAGTACTCGCCGGACTCGATCTGCAGATCCACCTTGCTCTTCTCCGGGGCCGGGGGGAAAGGCGTGTACACCTTCTTGGTCTTGTCCGTGACCTTGAACGGCATGCGACGCTTCGACAGAGTGCGCTTCTTGAAGTTGGGCAGGAACCGGTCCCACGACTCCTCCGCCAACGAGGGATCCTTGGCCAGCTCGCGCTTGATCATGAGCTCCTTGATGTGGTAGATCGGGTGGATGTTGGCCATGCAGTCGTTGATGACCTTGCGCACTTCCTTCAGCCCCTTGTAGGGTCCCATCGCGGCGACCGTGTTACCCTGTACCAGGATGTAGGTGCTGGTGAGGAGCTCGAGCGCCTTGAGGGTGGAGCCGCCGGGCCCGAGGATACGTTGACGGCGCTTGACGAAGCGCTCCTTGTTGCGGACTTGGTTGCGGATCTTGATAACGTCGCATGCGACTTCGTCGTCGAGAATTTTCAGGGCCTGGAGGATGATGTCGATCAGCAAGAAGTTTCTTTCTGTACGTAGCATCGGCGACGAGAAAATATCTCCTACCTGTTGCACCGGAACACTTCTGGACAGAAGCTTGATCAAATCGCGCGCCTTGAGAATGGCAGCAGGATCAAACGTCTTCCGCGTCGTCTTGACCGTCATGCTACCCTCGACCAAATCGAGGGTACAAGCAATGCCATATTTCTCCAGGGATCTCGTCACCAGGGGCCAGGCCTCCTTGAGATACTGTTCGCGGTACTTGGGGAACAGAGTCGCGAACGAAGACTCCTCGGCGAAACTACCAGCGACATTGTCTTCGGCGTTGAAAGGTTCGACCTAGTCGCAGATTTGCAAGGTTAGCATGGCGTTTTTGTCGCTAGTGCATCCCAAAAAATCTTTTTTTTTTTTGCATTGGGGTCACTGCACCAACCTTCCATTTGTCAATATCCTCCGTATCCCACGGCTTATCTCTCTTGTATGTGGAGGGCATGTTGAGTCCTTGTTGCGACAAACAGGGAGGAAGACTCTGGATGGATCAGCAATTCGATGGAAAGAATGATTGATGATCGAATTGCCGGCCAACTTTTTCTGAGGCGCTCCCGCCCCGCGGGCACTTACCGCTTTGGGGTGCATTGATGGCCGAGTATTTCAGGCAAATATCAGGCATCCAGACAGTGGCTCCGGAGCGCCTAGAGCGATCGATCGAGGCTCAACTCAAACCCATGCTCGTCGGCCATCTTCTTGTTACATCGCATCACTACGTATACGTATGTATGGAGTACAGAGATTGAGAGCCGGATCAGATGTGGCTCTGTGATCAGACAAGATCTTCCCATCCGCACAGTGAGCGCATCTCCACCCCTGATGTATCATATTGCCGTCGAGGTGGGCTTATAGTATCCATTGGGCCTGCACTGTACAGTATGCAAGGCTTCTACTGTAATCCATCGCACCAATTGTATGTTTTGACGTTGCACTTCTAGAGGACCAGAGCCGTGCGAAACTTATTGGCACAGCAGACCGGCAAGAAATCGATAACGGCCTCAATAGACCCGGTCCAATGACTCGTGCGAAGAAATGGTTCCTTGGCTGCTATTCCATGCACATTGAGCCGCCCAATGATGCTCAGGCAGCTTCACAGCTTCGAGTAGAACATATATTGTACAGGGCGTCTGCACACAGAAAAGTGGGAGATCGGCTCACGAGTGTAGTCGACATAAATCGATCGATTGGGGTAGGCATTGCTTGGAGCTGAGCTTTGGATGCACGAGTAGACTCAGGAGTAAGCCAGCAGGCTGCAGAGTTCAGCTAGCCTTCCTGTTCTTGTGGAAACTGTCGTTGCTGGGCTGCGAGCCTTGTTAACTATTGGTGAATCGCCTGAGAACGAGCTCGAATACCCAGCATCTTGATCAAGCCCCCAAGGGCAGTGAGCCACTAATCGTATTAATGACAATGTGGGTCGCGGGGTATGCGGACGAGAAAACAGACCTGTCAAGTTGTCAACGTCGTGGGAGGACTTTGGTTAAGTGCACCATTCGAATCCTCAAACCAGCGAGGCGATCCCGTGTGTCTGGTTCCAAGTTCCGTACCCGAAGCGCCAAACAGTCCTCGAACCTTCCCTTTTCCCTTTTCCCTCGCTTACTTCTCTTCCTCCCCTTCCTTGGACTTCTCCCTAGTCTCCATTGCAATCCCATTGTCATTCTTTCTCGTTAAGAATCTTGAGAATCAATATGATTCAAACTAGGTGGGCCCTGTGATCTCCACTGGCGCACTTCAAGATAGTGCGTGCTCAATGTCCTTTCATATTCATGGACTTCGCCCAATCTGGCCCAGCCCAGCTGGTGGTTCTGCCAGCGCATACTTGTCACAGTCCCTTCGCTCAATTTCGACCAGCAAGGTTGCAGAAAACCGAAGTCATCTGGCAGTGGCGGATTTGGTGCACACTGCTCGCGTTCAATTCCAGTCAAGCTAAACAAGAAAGGGCTTTCGAGTGTGTATTCAACAATGAAATCCCTCGTATGAGCGAGCATCTGTATCGACCAGCACGCTCCATTTCAGACTCACGGATACCCCGTAAGAGCTGTCACCCGTCATAGATCAACATCTATGATAATAGTCAGTTCTTCACCTGCGCCAGAAGAGATCGACGTCGTGTTTGCTCGTGATCACTCCAAGGCCTCACGATCCATGCAAAGCCTCAGACTCAAATTATGAGATAAAAGCACGGGCGAATTCAATCTGGAGTCTTTTATTCAACTGCTTAACTAGCACCAGTATATCAAATTGTCTGAGCGAACAGCGAAGGCTTGCCCCTAATGACCAGTCCGTCCATGGAAACTCGGAGTACAACAAACGGCTTGAGACCAGCTCCGGACCGGAGCAGAATCATTGACAAACATTACGGCTGAAGTTCCGAATGTCTATCGAGGTTTCCTCCCGATACAAACATAACTGAACCGTCAGCGCCAAACCGGCAACGCATTGAAGATGAGCTACTTACAGTGGAAAGTAGGCTTTCAGGCCCGGTCTTCCTGCTTCTTCCTGTGCTCTGGAAATCATTTGCTCGAACTCTTCATAAGGCATTCTCAGGCGTTGAGTCATCGGATACAACGCCAACGCTGGCAGCAACTGGTTAGTACATCTGAGGTTGGCTGCACCTATCTCTCGGGCTCTTGGATCTAGACTGGTATCAGTTCCATGATATACGACTCTCATGCATCGGAAGATATACCATTGGACCATCCAGAGAGTGGAAGTGGAATCATTTTTGCGTCCACCTGGTCCATTCCTGCTGCCACCAAAAGGTCTCTCAAGCGCGTTCCTACACGAAGGTCCTTTCTGTCATCCAACGACTGCATAAACTTGGTGCTCCATTGTCTCAACGCATGCTCCTCGGTGAGGGACCCATTGTCTGATTGCACATTGAAGTACATCTCCACCAACTGGACCCAGCCACCCGGCTTCAGAACTCTAGTTTGCTCACATAAGTCAGCTTATGGCGTCAAAACATCACCGATTCAATGACCGTCCCGCCACATGCCAGACCTCTTGATATCCCAAATATAAGACATCCATCTGGCTCGGTCGATGCCTGTCGCTTGCATCCTCGAATGAACGAGATCGAAATGATTCGAGGGAAAAGTAAAGGGGCGATTGAGATCGTCGATCTACGACGTCTTTTATTAGCATTTTCTAAGGCAAGCACCATGGGAATGTATCTGGTAAACAAGCCAAAAGAGCTTGTCAGACGGAAGAAGGGCTTTTCAACGACTGCTGTGCCGAATGGCTTTTCTTCAGGCTCGGGGATAGGAGCCGTACCTGAAACCATAGATTGTCCGGGGCATAATCAGGGCTCATCTGGGGCGATATGTCGATCCCAATGACCTTCACACAGCGGTTAGCGAAACTGAGTGTCGAAGCTGCCGTATGTGCCCTGACCTCGCATTGTGGATATTGCTCCGCTACTTCGACCGCCCAAGCTCCTGTACCGTGACCGCAATCGAGGATCCTTTCGGGGTTGTCGCTCGGCAGGGGTGGGAAGATGAGCCGGTCGTCAAACACCTTATTGAAGACTTGGTGTTGAAGTTCGAGACGTTCCACTTCATCCTAGGGGGTTCGAAGTCAGTGACATACGGACTTGCGGCGAAGGTCGTGATTATACATCGTCAACCGGCTGGAAATAGATTTTGTGCTCGACGGAATATTTCTGGAAATCGCGATCAAGGACTGTGATGATCTGAAGAAACTTGGCATCCAGGTCCTCTGTTTGCGAGTCGGGACTCCTTGAAGACAAATAAGGATTAGCTTCTGATGCAAAACTCACAGGCTGTGGTACCAGGTTACGTACGTCATTTTGATGTCTCAAGCCTGTGGCAGATTTGAGCAGGTCTTATTCTCCGATGTGGTCCGGGTCAACAAGGGATGACAACGGGTGTGCCCCGTCAACCAGTACGGCTGTGTACACTGGGACCTGAAAAAGAAGAGACATATATAGTGCGTTTCGAAGTTGGTGGTAGGAAGTGATCGATGTGGCAGCCGAAAGAAAATCGCGTTGGAAATCTTCTTGATCCTGCCGGAAAGGTGCGTATCCTGCCCTTTATGTGTGAGCTGAGCGAAGTATTGGGATGCGGGACTCCATTGTTCGTACTAATGTACGGAGGGTGGGAAAGCCCGTTCAGCCCGATACCCAGCGTCAGGCTTGGTGCTGATGAGGACCAGAACCAAAATCATTGGCAGAGAAAGCCTGAAACACACCATCCAGCCTGTCGGATACTGAACGAAGATCCTCCGTTCGTTTCTGCAGTACACGTTGTCAATGCTCAATGAAGGCTCAGACCTCGGCGTTTTGTCTCAATGACATAACAGAATTGACACCGCGAGCCGAAACGATTACACAACTATGTAAGGTGGAAAGGGGAAGGGAGGGGCCGGGAAAAGCCTTCTTGGAGGGGTCACCAGTACTTCCGATCCCACCCTATGGAAGCAGACGGCCAGTCTGGCAAGGTTCCTCGTGCCTGTTCCTCGCCGCCTGTCCATCTCTCAGTGCCCGGGAGACCAACCGGCACGGTCACACAGTGGCTCGCTTGTATGCCAGTACAAAGTTCAAGCGAAGGATCCAGGCCATCCTGGCCCTGTCAAATCACGGATTGAGAGTACCACCAATACTACCGAGCCTAATCAGTTTACTCGGGTTCCTGGACCATCCTCCGTTTCCTGTGTTAACACCTTTCTGCCCCCTGCCGAACAGCCCCCTCTAAAACTGACTCATCATATCCATCCAGGACCAGCAAGGTGCCAATCGAACAATCAGTGTGTTGACTTGGTGGAGTACTTCACCAGCCTGTGTGCGGACTAAACAGAAGAACTAGTCTGTTGAAGACCGATGCAAGCGAGCTACTGAGGCGACCGATCTCCGAGGAAACTTTCCACAAGAGAAACCTTCAGTATTTATGGATGCATGTCTTGCTTTCCGGGGTCATTGAGAATCCAAGGCTAGAAGTAAGAAGAATCGGAACCCGGAGGAAAGTGATGATTAGAAAATCTTCGAAGCCAAGAAAGCAGTCCGGATTAACGGTCTTGGTGTCATGCACGAGGTACCGCAGGGTTGTTTGGGTGCATAACGTGCACACAGCCAAGGAGAGGTTTGGCGCAGTAGCGCGGACTTTTGGCCGGCCACTATATCGAACATGATGGTGGCTTCGCTCAGCGTTTGAATAACAGCAGGGATCAGATGGTCATGAAACCATGAAGGCCCTTACCCAAGGTGATCGGGAGGAGAGGGACTGATGATTTCGATCTTAAGCACAGGCACGGTAAGTGATCACCAGGTCAACAATTTTTGCCTTTTACGGGGGCCACTAAAATATAGGTATCCGTAGTCTCTTCAGATTAACGTCAGTAGAATGTGAGGATTTTCCCCTCTCATTCAAAGTTTTACTCCATTTCAGTCCACCTTATTCACATCTACACCGCTCCTTTCCTGAGTCGCTCAATCAATAGGAAATCGATACTCGGTGTTGGAAACACACGACAAACGAGACTGAAAGCCCCTTAAGGTGGCCAGGTCGACGTCAGGATTTTGTAAAGTTCCTGGGATGCGACTACCCATGAAGAATGGACCAATAGCGTCATCTAAGCGGGTGGCTTAATTCCAACACATCCACAATGAGAGACACTCGACTGGGGCCTCCAATGAACGTGCACTCTTCAAACTTACCATGAATGGCATAAAGCCGGCTGCAAAGAACAGCGACTGGCCACATTAGCGCAGCCTCTTCAGGGTCGACGGCCCGATTGACCACAATGGGATGTCCTACTGATGAAGCCCTACTCATGAAGATGGGCCGCGGACAAGACGATGACGAAGCATGGACTCCGCTATGCCTGGTCACCTGAGACGGGGCACTCAGCGCAGCGAACACGGCGGTGGCTTTGCTCAATTGCTGTGGGAAGGGGGGTGAAGAAAATGGACCGTGCCAAATGGCTCGTTAGGGTTACGCTAGACACCGAGCAGGGCTACTGTTCTGTGCACACGGACAGGGAAGGGAGTTCATGCACGTCAAGAGGATTGTCAGGCCAGATTGGAAGTTAGAGCCATCCATGTTGTCGGTACATAGGAGGTAAATGGTACGTACTAACGCAGTAGAGACGAAGGGCACAAGATAACCTTACAGTATAGTGCAGTGCTACAGGTCTGGGAGCGATCCCAGAACCATGGTTCAGTTGCGGGAAGCTGGAGGTCTTCCCGTCGCGCCCTTCGGTAGTTTAGTCTAAGGGGGGAAGATGGACCCGCTAAGTCAACGGGGACTTATCTAGACGATGAAATGATCCCCTCCCTCTGTTTTTCTCTCTCCGACTGTCTCCTCCTTCTTCGTGATTCTGTAGTCTGGCCATCGTGTTATTCTCGGCTTGGCGCTCCGTTCGTGTCATCCCGTATTGGTCTCCGTTCTGCCCAAATTCCATGCTTGCGTATTCTTTCGCAGTGAACACAACTCAGCTATGTTTCAGTTTGCTCGCTGAACCACAAGTGGTCAGGATGGCAATACTACATACTGTACTGTACTGTACAGTGACTAATCGCACCTGAGTTACTACTCCATACAGTTTATGCTTATATGTCTCGGTCGGATGACGATCATGCTCGTGAAGAAAGCATTTCCTTTCCAGCATTTCTACGTTGACCCAAACCCATCCCCCAAGACAATAAACAATCCACATATCCACGCCACACGACCCCTTCATCCGGTCACAGAATGCGTGACACCTCATCCATAACTCCATCAACATTTCCATAGTTAGGTACCTAACCTCCTCCAACAACAATCCAATCCCACGAAGTTATGTCCTCCGAAATGAACACCCTAGGCATCAAGGCCCGGGCCTCCAAAGTCCTGAAGTGGCAGCACCCGAAAGACCAGCACCTCCGTTTGAATGGAACTTACAGTAGGCTCTGGAGGAAAACCTCTGCTCTTCCAGCTTATTGACATGTCAAAGTAGACCAGCAATCCAGGGGATCTTTTGTTCTATTCTGGGATGTTCGTGAATGAGCTTCAGTCACTCTGCCCTGATTCCGCTAATATCCATGTCTATGATTCCTGGGTGGAACCACAAAGTATCGGAGTTGTCAGAATTTGTAGAAGAATCCACATGTACAAACACCATCCTCACTATTGCCGGTTACACTTGTAGGCAGAGAATCACGATACACCTTGAATTCATCATCTCGGAAGTTCCAAAAATCCTGAGCTGGGTTCAATTCATGGCATTGCAAGCAACTCGGCTAAACTACTAACTGGGGGGGGGTTTGGGTATTTCTTTTTCTGGAGTTCGTGGGGAATAGCATCATTGCATGGCCGTTGGGGTCGTTTGGTGGACTATATACACCTTCCGGGATTCGGGGGGGGGGTTTTCGTGGGAAGAGCTGCGAAGGCTTGTTGATGATTTAGGAGAAAGATGGGGGGTGAGGAGAGGTGAGGAGCGGCCGGATCGATGATGTGCGAACCGGATAGCGGTGCGAAGGGGCTGTCGAGCCGATGTCTTCGCTTTTGGTTTCCCGGCACATCTTCACTCGGCGGAGTAGAGTTGGGAGTGACAGCGACCGCTGTAGGTGGATGGGTTTGTCTGTCAATTGCGGGTGCGCTGGCAAGGCCATGGCTGGGGTGTTCGATCGCGAAAATGCATGCGTCGTGAGTGGACAAGCCTGTGTGCGAGTTGGACTTTCCGTCCGCGAGCGTTGGACTCGACTGTAGGCAGCACAAGGCGAAGAGAGGAAGAGGAGTGCACTCCGAAGGATGCTCAGTAATCTTTGCTGATCGCACTCAGGGAGTGTGCTAGCTTCAGAAGAACAACGCTCTCGGTGGCGGCATAATAGTTCAAGCTGCAGGCCGATATCAGTAATCGCCACATCTCTTTGGCCTTGATACTCACCTGTCCATCAAGATCCGCAGATGCCGGCTGAAATGGTCCTCGACTCGTTTGAGCGACTCGTCAATCTTATCAACTCGCGTGGGATCGTATTCACGGCCCATTGTCCTAGACAAGTCGGGGTCGGCCAAGGCAAGGTTGCGATTGAGGTTGCCGTCGGCCCAGCTAGCGAACGTATTGCAGCCTATCATCAGGCGATGGTGAACCTAGTTATTCTGTGAGCAAGCGGGAGGGGCAGCCTGGGTATGCTCGACTGACCTTCAGTAGTTTGGCTTGGGTCAGCATGCACTCTTTGAGACAAGTATCCAAGAAATCCACATGGTCCTGCATGAGTTCATCCACCGTACGGTTGGCCTGCTTGGTACCGTTGACGGTGACTTCCGAACCATCCGCGTCGGTTCCATTCACCCGATTCATGAGAATCTGCCAATTGGGCTCGATGACCTCCGCTGTGCAGAAGTACAGAAGCTGTTGAATGAACAACAGCATCTTCGAGCGCAGGGTCCACGCGCGTCGTTTCCACGTCTCCAATCGTCGGTCAGAGGACTTGTGTCGCCAGGCGTCAGCCTTGCTTTGCTCCAGCCAAGATGCGCCGAGCATAGTTTCAACGTGGCGCAATGACAGGATGTGCCGGAAGACAAGTTGATACCGTAAAACTGTCTTCCGACTGATAACGAGAGACAACGGGAAGGGGACCAGATAATCGAGCTCGAGTGCATCGAATCCATTGATCTTCGCATCAGTCTCGCCAGCTTGCGTGGAAGGGGCTTGGTATTTTTCGAGTGCCGCCTCCGGATCATCTTGGTTCATACCGGAGACGCTCACGACCTGCATCAGCCACTTCGTGAGCCCGACCTTATTCATCCGGACCTTAACGTCTTCTTTGAAAGGGTCCTGAGCGGCAATACTTCCAGGCTGACGTAGGACTAAGTCGAGAAGCGACTGGAGCTTGCTCTCGTTGACATCCTTGGCGGGCCTGCGCAGCTCAGAATCGCTAAGCTCGAGGAAGTAGGAAAAGAAGTCGGAGCGATCCAGGAAGAAGTAATGCTTGAGAGAACGGAACCGGGTAGTCAACGAGTTTTTGGTCAGGAGAAGGTTCAACAACGAGGCATTTGCATATGTGTAAGCCGCGTTGACATTTTCCAAAAAGCGAGGGTCATCGAGAGTCTTGGGCACATCCCTGACCTCTTTACTGACATCGACGCCACCGCATTCTCGTACGACATTTAGGTACTTTCCTGCTAATAAAACCTTGTCTTTGACCGTCTCCAACTGTGGCGGCACCTCGTTGTCGCGGATCGTATAACGTTTGTCCCAATACTCGTCTGTGTAGTCTTCTTCAAGCTTTTCGCGCTTGATCCATTTCTGCTCTTTGACCAGGAATTCACCATGTGGGTCTTTGATCCCTCCGTGATGTAACCATTCGTTGAGCATAGTCATGTAAGGCCGGCTGCCGTCTCGCAGCAACCTTTCCAAAAGAGCCTTCGTGGTGGGGTCACCTGAGAATGTTGCAAGTCGCTCTGTGAGAAGACGGAGAACATTGCCGCCTTTGCATATCTTCTTGCTGGACATCGCACCTGGGACAAGGTCTCCGCCTTCCCTCAACTGTTCGAGAATATTATCGACGTCGTCGAAGTCATCGATAGTCTCATCGAGGTCTTGGTCCAGGAGCCCGTTGCGTCGGAGTAGGTCCTGACCGAATGAATATAATTGAGCCAAGCATTGGCTAGTCGGCATGGTCTGCAAGTGTAGAACATGCAATGTGAAGTTGGGATTTCTCAGCAATTCACCTTCAAGCTGCGCGACGAGCACCAGAAACTCTTTCAACAATTTCCGGATCGTAGCACACATAGCATGGCTCACTTGGCCGTATTCCGCCCGACTTTGCACTTCGACAAATGACTCCAACGCGCTATAATGCGTCGCGATCTTCAGCGTTGATAGGGTGAGATCCTTCAAGGTAGGGTCTAGACCAGCCGGTAGCTGGAAGATGGGGCCTGTCAACCGATCCTTTTCCACCGACGGGTCGTACGAGCTGTGGTAATGGATGTACTGGCCCTCGAATCCCATGAAAGTGAAGAGAAGATCTTCCAGGATTGCTTTCTCCTGCGCGTCCGGAGATAACTCGCGAAATGGCGGAGGCTGTAGCGATGGAGGCAATGCGGATGCCAGCGGAGGAACAGAGACACGAGAGGCCAACGGCGCGGTGGAATGGGGCACTAGAGAAGCTTGCGGGTTCCAAGGAGCTGGAGGTGGTCTATAGTCAGCGTATGAAGAGGACTCTCGACTTGCGAACGAGCATGTTGAGGGTAGATTGACTGACCCTCGGTCGGCTGCTTCTCCTTCCTGCGAGCATTGGGACTGGCGCCATCGGCTTGACTAACTCGCTTCGACCGTGAGCGCTCGAGCCCTCTGCCATGCCCAGCTGGCAATTCCTTCGTTGCATGCCTTGTTCGACCGTGAGACTTTTCTTTCGCGATGCCCGGCATCCGCTCTGCACGCCTGTCGGTCGCCATGTGTTGTTGTTCGCGAGGGATCCTGGGTTTGGGGCTGGACGAGCCGACAAATTGAGAGATGGGCTCCGACTGCTGCAATGGAGAGGCACCGCTGCGCAAGGCGGCTCTTTCTGGATCAGCGACGCGATTCGAAGCAACGCGGGGTCGTGGTGCGCTCATGTAGTTGGCGCGACGGTCACTGACGGACATGCTCCCGCAGGGTGAGAACAATCGGGTCGACCATGCAGCATAAGGGGGCTGGTTTGCTTTGGCGGGAGATTAAGAATAGAACGAGAAATCTCCTCCTCCTCCTCCTCCTCCTCTTCTTCGTGAAGCTAAGGGCCACGAAAAGCGATAAAAAATTGAATTGCACACGGTCGCAATTATACGTTGAGGGGGAAGGTTGGGGAGTCGGGGAAGTTTGGTACGCAATCCGACAAGCTCCAAACAATCGATAGATGCCTGGTTGTGGCCTGGGGCAGCAACTCCCGCCTTCTCCGCCAGGCACTCGCCGGACTTGCGTAGCCCGCAACAGCTTCGCCCCGAGCTTCCCAAGAGTAGCTGGCTAACATCTTCTCCTCCTCCACCTCATCCCTACACCCTACAACTTATCACGCTTTCCATTCTACCTCGCCCTATCCTCCAGACCTGACTCCATCTTCTCTTTTGAGTCCGCATATCTCTTCCACACCTCCCCCACAGCCATCATGTTCATCGCCCGATCGGAATATGGTAAGCTCCGTCCGACCCTCCCCTCTGATGCGGTCATCTAACAGCTTCTCATCGCAGACCGTGGAATCAAGTACGAGCCCTGCCACCTCCCTTTCGAGTTTGCTGGATCTTTTGCGGATTCCTAACCCCGTCACCCTCGCAGCACCTTCTCTCCGGAGGGGCGTCTCTTCCAGGTCGAATACTCTCTTGAAGCCATCAAACTGGGCTCCACTGCGATCGGTGTACGTTCAGCCATCCCTCCTGCGACAGACCCGACTTGTCAATGCCTCCCAGTCATACGAGCGTGTCTCGTCATGCGGTTCCCGAAACTAGTCATGTGTGATGGAATGGACCCGTCTAACAACAGAACCAGGTAGCGACCTCGGAAGGTGTCATTCTGGGCGTGGAGAAGCGCGTCACCTCCAGCCTCCTCGAGGCTTCCTCCGTTGAGAAGATCGTCGAAGTCGACCAGCACATTGGCTGCGCCATGTCCGGCCTGCAGGCAGATGCCCGGTCCCTGATCGAGCATGCCCGCGTCGAATGCCAGAACCACGCCTTCCACTACGCGGAACCCCTCAGAGTCGAGAGCTGTACCCAGGCGATCTGCGACCTGGCGCTGCGGTTCGGAGAGACGGGCGATGACGAGGAGAGCGTGATGAGCCGACCCTTCGGTGTCGCTCTGTTGCTCGCCGGCATTGATGAGGATGGACCTCAACTGTACGTGATGATGGAGATAGGATCTTGTCTCTTTGCGGCGCTGGAAAAAAAACAGCAGGCCGCTGTAGCGTGTGTCTGGCTTTACTAATTTCTGTCTTCATTAGATACCACGCCGAGCCGTCGGGTACATTCTATAGATACGATGCCAAGGCGATTGGCTCCGGCAGCGAGGGCGCGCAGGCGGAGCTGCAGAACGAATACCACCGCTCCTTGACGTTGGCGGAGGCAGAGACTCTGGTCCTGAAGACGTTGAAGCAGGTCATGGAGGAGAAGCTGGACGCGAAGAACGTCCAGCTCGCCAGCGTGACCAAGGAGAAGGGATTCCGCATCTACAACGACGAGGAGATGGGCCGGGCTGTTGCGCAACTCGGCGGGAACCAATGAGGGAGAGGATAATGCATGGAAATCTCAATGAGGCCAATGTGTATGTCGGCAATGGTACCTTAGTCTTTGGAGGGATCTCTGTTGGGCCAAACCAAACCCATAGAAAAGAACAATGACTTGTCTAATGATCTATATATCACTTGGTTGCATCGATCCTATTGATAACGAATAGGATAATTTAGGTCCTGGCGAGGAAGCCATATGGTATTTACACGACATCGTCAGCGTCACATGGGCGGCATCATCCGCAGACGCCCAGCCTACACCATATGCTATATACTTAAACACACCCATAGCAGCCATCCCCCAACTCACGACCTCGTAAACTCGGCAACGGCCCCCAAAACGACCTGAGCCACCCTCTCCGGCTGGCCCACCTGCGGCACATGGCCTGCACTGCACCGCTCGACGCGACTCCCCGCCGTGGCCGCCAACTGCTCCTGCAACCCCACGGGCAAAGCCCGATCCCCCTCGCAAACCAGATACACACTGAGCACATCCCGCCACCCGGCATACTCGACCGTGCCATCCCACCCCCGCGCCGGCTGGGCCCTGAGCACCGCCACCCACTTCCTCTGCTCCTCCTCCTCCAGATCCCCGAACAGCAGCTCCTCGGGGTTCGCACAGTACGATGCGCCGCCCTGGCATTCGTTCAAATTAGCACGGTATGAAACCTGGCCCCTAGACGCTCTTGCGCAACCCCTTTTCTTCCCCTTGACATGATGACTATGACACAGGAGCAGGGAGAGGGAGAGGGAGAGGGAGCAGGAAGAGGGAAAAAAAAAAAAAAAAAAAAAAAAGACAAACCTCCACAACAGCAAACGGCACCGGCGCATGCACAAACCCCTCGGGGAACACCGCCGCCGCCAGGAACACGATCCCGATAACGCCGCCGCCGCCGCCCTCGCCGCGAGCAAGGCCTTGCATGGCTTCGCTGCCCAGGAACCCGCCGGCCGAGTGCAGGACCAGCACCACGGAGTCGCCGCGGGCGACGAGCCGGGAAATGGCGGCGCGGAGGGCGGCGATGTCGTCTTTCATGGTCGGGTTGCCCGGCGAGAGGGTGCCGGTGCTGGGGAGGGCGGGGGCCTCCACGGGGTAGCCGGCGGTCGTGAGGAGGGTGGCCAGCTCGGTGTAGACGGTGGGACCTTCCCAGAAGCCGGGGATGAGGAGGATTGTGGGGGTGGGCATTTTTGGTCGCTGGGTGTTTATTTTGGAGGAGGGGAGGAGGGTTGTTGTCGTGGGGCGGGAGGTGGGTGGATGTACGGTATCGTCTGTAGACAGGGTGAAATTGGGAGGAGGGGAGAATGGATCTAATGAATACGCGGTCTCGGAGGTGGGATGTCAGCCATGGAGAGCAGGCTGCTTGTGGCGGGATTGATTGATCGATCGCTTCACCTTATACTAAAGCCAAGGCTCTCTGTCTGAACATTCTATACGCTATGGTGGTTGAGGATGGAGACGTGCAGTCCAAATGTGATCCAGTAGAATGGATTGATCTGTCTTTCCTCACCTGGCAGGCCACTACTTGGTGACTATCTAGACTAGCTAGTAGCAGATCACCAATGAGACAGGGCTGACAGGGCTATCTTATTCCCCCTGGTTGATGAGCTCAGAGTAAGCTGACACGGTCCATTCTCGCGTAAGCACTACCATCGAACCGAGCTCACGGAGTTCTGGGTAAAGCTTAGTATGGAGAATCCTCGTCCAGTCACAGCCTGTGACATTGCGCATCTCACCGATATCAATGTTACGAAGAGGCGACGTGGAAGCTGATTTCGCGTCTACAAGCAATGGACCGCGGACCGTCGGGCTCTCCGTTCCTGCTTTACGTGTGTCATCCAAGCGGTGCCATTCCATCCGACTTCATCACTCACTCCAGCAAGGATTCCCTCGCACTTATAGGGCTGAGTGGCCTGTACAGCGTGCTTCCACACCACCGCTATAGATCCTTGCCTGTTTTCCCGCCTCCTCTCTTGATGTCTGGACCTAATAAATCGGTCCCCGAACCAGCTGGCAAGATCTGATTCCTCGGGTGGGTTGCCGGACGCACAGCTTGCATACGAGGTAGATATATGCATGCACATATAACCTGATTTGCCGCTGATCGCTGGCAACCGGGATCTAGAAACGATCGCGGTGGTTTCTGCACCACCGATTACCTGGCCTGGATTGTAAACCGGGCTGGATTTGCGAGGCCTCGACTTAGTTGGCAACTCGAGGCCTCTTTCGAATCTAGACTGTCTGGGTTTGGTGGCCAGGTCTTCGAATCTTTGTTGTCGGCTTATGTGGCCGGTGCGCGCCGAGTATTTTTGTACCTGCCGATTGATGCTGTCGCTGTTGCCATGTAAGAAGACAAGTACAATCCCGAAACAGGAGATATTGCTGCAGGTGTGGGATAATCGTGGCTTATGTTGTTATTGTGGCCCGAGGTTTTGTGTCATGCATTTAATCCCTGGAGCTTGGATCATCATTAGCATGACTAGGACAACGACGAGAGTTGAGAACTGACCTATTGATATAGCCACATCCTTTGTTAGATTCCGATCGACAATCAGGAGATATCATTGTTGGGGATCTCGCATGCACGGTCAGAACAAGGATGTTCTTTGTTTGTCTGCAAGGAAGAATGTGAGCTGTAGTCAAGGAATAGCGAGGTCATCGCTCAGGTGTTCTTCGGTTACAATGAGCGACTTTTGAGGAAGTCTTCAACCGCTACTTGGATCGAATCAGAGTCAGACATGGGGTAGAGTGATCGAGGACTCATGCCAGGTGCTTGATTACCAAGCACCTTTAAGCTTATGTTATCTGCGTTGTGTATCAATCACAACAATCGACTCGCTCCCAATCGCGGAAATTGGCATAGCAAGCCCTGATCGCATATTAATCTCCTGCCTGATCGGATCTACCAAGCAGTAGGGCCAGACCTGGCTGAGACAATAAATCGGAGCTGTTGCGCGCAGGGACGGAGACTGGATCGTGCAGAGATGCCTATACGGAGACTTGGCGCAGAACAACAGTTGGCAGTGCCTTAGCTTCGGCTCCGTTCTTGTTGGCTCGGCATTAGTGCAGAAAAGCCACAGGCTGGGATGGGGTGAGTGGGTGTGCGCCTCCGCTGGTCTGTCCATTGTTTTTCTTCATGGCTCATGCGCCTGGATGAGATTGTAGTTTAACGTCGAGTCTGCAGACATCCGGAGGGGTCAAAGACGACACGGCAAATTTAGAGCGGCATACCAATTCCGTCAATGCCTGCATCCTCTTTACCCTTTTTGAGCTGCGTCATTGAGCTCATCTCATGTCATGTCCCTAATTATAACCTCATCTTCCGGATGCAGTGTCGAGACCTTTGTTTTGAGTCAGAGGATAGATAGCCCTTTCTTACTTCCCCGCTGCCCGGCCGAGGCTACAATTCGAGGATGCCTCTATCCAACTCCACTATCATTGGTGTCTACCCAAGCACTGTCGTAAGCCTGGAGGATCTATTTCTGTTGCCCAGTCGCCCCGGTCTCGACCATTTTCTGACCCGCTGTGGATCGGCGAAAGTCAACAATATGGCAACGCCAACGAAACCACGGCAATACTGGGTTTGTTTATGTGGATAACCAAGTGAGTCTGGAGGTTCCCAGAAAGTGTGATTGGTAGAGCATCAGTATCGGTGTGCGATGAAAACACAGAGTAGAGGCGTCCAGATTGACTTCCAAGGTCAGGCCACTCTGCGACTTGTTTTGAGTACTCGATGTTTATAGTTCAAAGGTATTGTTGATCATGGCCAGTCTCATGCACATTAAAGGCAGACGGGCCCATTCGAGTCAGCCAATTGGTAAGGTCCCCCACTCACGGCTGCAAAGAGAACAACCTGAGGCCCAACCGATGAAATGAATTTGTTCCTATTGCTTCGGAAAACAGACGGCAATGTTGCACAGAACAGTCTCTGGGAAGGCGGCTGAATCGACGTGGGATGTCATACATACAACAGTTCCTCTGCCCCTGTCGTAGGCACGTGGTCTTTGCAAGGCTACTACTGTGTAACAGCTAGATTGGTGGTTGGTGGTCACTGAGCTTCAGTAACCGCGTCCTGAGAGGAAGCACTGCCGTATCGGAGTAATGCTTGTCTGGCTGGAATACTTGGGTTGAAACCAGGAGCGTCGAGACCCTTGTCTCGGATCGACCTAGTTCGCTGTAGACCACGGCAAAAAAACCTCTGGACCTGGGATCTATCGACCAGTTCGTAATCAGCAGTAACTACTGTACTGGACTCACTGACTAGCCGCCTCTGGTTGGAAGTGGGCGGCTTTTACACCCAACCACGAAGGGCTTGATGCATGATGTACTGATAGGCGGACAGCTGGACGGAAGCAATGCGCTGCACTGCTTACGCCTCGAGATTTGCGATTTGCGATTTGCGATTTGCGTGAAGATTGATGGGAAGGACCAGACTCGAGGGCGAGGCGGCTGGGTGGAGGATGAGTTGCAGGGTGAGAGACCAGGAATGGACAGGCCGGAGGAGTTTCAACACAGCTGAGGGAGTGAGTGAGGGAGTGAGGGAGTGGCCATCAGAAGCACACGCGGTTACCGCACGGGGAAGGCGAGCAATCCAGCTGAAGCAATCCGTCCACCGTTACTCAGTAACGACTCGAACGAGACGCTTACACGTGGATCCTGCCGAGATATCGCAGGGCGAGGGGTGCGGATCGCTAGATTTACCATACCAATACGCAAGGGTAATCTTCTCCACCGGACGTCACTCCCTGTGTATGTACAGTATTTCGGTTTCCTTTTCTCAATTCTGTCTTTTCTTTCCCACCAATTTTCTTCAATCTATTTTCGATTCCCTCTTTCCCCTCACAGTGGACATTGACCAGAGAATCTATAAGAGCCCTTCGATTCTCCCCACTGCCAACAATTATTCCATTGTTGCATTCTATGACATAGAGCACTTTCCATACTCATACTTCCGAAAATTAACAACTGCCTTATCGACTCGATCGATTATCAATTCTGCCCCGCCATCTGATTTAAACTGCGGCCCGCCAAAAGTCAGCCGCTGTCGTCACCCACGGTTGAATCTAATCATCCTTCCATCTCATTCATCCATACTTCGTACTCCATCCCGAGTCACAACAGTCAGTCACCCTTATCTGCCTTCGGTCCCCTTTCAAGTCATCCTCTCCTCCATCATATCGCCCTATCACACATGTCTCGCTACGGCGACTACCGTCGCTCCACGGGGGCTCTTGACGATGACCGCTACCCGCATGAGCGGCGGGAGCGTCGCCACCGTCACCGTTCGCGCGCCCCCTCGGTGCTTGATCGCCCCCGCCGATTCGAAGAGGATGAACGTTTCGAATACCGCCTCCAGGAACAAGACCGCTACGGTCCCCCTGCTCGTCGCCCCGACATTGTTTACCAGGACGATCATCTGATCCACCCGTCTGGTCCCCTGGTTGCCTACGATCGCCGTCGTGCGGAGAGCCCTCTGCCTCGACCTCGACTTCTCCGGCGACAATCCTCCCTGGACACATTTGATCGGATCCCCGCGCGCAAGTTAGACGAATACTACTACAGTGACCGCCCTCCTAGACTATCTCCAAGCCCGCCACCCCGCCGTGGATCTTACCATCGAACCCGCGAACCCGACTACTACGAGGAAATCAGCATTGCGGAAGGGGACTATGGAGAGGAAGAGTACCGGGGCTTTCGCGAACGGAGCGTGGGACGTCCCCGTCGCTCGGCAAGTCGTTTTCGTGAGAGACGAGTGGAAGAAATCGATGTGGAAAAACCGTATCCTCGGAAAGGCAAGACTCGCATGCCCCGCAAGATGGTTCATACCACTGCGATCCGCGAGCTTGGCTACCCGTATGAGGAAGAGGTGTGTATACATGTCTTTCACACTTTTGACAAAGAAGAATGCCTAGAGTCTATCTTCCGATCGATAAGCTGATATCTGTGGTCCTAGGGTAAAATGGTTGTCATTCAGCTGGCTCTGTCCAAAGAACAAATTGATGAGGTCATTGGGAGAAGTCGCGAGATCAAGCGCCTGACCGAGAGTAAGTCACCCTTTCGCCCCGAGTCCGCAGGCAGCAGGGACTAACTGCATGGTTCTAAAGCACGCGTTATCCACACCAGCTCGCCATCCCCAGTTCGTGCCCGCCGTCGAGACAGAACTGTGGAGCGAGTTCCCATGGAGGCCTATACCCCTCGGACCAGCCATGACACTCTTATCATCGAGGCGTCGCCGTCGCGGCATCGATCGCATTCGCGCCACCACCATTACCACCACCCTCATGGTGAGCTTCTGGAAAAAAAAGTGACCAGGACTGTATCCCGCACCCGAGATATTTCGGTGCATGGACGACCCCGTCGTCGATCCTCGCCAGTGCGCAGATATGAGCGTTACGAGGAGCAACCTAGCAAGATCCACGCGGGGCCCCTGGCAGTCGTGGTGCGCCCCCGCGACAGTGACGAAGACCTGCGGGAATATGCGCTTGAGCGACGTGGCAGCGGAGAATATGTCCGAGACACGGAGATCATTGGGGATGGGGTTGCGGAGGAGATCCATGAAGTGAAGAGAGAGCGCAGAGGTACGGAAAATATGCTGGTCTAATCCTCTATTTAGATGCTAATGCTCGTCCAGGTCCCAGTTCTCGTATGATGCGTGCGATGATGGCGACATTGACGTAATCTGGTTGTTCTTGCTCCTTTGACGCTGACTTACGACTTATCGATTACCCTTTCGGTGTTTCTTATTATGATTGTGATCTTCTTTTCCCATGCTGCTCTCCCCTTTGCTTTCTTATCATGTACTATAACAGCTTGGCTGTGTTTCTTTCTGTATTATGTGACTAGCCCGGTTTGACGATCATTTGGCGAAGATAATGACGACTAAGCGAGCAACGATGACTATAAACCAATACTCATGACTCATGGACAATCAACAAGTGCCTTTTAGTAGTGAAAGACCCGACTCTGCATGATCTATCCCAGCCACCTAGTGTGCTACTGCAAGCAATTGTCCCACCGCCTGCTGCCAACTTATCGCCCATGGATTGATTGTTCTTGTCAGGTCAGGCGGGAACTTGAACTATTCCAGAAGCGTAATTGCCGGCATGAAACCGTGGCGGGGCCAGGCGGTGTCAGACCGACGGAAAGTGGCCTCGACGCTTGCGATCATCTCAAAACAACTCTGCAAGCCACAGATAGGCCATCTTACTCCTTTACAAAATCCCCTGCATCGGGTCTACTGGAGACTTAACAGCAGAATTATCCCGACTTTCACCATGGACAAGTTCTCAGCGTTCGGAAAGAACCTCAGGTGAGATAACCAATCATCGGACCTCCTCAGTGTGGCTTGTGCCAGGAGTTGGTAGTGGATTCCGTATCCAGCCTCATCCTGAGCGGCTGCAGCATGAGCTTGATCTGCCATTATCGATGGGACATTCACGCTAATAATTCGCTTCGATGGGAAATTCAGCGCGAGCTTCTCTCCCTTTGCTCAGCGCACTCAGCAGATGATCCGCGAGCAACTCGGCCAGGCAGAAGACCGGACTCAGCTTCCCGATGAGTACATTGAATTGGAGAAGCGCGTGGATGCGCTGAAGATCGTCCACCAGAAGCTCCTTCAGGTCACGTAAGGGCATCTATCTATTTCCTCGACCGGGAGATCTCACGTGCTCACGTTCCGACGTTCCAGCTCCCAATACTCCAACGAAGCCTACGACTACCCTCCCAACATCCGTGAATCCTTCAACGACCTCGGTCGCACGATCAACGAGAAGGTCTCGCTTCTTTCCCAAGCCTCGTCGCCCGCTGAGGCCCAGGCGGCCCTGATCGCCCCTCCCTCGGCCAAGCCCCAGCCCAAGACCTTCAACCACGCCATCGCTCGCGCCTCGCTCGCCGGATCCCAGACCCTGGCGCAATCCGCTCACGGCGAGGACCCCCTGGCCACCGCCCTGGAGAAGTACGCGCTGGCCGAGGAGAAGGTGGGCGAGGCCCGCCTGGCCCAGGATGCCCAGATCCAGTCGCGCTTCCTGGCTGGGTGGAACACCACGCTGAACACGAACCTGATGTTCGCGGCGAAGGCGCGCAAGAACGTCGAGAACGCTCGCCTCATGCTGGACTCGATCAAGGCGGCCAAGAAGGCCCAGGTCAAGGGCGACTGGGACAGTCTGAGCGAGGAGGCTCGCGCCGAGATTGAGCAGGCGGAGGACGAGTTCGTCGGACAGACCGAGGAAGCCGTGAGCGTGATGAAGAATGTATGTTTATATGGTTATGGCAGTGACTTGGCGGATGGTGGCTGACTATGCAACAGGTTCTCGACACCCCCGAGCCCCTCCGCAACCTGGCCGATTTGATCGCAGCGCAGCTCGAGTTCCACAAGCGGGCCTATGAGATACTCAGCGAGCTGGCTCCTGTCGTGGACGGCTTGCAGGTTGAACAAGAGGTGAGTGCACGAACTCAGGATGATCTTGGTGCTTGACTGACGCGCATCTCAACACAGGCTAGCTACCGTAAGAGCCGCGAGGGAGCTTGAAATGCAGCTCAAACTGTAAATTTCCTTGTCTCATCGTTTATCTCTGTTGGACTCGCAGCCCTTGTTACTTCAGCCCCTGTTTGCCTTTGTGACAGTGTTTTATATCCCTTGATAGGTGGTTACATCAATCAGATTGACTACACTTTGTATTGTGACTGTAGTTTGAGCTGTAGTATATGTTGTTTTAGGCCAACGATATCTGCCCCAGGCCTGCACAGCGGGCCAGCAGGGCGGTGAGCTCAGGCGGTGTGGGCCGGCACATCGCTCAGCTGGCAGCTGGCAGCAAGCAGCAAGCATCACTCTTCGGAGAAGCTCCGCCGATAACTCACCTCTCTGTCGATAACCATCATCATCCTGTCTGTCGGTCTGTCGGTCTCTGCCTGCCACGACAACCACTCCTCGCCATTCTTCGCCCCTCGAATTGCTCAATCGCTCGCATCTCCATCTCCGACTTGGCCTTCCAAACCACCCTCACCTCTCAAGCGTACACGAGATCCCCGACCTCGCAGCAGCGATCCATACCCCTCGAACAATCAAAATAACCAACAGCACTCCACACCCACAGCGCATCATACAATCCCAGCCCAACCACTCGCCAGCCTCTCTCACCCGGAATCAATCCATCCCTGGATACCGCCCAAAGACAAAAGAGCAAAGCACACAGATAGGCTGGCCCTACGCTGTACGGTACAACAATTGTACATCCATCCACCACAGACGCATCGATCAACCGAACCAGGTGCTTACAGCCTCACCACAGACCCTCTCCTTGACCCCCAAAAGACATCTCACATCCGCAGCGATTATAGTCAAGATGGCGAACGGGTGAGTTATCCCCCGGCCCCTCGGACATCTTCCCCCCACGGTGTCGCAAGCTTGTACTTGGAAGCCCTCGGCTTGATTGCCTGCCCTTCCCGGACATCCCCTTAACCGGGATAGAACCACCCACTAACCATGCCTGCAAAATCAACCAGATGGAGCATCATCATCGGCCTCATCGTCGTGGTCATCGCCTCCGTATTGGCGTGGATCTTCAGCCCGAAGGGCGAGAATCAGACGTATGTTCATCGCACCCACCCTCCCTCTCTCTATCCTACCACCAAAGAGAGAAACCACCAAACGAGAGAGAAGAGAGACTGGCAATCCATCGGCTAAGACCAAAACCAAAAACCAACACTAATATGACCGAAACAGTGTGTTCAGAAGTACCCTGATCCTATCATTCGTATGCTGTTATCTGATGTGGGGTATGTCTTTCCCCCATCCCCCACCGCCCCCCCATTTCCCCATGCCTTGCCTAATGCCCAAAAACACAAACTGATGGGGATTCTTCTGTGGTGTCTAGCCATCACGTTCCTCGCGCAGTGGCATCCGCTTATCACGCCTAAGCGGTCGGATATTCGGCCTGATCGCGTGCCCGAGTAGATTCCTCTTTTTCTTTTGCGAGTATGGGCTGGGGGAGCGTGGTTCGGGATGTGTGAGCTTTGTATGATGTGTCGTGGTGGATTGGCAGGGTGTCTAGGGGCGTGGTGATATGCTACGGGGGGGGGGGGGGGGGGGCCCCTGGGCTCGTCTTGGTCTGGTGGCGGGGAGGGTTGAATGGGATTATACCCCAGTGAATTTTACAAGGGCTTGTCTCATGTTTCCCGAACTTTTGTATAGTTCAAAGGTTTTTTGTCGTTGGCACGGTTGAAGTTTGTTTTGACTTATGCGGATTCGCGAATTGCATCATGATTGTATCCTACATTCTTCTCGCCTTGAGAGAGGGGGTATTATGTACTGTATATGCTGCGTATACAGCAGCGGGGACGCAGACACCTAAGAACAAGCATAGATCTGTTAATGCTTCCCATGAGCCTAGATTAACTGACTCCCACCAACCCCAAGATCACCCTCTGGACTGACCACCGCGCCACCAACCCCGTCACCGCCAACGCCACGGCCCGCAGATACCCGCATCCCAGCAGGATATACAGTGCCTCGATGTTACTCAGTAGCACAAGATGCGAGTCCGCCGCACCCAGAGACAGCAGCGAGCCCATGAGATCGAAGAATTCGGCGAGATAGCCGGTGGAAACGGACTCGGGCAGTGCGCGGATGACACTGTCCAGGAGGGAGGATGAGAGTGATGACGACGACGACGATAACGATGATGTGGACGGGGTTTGCGTGGCTGTTGTGATGGCGGCGGTGATTGTTGCGATCGGTGTGAGGATGCTGTCGAGGGCTGTGGGTGAGCCGGGATTGGCACTACTGCCGATTTGATCGATGGCAGAGTGCGAAGCGGTGGTCGTGGTGGTCGTGAAAGCATTGCCGCTGCCGTCCGGGCCCCAGATTACGAGGAGGATGGGGAATAGCTTCGCGCAGCTGCTGACGAGAAGGGCGGTGCTGATGGCGGTAGGGCTTGCAGGAGAGGGTGGGGGCAACGGTTTGATGTTCATTCCCATGGGGATGTTCATGGCCATGTTTTGGGCGGGGGCGGTGGAGGAGCGGCGGAGCGGCGGCGGCGGAGGAGGGGAGTGGGCGGTTGGGGTTTGGGTTTGAGACTCGCTGCCCGTTGTGATGGCGCCACTGGATGTTGTTGTTGCAGCATCCTGGAGAGAGGAAGATGAGCCCTGCGGAACGAGCTTAGGTGGGCTGAGAATCGTTGCAGGGGTGGGTGTGGCAGTCGGGGAGAGTTGGGAGGCCGGGAAGGACGGGAACACCGGGGTGGAGGGATGAGAGGTCTCCGTCCCTGTGTTGTTTGTTGTATTGCTCTTCGCGACGTAACCCCGGGGCGTTGGGGCGAGAATCGAAGCAAGGAGACGGATGGTGAGATGATGAGCAAGAGTCGCAAGCGCGTTTAGACTGAGGAAGAAGAGGTATTGGACGATGACGGGGGCGCGCCAAAGGAATGTATCGACGATGGAAGGCGATTTCTCGATGCGTGCCCAGGTGAGGTAGACATCAAATAGGAGCAAGAGAATCCCAAGACGGATAATGGAGCGCTGAGGACGTCAGTGATCAAGTGACGAGATTATTGACAGTAGGTGACCTTACATCGAATTGGTTGTCATAGCCTCCTAATCGATTGAAGAGCAGATGGCGATAGACCTGGTACAATTAGCTTTGGGTCGACTTTGCAGAGCAAGGGTCAGTACCTGTGGTTTGATCAGGACAAGATCAATAAAGAGTACGACAAAGTCGTATTCGACATACTTGTCGGCGAAGCGCTGGCAGCGCGGACATTGAGTCAAGCGTACTCCTTTACCCAACGACCGGTCATCAGCACGGCTGTAGGTGCTGTACAGATGAGAGACTGGATATGAGCACTCGATGCAGATGGGCATCGTGTCATTTGTATTCGATCATAAAATCATTGTTGATTTAAGTGCAACATGCTATGAGGAATGAGGGAAGAGAGGAAACGGAAAAGGAGAAAGAGTCGATCAACTCCAATCTCGGCGCGGAGACCAAAGGCGGTGAAGGACTTCTCCGCAGCGGCTGTCCCTGGTTTTGTTTACTCCGCAGCTCGACTCCAATTCCTCTTTTCACCCGACATGACAGCTTGATAGCCATTCTATTCTTGCATCCTAGCTGCCTCATGGCTTCTCTATGATTCATTTAGCATCACTATAAGCTAGAGCTTACTTCCCACCTCCGAACTCTTCACATACGCCAGGATATCATTCCGACCACTCGCCAACCGTTCTGGAGTTGTCTTGAACAGCCGTGGAACTCCACTTTCCTCATAAGCTGCCCCATCCACAACCATCCGTGCGATACCTCGCGCCGACAAGAAAATTTGCGGCATACCATGACCACTATAGCCAGCGATGACAAGCTGACCCGGTTTACCTGGCACATGCCCAACATGCGGTAGAGCATCACTGCTATAACCCATCACTAATCAAACATTAGCCGGACGGCCCCAAGACGCAACAAGCCGATCAACAAGGGCTTACCTCCTGACCACACACGGTCCGTATATGCCCCCGTATTCTCCCAGCCGTGGAAAGTCCGCTGCATATAGTTGTCAAAGTACCGCGCCGCAGCGTCAACCACCCGGCCATCGTCAGTGTTGTGGTACCAACTGGGAATGTCCTGTTTGTAGAAGGTGGACTTCGCACCGCCCACGATGATACTACCGTCAGGACGCGGGATCAAGTAGTCGTAGTCCCAGGCGTTGAAGCGCAGAGTATACGAGCGGTCCATGGGCACGGCAGGCGGGTTGGGAACCACGATACGACTGCAGAATCCCCGCACGGGGACGATCTTGTCCCTGTACTGCGGTGCGAGGGCAGCGGTGTATGCATTGGTGGCGAAGATGACGGTCTTGGTGCGGATCGAGCCGCGGTCAGTGGTGAGCGTCCATCGTCCATCAGCATCTCGGTCATCGGAGACCTGCCGTACCGGGGTGTTTGTCTGCAGATTCACCCCGGCGGCAATGGCGAGCCTAAGAAGGTGCATGATAAGCTTGTACGGCCAGAGGCGCCCGGTGCGCTGGCTGAAGCACCCCCGAGCCCCTTTGACGCCCGATACCTGCCAAAGTCGGCGGATCTAAGCATGTGCATTCATACGGGACATAGGATTGCGAAAACTCACAGCTTCCGCAGCATCGAGCCCGGTAAAGCTCACATCTTCGACAGTCTTCACCCCCTTCGCGACCAGGGAATCAAACCCCGCCTTGACCTTGGCGAGCTGGGCTGGGTCAAAGTGCACATCGCAGACGCGGTTCACCTCCATATCGCAATCGATCTTCTCCTTCTCCACCAAGGCCTGCACTGCAGAGACATGTTCCATCTCGAATGCGGCCACTTCGGCCGCCGCCTCGACTCCGTACTCATTGGCCAGGTTGCCGACTCGGCTGTAGACATCGGGCTTGAGATGGCCACCTGCGCGCAAGAAGCGGGGCAGATGAGCCCCAAACGAATTAGCGGATTCTCATGATACAGGCATAGCCCCATGAGCGAAGCCTTCCTACCGTTGCGTCCGGTAGCCCCCGAGCAAGCCTGTCGTGCTTCAAGGATGACAATGGACGGTCGCTTCTTTCCCCCGGCGGCTGCACGCTCCAAACAATGATAAGCAGTCGATGCGCCGGCGTAGCCTGCGCCGATGATGGCGATGTCGCAGGTTTCGGGCAGGGTCTCGGTGGAACGATGATTGTCCAATGGATCGGGCTCCGAACGCCAGAACGAAGACATGCTAGTTTCCGCTGGGAATGGGCTGGCCATGGTGGAATGGATTAGTGGGGAAGGTGCCGGGAATGCTTGAACTGTGATGGAACTATGGAAGTGGACGATAGATAGAGCGCCTGTTCAACTGATAATTATACTGGTACGTAGTCATCGCCCATATCCAGTAGCGCATATTTAGTGTCCTTGAGAGAAGATAAGGAGCCTGATATCTCTGGGTACAACTTATGGTATTGGACCGGATCGCCGACAGCTTGCAGCGGGGAAGACTGGAACTAGACATTGTCTCCCTTGCCGTGAGGGGAAGACGGGAGTATGCAGGAGTATTATCAGATTATTCAATATGTGGAGCGGGCAAACTGCTTATCATATAAGGGGCCATCCGTTATCAATGATATTTGGTTTGACAATCTATACTTCCCAACACAGCGTGTTCGACGATGCCCAAGTTTTCCACAAGTATTCAGCAGGAAACCGGCAGTCTTTCAAGTGGAGAAAAATAGCTACGAATTGGACAGAACGGCTAAACAATCATCTATAAAATCATATACAGAGAATGACTTGAGAAGCAAAATCAGCGCATTAGCAATCTTGAGCTTTGGACGTGCCTTAAGACCCTTGAGCCCTAAGTGGCAGTCTTATCCATAATTCTAAGTGACAACCTGTAAGTTAGGAGCTACTACATAAAGCATGGAGCACCGGCAGAATCACCTCAAAGACCGCCCTCATTACCGCCTTACCTGGCAGAACCTAACGACCCTCGCAGCAGGAAATCCGGGGTGGCACTACCAGTACCCCGCCCAGCAAAACCACCCACCCGGCAGAATCTCGCCAAAATCCACTGGACACTGGGCGGGCAGTGGGCACTCACGGAGATGAACAGCCCAGAAACAGCAACTGGGCAACAGTGCAACAGCAGAAAAGAGACTCCTACCGCCTACCTGACCGCCGTACCCGGCAGAAGCTAACGAGCCTCGCAGCGAGAAATTTCAAAATCTCCGGAAATCCAGATAACCAGTCTCCAAAAACTGACCGGGCAGAGTGGTTGATTTGGGCGGTGGCAGAATGTCCTGCTAAAGCGGCAACGTATGGGTCTGCCTGTCCCGTGGAGCGGTGTAGGGGATCCCGCTGCACGCTTCACCGCCTATGCTTATTATGGCAGAATCTACCCGGAACGAGCCCTGAGGCCGGCTATCTTACCCTATCTATGTATACTGCGCTTGGCGTCGCTTTGCGGGGCATGTATACTGTACTGGACATGTTGGAATCTGCTAGAGGGTTGCTACTGTGTAGTATCTCCGGCACTCAGAGTTAGGATTATGAGGATGCTAGTAGTCCTTTCTGGAGATGTATGTCATCAATCTTTA